ATGTACCAGTAAGGGCGAAGTCAGGAAATGACGTCACTGGATGACGTCATTGCATGACGTCAGTGGGTGACGTCAGTGGGTGACGTCACTGGATGACGTCACTGCGAATAATAGGCTTAGAGGTAGTATTCAAAGTTGCGAACTAAGTACCTGATGAACTTTAGACTTCTTGGTCCGAGTGCAAAACGCAAAGTAAATATATATTTATAATAGGTACTTAGTTCGCAACTTTGAATACTACCTCTAAGCCTATTATTCGCAGTGACGTCATCCAGTGACGTCACCCACTGACACCCACTGACGTCATGCAATGACGTCATCCAGTGACGTCATTTCCTGACTTCGCCCTTACTGGTACATACCGGTACCCACCGGTATAGCGAAGCTTGGTCTTCCACTTGCTTCAACACTTGACGCAGCTTGACGAGGTGTCTTCTTCACAGCTGCTGTCTTTTCAACACTCCCTCTCGACTCGTTAGCTGCGGCACCTTGGATCCCAAGTCGATCGCGAATGTTTTCAAATTGTACAGCGGCGATCGGCTTGGTCATCATGTCTGCCAGCATATCTTGAGTCGGGCAATACTCCAAAACGACTTCACCTGATTCCACCTTCTCACGCACAAAATGGTAGCGTATGTCGATGTGTTTTGTTCTCTTATGGAACTCCGGGTTCTTGGCGAGAGCGATTGATCCTTGGTTGTCTTCATACATCTTGATCGCTTCGTCGCTTGTCATCTCACCAAGTTCCCCCAAAAGCACCTTGAGCCATACTGCTTCTTTGGTTGCTTCGGAAAGCGCCATGTATTCTGCTTCTGTTGAAGATAGCGCGACCGTCCGTTGTTTCTGGCTTTTCCAGCTGATGCATCCTCCGCTCATCATGAACACATAGCCGCTTGTACTTCGTCTTGACTCAATGTCGCCGGCCCAGTCTGCGTCGGTGTACCCGCAGATACGGCTTCCTTCTTCACGTGTAAACTCAAGACCATGGTTGGGCGTTGCTTGCAGGTATCTCAGCACACGCTTCAAAGCTTGCCAGTGAGTCGGGCATGGGTCGGACGAGAACTGGGATAATGATCCCACTGCAGCAGCTAGATCCGGACGTGTGGCGACCATGAGATACATGATGCCTCCGACAGCACTTCGATATGGCACGTTGCACATGGTGTCTTCGTGCTTGCATTCTTGTTCACACATGTTCTTGGTTAGCTTCAGGCCGGGATCTTGAGGCGTCTTCACTGGCTTGCTGTTATCCATTCCGAACTTGGTTAACACGGACTTGAGAAACTTGGTTTGTTGCACAGTCACCATTCCCGTCTTACGGTCGTTCTTGATCTCCATGCCGAGAAAGTAATCGAGCTCACCGAGATCCGTCATTTCGAAGCGTTTGCTCAGCGCCATCTTGGTCGACTTGAGGAGTTCGTTGTTGCTGCTGGCCAGGATGAGATCATCGACGTAGAGCACCACGAGAATCATGTCTTGGTCGTCTCGCTTGATGTAGATGCAGTGGTCCGATTCGCACTTCTTGAATCCCATCTTGATCATGAACCCATCGATTGTTTGGTTCCACATGCGAGGCGATTGCTTCAAGCCGTAGAGTGATCTCTTTAGCTTGCACACATAGTCCGGCTGTGTTGCATCCAGGTATCCGTCCGGCTGGTCCATGTAGATGTCTTCGTTGAGGGAGCCGTTAAGAAACGCTGTCTTGACGTCCATCTGATGTAGCATTAGGCCGTACTTAGCCGCCATACTGAGCACCACACGAATCGATGTGAACTTGGCCACCGGTGCGAAAGTTTCTTCATAGTCAACTCCGAATTTCTGTGAGAATCCTTTGGCCACAAGTCTTGCCTTGAAACGTTCAACTTCGCCATCTTGATTCTCCTTTACACGAAAAACCCATCGGCACCCGATGGCCTTGCGACCTTTCGGAAGAGGCACGATTTCCCACGTGTCGTTTCTCTGAAGCGAATCGAACTCCGAGTCACACGCTTCTTTCCACTTGCCGGAGTCGCTTGATTCCATCGCCGACTTGAATGTAGTCGGCGTTTCCCCCACTGAATCAACGATGTAGGCTGCTTCAAAATCCATTGCAGCCGCTGACACATGCTCAAGCGACGGACATCTGTACGTTCTTCGCTTGGGACTTGGAATGACGGTAGCTTTCTCAAGTGATTGAGTGCGCGTGTGTCTCTTGATGTTGCTCTTCGAAGACCTGGTGTCTTCGTTGTCATCGTCGCTCGAGTCCATGTCGTCGTCAGTTTTACCTTCTTCTTTTTCTTCGTCCTCATCATGATCATCAAACTCAACGACACTTGACTCATCGTTGTAGTTGCGCGGACCTTCATCAAACTTGTCTTCCATGAATGTGGCATCGCGACTGATCTTGATCGCTCCTGTTGACACTTCCTCAAATCGATATGACTTCTGGTGTTCGGCGTATCCCAGGAAACGACAGAGTGATGACTTGGAGTCGAACTTCGCGCGTTTGTCTTGAGGCACTTGAACATACGCGTGGCATCCAAACACTTTAAGGTTGGCCAGAATCGGTTTCTTCATCGTCCACACTTGATATGGAGACTTGTCTTGGTGAATGGCACGTGTTGGACAGCGGTTTCGAAGAAACATCGCCGTCATCACTGCTTCACCCCAGTAGCTCTTTCCCAGTCCAGCGTGTTCCATCATGCAACGCGCACACTCGACCAGCGTGCGATTCATTCTCTCAGCTACTCCGTTTAGCTGAGGAGTATATGGGGGTGTGAACCTTTGTTGTATTCCCCGTTCCGCGCAGAATCGTGCCAGCTTGTCGGACTTGTATTCACCCCCATTGTCGCTTTGAAGGTACTTCACGCGCTTTCCGGTTTGCGTTTCGGCCATCGCAGCGTATTCCATGAACTTCGCCGCAACTTCAGATTTGCTCTTGAGCAGATAGACGACACAGTATCTTGACTTGTCATCAATGAATGTCACGAAGTACCGTTTTCCACTGAAAGTTGCCATCGACATCGGTCCGCATACGTCGCTGTGAATCACTTCGAGGAGTTTGGAGGTGCGAGCTGTAGTGTTTGATTGGAAGCGCACTCGAGTCTGTTTTCCCAGAGCACAACCTTCACACACGTCCCACTTCTTCACCGAAGATATGTCGATGCCAATTCCAATGTTCTTCGTCACGATGCAATTGAGTCCATCGTGACCTATGTGGCCAAGCCGAAGGTGCCAGAGGTACGACTTGGTGCCCCCTTGACATCCCGACGACTTGGCTGCATTTGCTTGTTCCGGCGCCACTGGAGTCATTTGCAGCTTGAACAGTTCTTTACCTTCACGGGCACCAATTTTCCACTTGGTCCCTTTCGCTTCTCCATAGCACCCATCCTTCGTGAACGTCACTGGGCCGACATCCTTGGTGAAGCGGCCGACCGAGAACAGGTTTCTGGATAACTTTGGGATGTGCCACACGTTTGTGAGCACACCTTTCTTCATCCCTTGGGGTGTCTTCATCGACATGACAATGTCCCCACTGCCGATTGCTTGGACGATTCCATCATCCGCGAGATGGACATCCACAGCGTCAAACCCCTTGTAGTTCCGCATGAACTTCTTGGAGCACGTCATGTGCTGCGTCGCCCCGGAGTCGACCAGCCAGATGTCGCTCGATTTCGCAGATGTCGTTTCACCGATCGAAAAGAGGTAGTCGCCCGAGTCTTCTTCTTGAGCGACGTTTGCACGTTGTGATCGATAGCGGTCGCCGCTGTCTTGAGCACGCTGTGGCCGGTGTCTCTCCGTGTTTTCTTGGATGCGCGAGGGACACTCCGCCATCCAGTGACCAATCTTTCCGCAATTGTGGCACGGCCAGGACTTCTTCACTGGTCGCCCTTTGCGCTGATTGTCCCTTGTGATGAACGCTTGACCTTGCGAAGCTTCATCACCTTTACTTCCTTGCTCCTTCCGCTTCATTTCTTCATGAAGCAGTCGAGACGTCACGAGCTCCCAGCTAAGAGTGTCTGAGCGCGACTCCAAAGCTGTGATCAAGAATTGATACGAGTCACTCAGGCTGCCGAGGAGTGTGATCACCAGATCGTCCTCGCAGACTGGAGCCCCCACCGCTTCTAGCTGTTCCGCCAGCGTCTTGAGCTTGTTGATGTGTTCTAGCACATCGTCGCCTTCTTCCATCATTGTCGTGAAGAAGCGACGGCGCAAGAACAGCTTGTTGGCAAGACTCTTCTTCTCGAAGTGGTCTTCCAACCTTGACCATGCGTCGCATGCACCACTTGCCGACCGGACCAACGGTAGCTGGGAATCTTCCATGGCTAGACAGATCACTGCCATCGCCTTTCTTGACTTCCTCTTGTACGTCGCTTGGTCCAACTGAGTCTCGCACTGTTCCGCCTTGATCTCACCGCTGACGACCTCCCATAGGTCCCGTTCCTCCAGCACCATCTGCATCTTGAACTTCCAGGCGTGGAAGTTAGTTCCATCGAACTTGGAGATGCGGAGGGAGGAGGCGTCCATGGCAGCTAAGCTTGAATTGTTGGCGGTTTCAGAGTCTGACGAACTTGGGCTCATAACCTGATGAACTTTAGACTTCTTGGTCCGAGTGCAAAACGCAAAGTAAATATATATTTATAATAGGTACTTAGTTCGCAACTTTGAATACTACCTCTAAGCCTATTATTCGCAGTGACGTCATCCAGTGACGTCACCCACTGACGTCACCCACTGACGTCATGCAATGACGTCATCCAGTGACGTCATTTCCTGACTTCGCCCTTACTGGTACATACCGGTACCCACCGGTATAGCGAAGCTTGGTCTTCCACTTGCTTCAACACTTGACGCAGCTTGACGAGGTGTCTTCTTCACAGCTGCTGTCTTTTCAACAGTACCTATTATAAATATATATTCACTTTGCGTTTTGCACTCGGACCAAGAAGTCTAAAGTTCATCAGGTTATGAGCCCAAGTTCGTCAGACTCTGAAACCGCCAACAATTCAAGCTTAGCTGCCATGGACGCCTCCTCCCTCCGCATCTCCAAGTTCGATGGAACTAACTTCCACGCCTGGAAGTTCAAGATGCAGATGGTGCTGGAGGAACGGGACCTATGGGAGGTCGTCAGCGGTGAGATCAAGGCGGAACAGTGCGAGACTCAGTTGGACCAAGCGACGTACAAGAGGAAGTCAAGAAAGGCGATGGCAGTGATCTGTCTAGCCATGGAAGATTCCCAGCTACCGTTGGTCCGGTCGGCAAGTGGTGCATGCGACGCATGGTCAAGGTTGGAAGACCACTTCGAGAAGAAGAGTCTTGCCAACAAGCTGTTCTTGCGCCGTCGCTTCTTCACGACAATGATGGAAGAAGGCGACGATGTGCTCGAACACATCAACAAGCTCAAGACGCTGGCGGAACAGCTAGAAGCGGTGGGGGCTCCAGTCTGCGAGGACGATCTGGTGATCACACTCCTCGGCAGCCTGAGTGACTCGTATCAATTCTTGATCACAGCTTTGGAGTCGCGCTCAGACACTCTTAGCTGGGAGCTCGTGACGTCTCGACTGCTTCATGAAGAAATGAAGCGGAAGGAGCAAGGAAGTAAAGGTGATGAAGCTTCGCAAGGTCAAGCGTTCATCACAAGGGACAATCAGCGCAAAGGGCGACCAGTGAAGAAGTCCTGGCCGTGCCACAATTGCGGAAAGATTGGTCACTGGATGGCGGAGTGTCCCTCGCGCATCCAAGAAAACACGGAGAGACACCGGCCACAGCGTGCTCAAGACAGCGGCGACCGCTATCGATCACAACGTGCAAACGTCGCTCAAGAAGAAGACTCGGGCGACTACCTCTTTTCGATCGGTGAAACGACATCTGCGAAATCGAGCGACATCTGGCTGGTCGACTCCGAGGCGACGCAGCACATGACGCGCTCCAAGAAGTTCATGCGGAACTACAAAGGGGTTTGACGCTGTGGATGTCCATCTCGCGGATGATGGAATCGTCCAAGCAATCGGCAGTGGGGACATTGTCATGTCGATGAAGACACCCCAAGGGATGAAGAAAGGTGTGCTCACAAACGTGTGGCACATCCCAAAGTTATCCAGAAACCTGTTCTCGGTCGGCCGCTTCACCAAGGATGTTGGCCCAGTGACGTTCACGAAGGATGGGTGCTATGGAGAAGCGAAAGGGACCAAGTGGAAAATTGGTGCCCGTGAAGGTAAAGAACTGTTCAAGCTGCAAATGACTCCAGTGGCGCCGGAACAAGCAAATGCAGCCAAGTCGTCGGGATGTCAAGGGGGCACCAAGTCGTACCTCTGGCACCTTCGACTTGGCCACATAGGTCATGATGGACTCAATTGCATCGTGACGAAGAACATTGGAATTGGCATCGACATATCTTCGGTGAAGAAGTGGGACGTGTGTGAAGGTTGTGCTCTGGGAAAACAGACTCGAGTGCGCTTCCAATCAAACACTACAGCTCGCACCTCCAAACTCCTCGAAGTGATTCACAGCGACGTATGCGGACCGATGTCGATGGCAACTTTCAGTGGAAAACGGTACTTCGTGACATTCATCGATGACAAGTCAAGATACTGTGTCGTCTATCTGCTCAAGAGCAAATCTGAAGTTGCGGCGAAGTTCATGGAATACGCTGCGATGGCCGTGTTGAAAAGACAGCGGCTGTGAAGAAGACACCTCGTCAAGCTGCGTCAAGTGTTGAAGCAAGTGGAAGACCAAGCTTCGCTATACCGGTGGGTACCGGTATGTACCAGTAAGGGCGAAGTCAGGAAATGACGTCATTGGATGACGTCAGTGGGTGACTTCAGTGGGTGACGTCACTGGATGACGTCACTGCGAATAATAGGCTTAGAGGTAGTATTCAAAGTTGCGAACTAAGTACCTATTACAAATATATATTCACTTTGCGTTTTGCACTCGGACCAAGAAGTCTAAAGTTCATCAGGTTATGAGCCCAAGTTCGTCAGACTCTGAAACCGCCAACAATTCAAGCTTAGCTGCCATGGACGCCTCCTCCCTCCGCATCTCCAAGTTCGATGGAACTAACTTCCACGCCTGGAAGTTCAAGATGCAGATGGTGCTGGAGGAACGGGACCTATGGGAGGTCGTCAGCGGTGAGATCAAGGCGGAACAGTGCGAGACTCAGTTGGACCAAGCGACGTACAAGAGGAAGTCAAGAAAGGCGATGGCAGTGATCTGTCTAGCCATGGAAGATTCCCAGCTACCGTTGGTCCGGTCGGCAAGTGGTGCATGCGACGCATGGTCAAGGTTGGAAGACCACTTCGAGAAGAAGAGTCTTGCCAACAAGCTGTTCTTGCGCCGTCGCTTCTTCACGACAATGATGGAAGAAGGCGACGATGTGCTAGAACACATCAACAAGCTCAAGACGCTGGCGGAACAGCTAGAAGCGGTGGGGGCTCCAGTCTGCGAGGACGATCTGGTGATCACACTTCTCGGCAGCCTGAGTGACTCGTATCAATTCTTGATCACAGCTTTGGAGTCGCGCTCAGACACTCTTAGCTGGGAGCTCGTGATGTCTCGACTGCTTCATGAAGAAATGAAGCGGAAGGAGCAAGGAAGTAAAGGTGATGAAGCTTCGCAAGGTCAAGCGTTCATCACAAGGGACAATCAGCGCAAAGGGCGACCAGTGAAGAAGTCCTGGCCGTGCCACAATTGCGGAAAGATTGGTCACTGGATGGCGGAGTGCCCCTCGCGCATCCAAGAAAACACGGAGAGACACCGGCCACAGCGTGCTCAAGACAGCGGCGACCGCTATCGATCACAACGTGCAAACGTCGCTCAAGAAGAAGACTCGGGCGACTACCTCTTTTCGATCGGTGAAACGACATCTGCGAAATCGAGCGACATCTGGCTGGTCGACTCCGGGGCGACGCAGCACATGACGTGCTCCAAGAAGTTCATGCGGAACTACAAGGGGTTTGACGCTGTGGATGTCCATCTCGCGGATGATGGAATCGTCCAAGCAATCGGCAGTGGGGACATTGTCATGTCGATGAAGACACCCCAAGGGATGAAGAAAGGTGTGCTCACAAACGTGTGGCACATCCCAAAGTTATCCAGAAACCTGTTCTCGGTCGGCCGCTTCACCAAGGATGTCGGCCCAGTGACGTTCACGAAGGATGGGTGCTATGGAGAAGCGAAAGGGACCAAGTGGAAAATTGGTGCCCGTGAAGGTAAAGGACTGTTCAAGCTGCAAATGACTCCAGTGGCGCCGGAACAAGCAAATGCAGCCAAGTCGTCGGGATTGATGAACTTTAGACTTCTTGGTCCGAGTGCAAAACGCAAAGTGAATATATATTTATAATAGGTACTTAGTTCGCAACTTTGAATACTACCTCTAAGCCTATTATTCGCAGTGACGTCATCCAGTGACGTCACCCACTGACGTCACCCACTGACGTCATGCAATGACGTCATCCAGTGACGTCATTTCCTGACTTCGCCCTTACTGGTACATACCGGTACCCACCGGTATAGCGAAGCTTGGTCTTCCACTTGCTTCAACACTTGACGCAGCTTGACGAGGTGTCTTCTTCACAGCCGCTGTCTTTTCAACACTCCCTCTCGACTCGTTAGCTGCGGCACCTTGGATCCCAAGTCGATCGCGAATGTTTTCAAATTGTACAGCGGCGATCGGCTTGGTCATCATGTCTGCCAGCATATCTTGAGTCGGGCAATACTCCAAAACGACTTCACCTGATTCCACCTTCTCACGCACAAAATGGTAGCGTATGTCGATGTGTTTTGTTCTCTTATGGAACTCCGGGTTATTGGCGAGAGCGATTGATCCTTGGTTGTCTTCATACATCTTGATCGCTTCGTCGCTTGTCATCTCACCAAGTTCCCCCAAAAGCACTTTGAGCCATACTGCTTCTTTGGTTGCTTCGGAAAGCGCCATGTATTCTGCTTCTGTTGAAGATAGCGCGACCGTCCGTTGTTTCTGGCTTTTCCAGCTGATGCATCCTCCGCTCATCATGAACACATAGCCGCTTGTACTTCGTCTTGACTCAATGTCGCCGGCCCAGTCTGCGTCGGTGTACCCGCAGATACGGCTTCCTTCTTCACGTGTAAACTCAAGACCATGATTGGGCGTTGCTTGCAGGTATCTCAGCACACGCTTCAAAGCTTGCCAGTGAGTCGGGCATGGGTCGGACGAGAACTGGGATAATGATCCCACTGCAGCAGCTAGATCCGGACGTGTGGCGACCATGAGATACATGATGCCTCCGACAGCACTTCGATATGGCACGTTGCACATGGTGTCTTCGTGCTTGCATTCTTGTTCACACATGTTCTTGGTTAGCTTCAGGCCGGGATCTTGAGGCGTCTTCACTGGCTTGCTGTTATCCATTCCGAACTTGGTTAACACGGACTTGAGAAACTTGGTTTGTTGTACAGTCACCATTCCCGTCTTACGGTCGTTCTTGATCTCCATGCCGAGAAAGTAATCGAGCTCACCGAGATCCGTCATTTCGAAGCGTTTGCTCAGCGCCATCTTGGTTGACTTGAGGAGTTCGTTGTTGCTGCTGGCCAGGATGAGATCATCGACGTAGAGCACCACGAGAATCATGTCTTGGTCGTCTCGCTTGATGTAGATGCAGTGGTCCGATTCGCACTTCTTGAATCCCATCTTGATCATGAACCCATCGATTGTTTGGTTCCACATGCGAGGCGATTGCTTCAAGCCGTAGAGTGATCTCTTTAGCTTGCACACATAGTCCGGCTGTGTTGCATCCAGGTATCCGTCCGGCTGGTCCATGTAGATGTCTTCGTTGAGGGAGCCGTTAAGAAACGCTGTCTTGACGTCCATCTGATGTAGCATTAGGCCGTACTTAGCCGCCATACTGAGCACCACACGAATCGATGTGAACTTGGCCACCGGTGCGAAAGTTTCTTCATAGTCAACTCCGAATTTCTGTGAGAATCCTTTGGCCACAAGTCTTGCCTTGAAACGTTCAACTTCGCCATCTTGATTCTCCTTTACACGAAAAACCCATCGGCACCCGATGGCCTTGCGACCTTTCGGAAGAGGCACGATTTCCCACGTGTCGTTTCTCTGAAGCGAATCGAACTCCGAGTCACACGCTTCTTTCCACTTGCCGGAGTCGCTTGATTCCATCGCCGACTTGAATGTAGTCGGCGTTTCCCCCACTGAATCAACGATGTAGGCTGCTTCAAAATCCATTGCAGCCGCTGACACATGCTCAAGCGACGGACCTCTGTATGTTCTTCGCTTGGGACTTGGAATGACGGTAGCTTTCTCAAGTGATTGAGTGCGCGTGTGTCTCTTGATGTTGCTCTTCGAAGACCTGGTGTCTTCGTTGTCATCGTCGCTCGAGTCCATGTCGTCGTCAGTTTTACCTTCTTCTTTTTCTTCGTCCTCATCATGATCATCAAACTCAACGACACTTGACTCATCGTTGTAGTTGCGCGGACCTTCATCAAACTTGTCTTCCATGAATGTGGCATCGCGACTGATCTTGATCGCTCCTGTTGACACTTCCTCAAATCGATATGACTTCTGGTGTTCGGCGTATCCCAGGAAACGACAGAGTGATGACTTGGAGTCGAACTTCGCGCGTTTGTCTTGAGGCACTTGAACATACGCGTGGCATCCAAACACTTTAAGGTTGGCCAGAATCGGTTTCTTCATCGTCCACACTTGATATGGAGACTTGTCTTGGTGAATGGCACGTGTTGGACAGCGGTTTCGAAGAAACATCGCCGTCATCACTGCTTCACCCCAGTAGCTCTTTCCCAGTCCAGCGTGTTCCATCATGCAACGCGCACACTCGACCAGCGTGCGATTCATTCTCTCAGCTACTCCGTTTAGCTGAGGAGTATATGGGGGTGTGAACCTTTGTTGTATTCCCCGTTCCGCGCAGAATCGTGCCAGCTTGTCGGACTTGTATTCACCCCCCATTGTCGCTTTGAAGGTACTTCACGCGCTTTCCGGTTTGCGTTTCGGCCATCGCAGCGTATTCCATGAACTTCGCCGCAACTTCAGATTTGCTCTTGAGCAGATAGACGACACAGTATCTTGACTTGTCATCGATGAATGTCACGAAGTACCGTTTTCCACTGAAAGTTGCCATCGACATCGGTCCGCATACGTCGCTGTGAATCACTTCGAGGAGTTTGGAGGTGCGAGCTGTAGTGTTTGATTGGAAGCGCACTCGAGTCTGTTTTCCCAGAGCACAACCTTCACACACGTCCCACTTCTTCACCGAAGATATGTCGATGCCAATTCCAATGTTCTTCGTCACGATGCAATTGAGTCCATCGTGACCTATGTGGCCAAGCCGAAGGTGCCAGAGGTACGACTTGGTGCCCCCTTGACATCCCGACGACTTGGCTGCATTTGCTTGTTCCGGCGCCACTGGAGTCATTTGCAGCTTGAACAGTTCTTTACCTTCACGGGCACCAATTTTCCACTTGGTCCCTTTCGCTTCTCCATAGCACCCATCCTTCGTGAACGTCACTGGGCCGACATCCTTGGTGAAGCGGCCGACCGAGAACAGGTTTCTGGATAACTTTGGGATGTGCCACACGTTTGTGAGCACACCTTTCTTCATCCCTTGGGGTGTCTTCATCGACATGACAATGTCCCCACTGCCGATTGCTTGGACGATTCCATCATCCGCGAGATGGACATCCACAGCGTCAAACCCCTTGTAGTTCCGCATGAACTTCTTGGAGCACGTCATGTGCTGCGTCGCCCCGGAGTCGACCAGCCAGATGTCGCTCGATTTCGCAGATGTCGTTTCACCGATCGAAAAGAGGTAGTCGCCCGAGTCTTCTTCTTGAGCGACGTTTGCACGTTGTGATCGATAGCGGTCGCCGCTGTCTTGAGCACGCTGTGGCCGGTGTCTCTCCGTGTTTTCTTGGATGCGCGAGGGGCACTCCGCCATCCAGTGACCAATCTTTCCGCAATTGTGGCACGGCCAGGACTTCTTCACTGGTCGCCCTTTGCGCTGATTGTCCCTTGTGATGAACGCTTGACCTTGCGAAGCTTCATCACCTTTACTTCCTTGCTCCTTCCGCTTCATTTCTTCATGAAGCAGTCGAGACGTCACGAGCTCCCAGCTAAGAGTGTCTGAGCGCGACTCCAAAGCTGTGATCAAGAATTGATACGAGTCACTCAGGCTGCCGAGGAGTGTGATCACCAGATCGTCCTCGCAGACTGGAGCCCCCACCGCTTCTAGCTGTTCCGCCAGCGTCTTGAGCTTGTTGATGTGTTCGAGCACATCGTCGCCTTCTTCCATCATTGTCGTGAAGAAGCGACGGCGCAAGAACAGCTTGTTGGCAAGACTCTTCTTCTCGAAGTGGTCTTCCAACCTTGACCATGCGTCGCATGCACCACTTGCCGACCGGACCAACGGTAGCTGGGAATCTTCCATGGCTAGACAGATCACTGCCATCGCCTTTCTTGACTTCCTCTTGTACGTCGCTTGGTCCAACTGAGTCTCGCACTGTTCCGCCTTGATCTCACCGCTGACGACCTCCCATAGGTCCCGTTCCTCCAGCACCATCTGCATCTTGAACTTCCAGGCGTGGAAGTTAGTTCCATCGAACTTGGAGATGCGGAGGGAGGAGGCGTCCATGGCAGCTAAGCTTGAATTGTTGGCGGTTTCAGAGTCTGACGAACTTGGGCTCATAACCTGATGAACTTTAGACTTCTTGGTCCGAGTGCAAAACGCAAAGTGAATATATATTTATAATAGGTACTTAGTTCGCAACTTTGAATACTACCTCTAAGCCTATTATTCGCAGTGACGTCATCCAGTGACGTCACCCACTGACGTCATGCAATGACGTCATCCAGTGACGTCATTTCCTGACTTCGCCCTTACTGGTACATACCGGTACCCACCGGTATAGCGAAGCTTGGTCTTCCACTTGCTTCAACACTTGACGCAGCTTGACGAGGTGTCTTCTTCACAGCCGCTGTCTTTTCAACAGGGATGTCAAGGGGGCACCAAGTCGTACCTCTGGCACCTTCGGCTTGGCCACATAGGTCACGATGGACTCAATTGCATCGTGACGAAGAACATTGGAATTGGCACCGACATATCTTCGGTGAAGAAGTGGGACGTGTGTGAAGGTTGTGCTCTGGGAAAACAGACTCGAGTGCGCTTCCAATCAAACACTACAGCTCGCACCTCCAAACTCCTCGAAGTGATTCACAGCGACGTATGCGGACCGATGTCGATGGCAACTTTCAGTGGAAAACGGTACTTCGTGACATTCATTGATGACAAGTCAAGATACTGTGTCGTCTATCTGCTCAAGAGCAAATCTGAAGTTGCGGCGAAGTTCATGGAATACGCTGCGATGGCCGAAACGCAAACCGGAAAGCGCGTGAAGTACCTTCAAAGCGACAATGGGGGTGAATACAAGTCCGACAAGCTGGCACGATTCTGCGCGGAACGGGGAATACAACAAAGGTTCACACCCCCATATACTCCTCAGCTAAACGGAGTAGCTGAGAGAATGAATCGCACGCTGGTCGAGTGTGCGCGTTGCATGATGGAACACGCTGGACTGGGAAAGAGCTACTGGGGTGAAGCAGTGATGACGGCGATGTTTCTTCGAAACCGCTGTCCAACACGTGCCATTCACCAAGACAAGTCTCCATATCAAGTGTGGACGATGAAGAAACCGATTCTGGCCAACCTTAAAGTGTTTGGATGCCACGCGTATGTTCAAGTGCCTCAAGACAAACGCGCGAAGTTCGACTCCAAGTCATCACTCTGTCGTTTCCTGGGATACGCCGAACACCAGAAGTCATATCGATTTGAGGAAGTGTCAACAGGAGCGATCAAGATCAGTCGCGATGCCACATTCATGGAAGACAAGTTTGATGAAGGTCCGCGCAACTACAACGATGAGTCAAGTGCCGTTGAGTTTGATGATCATGACGAGGACGAAGAAAAAGAAGAAGGTAAAACTGACGACGACATGGACTCGAGCGACGATGACAACGAAGACACCAGGTCTTCGAAGAGCAACATCAAGAGACACACGCGCACTCAATCACTTGAGAAAGCTACCGTCATTCCAAGTCCCAAGCGAAGAACGTACAGAGGTCCGTCGCTTGAGCATGTGTCAGCGGCTGCAATGGATTTTGAAGCAGCCTACATCGTTGATTCAGTGGGGGAAACGCCGACTACATTCAAGTCGGCGATGGAATCAAGCGACTCCGGCAAGTGGAAAGAAGCGTGTGACTCGGAGTTCGATTCGCTTCAGAGAAACGACACGTGGGAAATCGTGCCTCTTCCGAAAGGTCGCAAGGCCATCGGGTGCCGATGGGTTTTTCGTGTAAAGGAGAATCAAGATGGCGAAGTTGAACGTTTCAAGGCAAGACTTGTGGCCAAAGGATTCTCACAGAAATTCGGAGTTGACTATGAAGAAACTTTCGCACCGGTGGCCAAGTTCACATCGATTCGTGTGGTGCTCAGTATGGCGGCTAAGTACGGCCTAATGCTACATCAGATGGACGTCAAGACAGCGTTTCTTAACGGCTCCCTCAACGAAGACATCTACATGGACCAGCCGGACGGATACCTGGATGCAACACAGCCGGACTATGTGTGCAAGCTAAAGAGATCACTCTACGGCTTGAAGCAATCGCCTCGCATGTGGAACCAAACAATCGATGGGTTCATGATCAAGATGGGATTCAAGAAGTGCGAATCGGACCACTGCATCTACATCAAGCGAGACGACCAAGACATGATTCTCGTGGTGCTCTACGTCGATGATCTCATCCTGGCCAGCAGCAACAACGAACTCCTCAAGTCAACCAAGATGGCGCTGAGCAAACGCTTCGAAATGACGGATCTCGGTGAGCTCGATTACTTTCTCGGCATGGAGATCAAGAACGACCGTAAGACGGGAATGGTGACTGTACAACAAACCAAGTTTCTCAAGTCCGTGTTAACCAAGTTCGGAATGGATAACAGCAAGCCAGTGAAGACGCCTCAAGATCCCGGCCTGAAGCTAACCAAGAACATGTGTGAACAAGAATGCAAGCACGAAGACACCATGTGCAACGTGCCATATCGAAGTGCTGTCGGAGGCATCATGTATCTCATGGTCGCCACACGTCCGGATCTAGCTGCTGCAGTGGGATCATTATCCCAGTTCTCGTCCGACCCATGCCCGACTCACTGGCAAGCTTTGAAGCGTGTGCTGAGATACCTGCAAGCAACGCCCAATCATGGTCTTGAGTTTACACGTGAAGAAGGAAGCCGTATCTGCGGGTACACCGACGCAGACTGGGCCGGCGACATTGAGTCAAGACGAAGTACAAGCGGCTATGTGTTCATGATGAGCGGAGGATGCATCAGCTGGAAAAGCCAGAAACAACGGACGGTCGCGCTATCTTCAACAGAAGCAGAATACATGGCGCTTTCCGAAGCAACCAAAGAAGCAGTATGGCTCAAGGTGCTTTTGGGGGAACTTGGTGAGATGACAAGCGACGAAGCGATCAAGATGTATGAAGACAACCAAGGATCAATCGCTCTCGCCAAGAACCCGGAGTTCCATAAGAGAACAAAACACATCGACATACGCTACCATTTTGTGCGTGAGAAGGTGGAATCAGGTGAAGTCGTTTTGGAGTATTGCCCGACTCAAGATATGCTGGCAGACATGATGACCAAGCCGATCGCCGCTGTACAATTTGAAAACATTCGCGATCGACTTGGGATCCAAGGTGCCGCAGCTAACGAGTCGAGAGGGAGTGTTGAAAAGACAGCGGCTGTGAAGAAGACACCTCGTCAAGCTGCGTCAAGTGTTGAAGCAAGTGGAAGACCAAGCTTCGCTATACCGGTGGGTACCGGTATGTACCAGTAAGGGCGAAGTCAGGAAATGACGTCACTGGATGACGTCATTGCATGACGTCAGTGGGTGACGTCAGTGGGTGACGTCACTGGATGACGTCACTGCGAATAATAGGCTTAGAGGTAGTATTCAAAGTTGCGAACTAAGTACCTATTATAAATATATATTCCTTTGCGTTTTGCACTCGGACCAAGAAGTCTAAAGTTCATCAATTTCCTGACTTCGCCCTTACTGGTACATACCGGTACCCACCGGTATAGCGAAGCTTGGTCTTCCACTTGCTTCAACACTTGACGCAGCTTGACGAGGTGTCTTCTTCACAGCCGCTGTCTTTTCAACACTCCCTCTCGACTCGTTAGCTGCGGCACCTTGGATCCCAAGTCGATCGCGAATGTTTTCAAATTGTACAGCGGCGATCGGCTTGGTCATCATGTCTGCCAGCATATCTTGAGTCGGGCAATACTCCAAAACGACTTCACCTGATTCCACCTTCTCACGCACAAAATGGTAGCGTATGTCGATGTGTTTTGTTCTCTTATGGAACTCCGGGTTCTTGGCGAGAGCGATTGATCCTTGGTTGTCTTCATACATCTTGATCGCTTCGTCGCTTGTCATCTCACCAAGTTCCCCCAAAAGCACTTTGAGCCATACTGCTTCTTTGGTTGCTTCGGAAAGCGCCATGTATTCTGCTTCTGTTGAAGATAGCGCGACCGTCCGTTGTTTCTGGCTTTTCCAGCTGATGCATCCTCCGCTCATCATGAACACATAGCCGCTTGTACTTCGTCTTGACTCAATGTCGCCGGCCCAGTCTGCGTCGGTGTACCCGCAGATACGGCTTCCTTCTTCACGTGTAAACTCAAGACCATGATTGGGCGTTGCTTGCAGGTATCTCAGCACACGCTTCAAAGCTTGCCAGTGAGTCGGGCATGGGTCGGACGAGAACTGGGATAATGATCCCACTGCAGCAGCTAGATCCGGACGTGTGGCGACCATGAGATACATGATGCCTCCGACAGCACTTCGATATGGCACGTTGCACATGGTGTCTTCGTGCTTGCATTCTTGTTCACACATGTTCTTGGTTAGCTTCAGGCCGGGATCTTGAGGCGTCTTCACTGGCTTGCTGTTATCCATTCCGAACTTGGTTAACACGGACTTGAGAAACTTGGTTTGTTGTACAGTCACCATTCCCGTCTTACGGTCGTTCTTGATCTCCATGCCGAGAAAGTAATCGAGCTCACCGAGATCCGTCATTTCGAAGCGTTTGCTCAGCGCCATCTTGGTTGACTTGAGGAGTTCGTTGTTGCTGCTGGCCAGGATGAGATCATCGACGTAGAGCACCACGAGAATCATGTCTTGGTCGTCTCGCTTGATGTAGATGCAGTGGTCCGATTCGCACTTCTTGAATCCCATCTTGATCATGAACCCATCGATTGTTTGGTTCCACATGCGAGGCGATTGCTTCAAGCCGTAGAGTGATCTCTTTAGCTTGCACACATAGTCCGGCTGTGTTGCATCCAGGTATCCGTCCGGCTGGTCCATGTAGATGTCTTCGTTGAGGGAGCCGTTAAGAAACGCTGTCTTGACGTCCATCTGATGTAGCATTAGGCCGTACTTAGCCGCCATACTGAGCACCACACGAATCGATGTGAACTTGGCCACCGGTGCGAAAGTTTCTTCATAGTCAACTCCGAATTTCTGTGAGAATCCTTTGGCCACAAGTCTTGCCTTGAAACGTTCAACTTCGCCATCTTGATTCTCCTTTACACGAAAAACCCATCGGCACCCGATGGCCTTGCGACCTTTGAAGAGGCACGATTTCCCACGTGTCGTTTCTCTGAAGCGAATCGAACTCCGAGTCACACGCTTCTTTCCACTTGCCGGAGTCGCTTGATTCCATCGCCGACTTGAATGTAGTCGGCGTTTCCCCCACTGAATCAACGATGTAGGCTGCTTCAAAAACCCATTGCAGCCGCTGACACATGCTCAAGCGACGGACCTCTGTATGTTCTTCGCTTGGGACTTGGAATGACGGTAGCTTTCTCAAGTGATTGAGTGCGCGTGTGTCTCTTGATGTTGCTCTTCGAAGACCTGGTGTCTTCGTTGTCATCGTCGCTCGAGTCCATGTCGTCGTCAGTTTTACCTTCTTCTTTTTCTTCGTCCTCATCATGATCATCAAACTCAACGACACTTGACTCATCGTTGTAGTTGCGCGGACCTTCATCAAACTTGTCTTCCATGAATGTGGCATCGCGACTGATCTTGATCGCTCCTGTTGACACTTCCTCAAATCGATATGACTTCTGGTGTTCGGCGTATCCCAGGAAACGACAGAGTGATGACTTGGAGTCGAACTTCGCGCGTTTGTCTTGAGGCACTTGAACATACGCGTGGCATCCAAACACTTTAAGGTTGGCCAGAATCGGTTTCTTCATCGTCCACACTTGATATGGAGACTTGTCTTGGTGAATGGCACGTGTTGGACAGCGGTTTCGAAGAAACATCGCCGTCATCACTGCTTCACCCCAGTAGCTCTTTCCCAGTCCAGCGTGTTCCATCATGCAACGCGCACACTCGACCAGCGTGCGATTCATTCTCTCAGCTACTCCGTTTAGCTGAGGAGTATATGGGGGTGTGAACCTTTGTTGTATTCCCCGTTCCGCGCAGAATCGTGCCAGCTTGTCGGACTTGTATTCACCCCCATTGTCGCTTTGAAGGTACTTCACGCGCTTTCCGGTTTGCGTTTCGGCCATCGCAGCGTATTCCATGAACTTCGCCGCAACTTCAGATTTGCTCTTGAGCAGATAGACGACACAGTATCTTGACTTGTCATCAATGAATGTCACGAAGTACCGTTTTCCACTGAAAGTTGCCATCGACATCGGTCCGCATACGTCGCTGTGAATCACTTCGAGGAGTTTGGAGGTGCGAGCTGTAGTGTTTGATTGGAAGCGCACTCGAGTCTGTTTTCCCAGAGCACAACCTTCACACACGTCCCACTTCTTCACCGAAGATATGTCGATGCCAATTCCAATGTTCTTCGTCACGATGCAATTGAGTCCATCGTGACCTATGTGGCCAAGCCGAAGGTGCCAGAGGTACGACTTGGTGCCCCCTTGACATCCCGACGACTTGGCTGCATTTGCTTGTTCCGGCGCCACTGGAGTCATTTGCAGCTTGAACAGTCCTTTACCTTCACGGGCACCAATTTTCCACTTGGTCCCTTTCGCTTCTCCATAGCACCCATCCTTCGTGAACGTCACTGGGCCGACATCCTTGGTGAAGCGGCCGACCGAGAACAGGTTTCTGGATAACTTTGGGATGTGCCACACGTTTGTGAGCACACCTTTCTTCATCCCTTGGGGTGTCTTCATCGACATGACAATGTCCCCACTGCCGATTGCTTGGACGATTCCATCATCCGCGAGATGGACATCCACAGCGTCAAACCCCTTGTAGTTCCGCATGAACTTCTTGGAGCACGTCATGTGCTGCGTCGCCCCGGAGTCGACCAGCCAGATGTCGCTCGATTTCGCAGATGTCGTTTCACCGATCGAAAAGAGGTAGTCGCCCGAGTCTTCTTCTTGAGCGACGTTTGCACGTTGTGATCGATAGCGGTCGCCGCTGTCTTGAGCACGCTGTGGCCGGTGTCTCTCCGTGTTTTCTTGGATGCGCGAGGGGCACTCCGCCATCCAGTGACCAATCTTTCCGCAATTGTGGCACGGCCAGGACTTCTTCACTGGTCGCCCTTTGCGCTGATTGTCCCCTTGTGATGAACGCTTGACCTTGCGAAGCTTCATCACCTTTACTTCCTTGCTCCTTCCGCTTCATTTCTTCATGAAGCAGTCGAGACGTCACGAGCTCCCAGCTAAGAGTGTCTGAGCGCGACTCCAAAGCTGTGATCAAGAATTGATACGAGTCACTCAGGCTGCCGAGGAGTGTGATCACCAGATCGTCCTCGCAGACTGGAGCCCCCACCGCTTCTAGCTGTTCCGCCAGCGTCTTGAGCTTGTTGATGTGTTCGAGCACATCGTCGCCTTCTTCCATCATTGTCGTGAAGAAGCGACGGCGCAAGAACAGCTTGTTGGCAAGACTCTTCTTCTCGAAGTGGTCTTCCAACCTTGACCATGCGTCGCATGCACCACTTGCCGACCGGACCAACGGTAGCTGGGAATCTTCCATGGCTAGACAGATCACTGCCATCGCCTTTCTTGACTTCCTCTTGTACGTCGCTTGGTCCAACTGAGTCTCGCACTGTTCCGCCTTGATCTCACCGCTGACGACCTCCCATAGGTCCCGTTCCTCCAGCACCATCTGCATCTTGAACTTCCAGGCGTGGAAGTTAGTTCCATCGAACTTGGAGATGCGGAGGGAGGGAGGCGTCCATGGCAGCTAAGCTTGAATTGTTGGCGGTTTCAGAGTCTGACGAACTTGGGCTCATAACCTGATGAACTTTAGACTTCTTGGTCCGAGTGCAAAACGCAAAGTGAATATATATTTATAATAGGTACTTAGTTCGCAACTTTGAATACTACCTCTAAGCCTATTATTCGCAGTGACGTCATCCAGTGACGTCACCCACTGACGTCACCCACTGACGTCATGCAATGACGTCATCCAGTGACGTCATTTCCTGACTTCGCCCTTACTGGTACATACCGGTACCCACCGGTATAGCGAAGCTTGGTCTTCCACTTGCTTCAACACTTGACGCAGCTTGACGAGGTGTCTTCTTCACAGCCGCTGTCTTTTCAACAGCATTGTAGGTCGGAGCGAGGAAAGCGGAGCAAACGGAGCGGAGAGACCGAAGAGAGTAGAGCAGAAAACACTTGCCCAATAGTTGGAAGATTCGAAAGTGATTGATTATCGGGGCTTACTACTTACTACATGATTTATATGTGGTGTACATATAAATCATGTGAAGCGTCTCATCATCCTACGCGTATAATCAACTATGGTAATTACCGTAAGAACTACGTCGTAAATACTAAGCTGAACAGGCGGTTCGGATTGGATCGGTCACGGTTGATGAACTTTAGACTTCTTGGTCCGAGTGCAAAACGCAAAGTAAATATATATTTATAATAGGTACTTAGTTCGCAACTTTGAATACTACCTCTAAGCCTATTATTCGCAGTGACGTCATCCAGTGACGTCACCCACTGACGTCACCCACTGACGTCATGCAATGACGTCATCCAGTGACGTCATTTCCTGACTTCGCCCTTGCTGGTACATACCGGTACCCACCGGTATAGCGAAGCTTGGTCTTGATGAACTTTAGACTTCTTGGTCCGAGTGCAAAACGCAAAGTGAATATATATTTATAATAGGTACTTAGTTCGCAACTTTGAATACTACCTCTAAGCCTATTATTCGCAGTGACGTCATCCAGTGACGTCACCCACTGACGTCACCCACTGACGTCATGCAATGACGTCATCCAGTGACGTCATTTCCTGACTTCGCCCTTACTGGTACATACCGGTACCCACCGGTATAGCGAAGCTTGGTCTTCCACTTGCTTCAACACTTGACGCAGCTTGACGAGGTGTCTTCTTCACAGCCGCTGTCTTTTCAACACTCCCTCTCGACTCGTTAGCTGCGGCACCTTGGATCCCAAGTCGATCGCGAATGTTTTCAAATTGTACAGCGGCGATCGGCTTGGTCATCATGTCTGCCAGCATATCTTGAGTCGGGCAATACTCCAAAACGACTTCACCTGATTCCACCTTCTCACGCACAAAATGGTAGCGTATGTCGATGTGTTTTGTTCTCTTATGGAACTCCGGGTTCTTGGCGAGAGCGATTGATCCTTGGTTGTCTTCATACATCTTGATCGCTTCGTCGCTTGTCATCTCACCAAGTTCCCCCAAAAGCACTTTGAGCCATACTGCTTCTTTGGTTGCTTCGGAAAGCGCCATGTATTCTGCTTCTGTTGAAGATAGCGCGACCGTCCGTTGTTTCTGGCTTTTCCAGCTGATGCATCCTCCGCTCATCATGAACACATAGCCGCTTGTACTTCGTCTTGACTCAATGTCGCCGGCCCAGTCTGCGTCGGTGTACCCGCAGATACGGCTTCCTTCTTCACGTGTAAACTCAAGACCATGATTGGGCGTTGCTTGCAGGTATCTCAGCACACGCTTCAAAGCTTGCCAGTGAGTCGGGCATGGGTCGGACGAGAACTGGGATAATGATCCCACTGCAGCAGCTAGATCCGGACGTGTGGCGACCATGAGATACATGATGCCTCCGACAGCACTTCGATATGGCACGTTGCACATGGTGTCTTCGTGCTTGCATTCTTGTTCACACATGTTCTTGGTTAGCTTCAGGCCGGGATCTTGAGGCGTCTTCACTGGCTTGCTGTTATCCATTCCGAACTTGGTTAACACGGACTTGAGAAACTTGGTTTGTTGTACAGTCACCATTCCCGTCTTACGGTCGTTCTTGATCTCCATGCCGAGAAAGTAATCGAGCTCACCGAGATCCGTCATTTCGAAGCGTTTGCTCAGCGCCATCTTGGTTGACTTGAGGAGTTCGTTGTTGCTGCTGGCCAGGATGAGATCATCGACGTAGAGCACCACGAGAATCATGTCTTGGTCGTCTCGCTTGATGTAGATGCAGTGGTCCGATTCGCACTTCTTGAATCCCATCTTGATCATGAACCCATCGATTGTTTGGTTCCACATGCGAGGCGATTGCTTCAAGCCGTAGAGTGATCTCTTTAGCTTGCACACATAGTCCGGCTGTGTTGCATCCAGGTATCCGTCCGGCTGGTCCATGTAGATGTCTTCGTTGAGGGAGCCGTTAAGAAACGCTGTCTTGACGTCCATCTGATGTAGCATTAGGCCGTACTTAGCCGCCATACTGAGCACCACACGAATCGATGTGAACTTGGCCACCGGTGCGAAAGTTTCTTCATAGTCAACTCCGAATTTCTGTGAGAATCCTTTGGCCACAAGTCTTGCCTTGAAACGTTCAACTTCGCCATCTTGATTCTCCTTTACACGAAAAACCCATCGGCACCCGATGGCCTTGCGACCTTTCGGAAGAGGCACGATTTCCCACGTGTCGTTTCTCTGAAGCGAATCGAACTCCGAGTCACACGCTTCTTTCCACTTGCCGGAGTCGCTTGATTCCATCGCCGACTTGAATGTAGTCGGCGTTTCCCCCACTGAATCAACGATGTAGGCTGCTTCAAAATCCATTGCAGCCGCTGACACATGCTCAAGCGACGGACCTCTGTATGTTCTTCGCTTGGGACTTGGAATGACGGTAGCTTTCTCAAGTGATTGAGTGCGCGTGTGTCTCTTGATGTTGCTCTTCGAAGACCTGGTGTCTTCGTTGTCATCGTCGCTCGAGTCCATGTCGTCGTCAGTTTTACCTTCTTCTTTTTCTTCGTCCTCATCATGATCATCAAACTCAACGACACTTGACTCATCGTTGTAGTTGCGCGGACCTTCATCAAACTTGTCTTCCATGAATGTGGCATCGCGACTGATCTTGATCGCTCCTGTTGACACTTCCTCAAATCGATATGACTTCTGGTGTTCGGCGTATCCCAGGAAACGACAGAGTGATGACTTGGAGTCGAACTTCGCGCGTTTGTCTTGAGGCACTTGAACATACGCGTGGCATCCAAACACTTTAAGGTTGGCCAGAATCGGTTTCTTCATCGTCCACACTTGATATGGAGACTTGTCTTGGTGAATGGCACGTGTTGGACAGCGGTTTCGAAGAAACATCGCCGTCATCACTGCTTCACCCCAGTAGCTCTTTCCCAGTCCAGCGTGTTCCATCATGCAACGCGCACACTCGACCAGCGTGCGATTCATTCTCTCAGCTACTCCGTTTAGCTGAGGAGTATATGGGGGTGTGAACCTTTGTTGTATTCCCCGTTCCGCGCAGAATCGTGCCAGCTTGTCGGACTTGTATTCACCCCCATTGTCGCTTTGAAGGTACTTCACGCGCTTTCCGGTTTGCGTTTCGGCCATCGCAGCGTATTCCATGAACTTCGCCGCAACTTCAGATTTGCTCTTGAGCAGATAGACGACACAGTATCTTGACTTGTCATCAATGAATGTCACGAAGTACCGTTTTCCACTGAAAGTTGCCATCGACATCGGTCCGCATACGTCGCTGTGAATCACTTCGAGGAGTTTGGAGGTGCGAGCTGTAGTGTTTGATTGGAAGCGCACTCGAGTCTGTTTTCCCAGAGCACAACCTTCACACACGTCCCACTTCTTCACCGAAGATATGTCGATGCCAATTCCAATGTTCTTCGTCACGATGCAATTGAGTCCATCGTGACCTATGTGGCCAAGCCGAAGGTGCCAGAGGTACGACTTGGTGCCCCCTTGACATCCCGACGACTTGGCTGCATTTGCTTGTTCCGGCGCCACTGGAGTCATTTGCAGCTTGAACAGTCCTTTACCTTCACGGGCACCAATTTTCCACTTGGTCCCTTTCGCTTTTCCATAGCACCCATCCTTCGTGAACGTCACTGGGCCGACATCCTTGGTGAAGCGGCCGACCGAGAACAGGTTTCTGGATAACTTTGGGATGTGCCACACGTTTGTGAGCACACCTTTCTTCATCCCTTGGGGTGTCTTCATCGACATGACAATGTCCCCACTGCCGATTGCTTGGACGATTCCATCATCCGCGAGATGGACATCCACAGCGTCAAACCCCTTGTAGTTCCGCATGAACTTCTTGGAGCACGTCATGTGCTGCGTCGCCCCGGAGTCGACCAGCCAGATGTCGCTCGATTTCGCAGATGTCGTTTCACCGATCGAAAAGAGGTAGTCGCCCGAGTCTTCTTCTTGAGCGACGTTTGCACGTTGTGATCGATAGCGGTCGCCGCTGTCTTGAGCACGCTGTGGCCGGTGTCTCTCCGTGTTTTCTTGGATGCGCGAGGGGCACTCCGCCATCCAGTGACCAATCTTTCCGCAATTGTGGCACGGCCAGGACTTCTTCACTGGTCGCCCTTTGCGCTGATTGTCCCTTGTGATGAACGCTTGACCTTGCGAAGCTTCATCACCTTTACTTCCTTGCTCCTTCCGCTTCATTTCTTCATGAAGCAGTCGAGACGTCACGAGCTCCCAGCTAAGAGTGTCTGAGCGCGACTCCAAAGCTGTGATCAAGAATTGATACGAGTCACTCAGGCTGCCGAGGAGTGTGATCACCAGATCGTCCTCGCAGACTGGAGCCCCCACCGCTTCTAGCTGTTCCGCCAGCGTCTTGAGCTTGTTGATGTGTTCGAGCACATCGTCGCCTTCTTCCATCATTGTCGTGAAGAAGCGACGGCGCAAGAACAGCTTGTTGGCAAGACTCTTCTTCTCGAAGTGGTCTTCCAACCTTGACCATGCGTCGCATGCACCACTTGCCGACCGGACCAACGGTAGCTGGGAATCTTCCATGGCTAGACAGATCACTGCCATCGCCTTTCTTGACTTCCTCTTGTACGTCGCTTGGTCCAACTGAGTCTCGCACTGTTCCGCCTTGATCTCACCGCTGACGACCTCCCATAGGTCCCGTTCCTCCAGCACCATCTGCATCTTGAACTTCCAGGCGTGGAAGTTAGTTCCATCGAACTTGGAGATGCGGAGGGAGGAGGCGTCCATGGCAGCTAAGCTTGAATTGTTGGCGGTTTCAGAGTCTGACGAACTTGGGCTCATAACCTGATGAACTTTAGACTTCTTGGTCCGAGTGCAAAACGCAAAGTGAATATATATTTATAATAGGTACTTAGTTCGCAACTTTGAATACTACCTCTAAGCCTATTATTCGCAGTGACGTCATCCAGTGACGTCACCCACTGACGTCACCCACTGACGTCATGCAATGACGTCATCCAGTGACGTCATTTCCTGACTTCGCCCTTACTGGTACATACCGGTACCCACCGGTATAGCGAAGCTTGGTCTTCCACTTGCTTCAACACTTGACGCAGCTTGACGAGGTGTCTTCTTCACAGCCGCTGTCTTTTCAACAGGTCTTCCACTTGCTTCAACACTTGACGCAGCTTGACGAGGTGTCTTCTTCACAGCCGCTGTCTTTTCAACACTCCCTCTCGACTCGTTAGCTGCGGCACCTTGGATCCCAAGTCGATCGCGAATGTTTTCAAATTGTACAGCGGCGATCGGCTTGGTCATCATGTCTGCCAGCATATCTTGAGTCGGGCAATACTCCAAAACGACTTCACCTGATTCCACCTTCTCACGCACAAAATGGTAGCGTATGTCGATGTGTTTTGTTCTCTTATGGAACTCCGGGTTCTTGGCGAGAGCGATTGATCCTTGGTTGTCTTCATACATCTTGATCGCTTCGTCGCTTGTCATCTCACCAAGTTCCCCCAAAAGCACTTTGAGCCATACTGCTTCTTTGGTTGCTTCGGAAAGCGCTATGTATTCTGCTTCTGTTGAAGATAGCGCGACCGCCCGTTGTTTCTGGCTTTTCCAGCTGATGCATCCTCCGCTCATCATGAACACATAGCCGCTTGTACTTCGTCTTGACTCAATGTCGCCGGCCCAGTCTGCGTCGGTGTACCCGCAGATACGGCTTCCTTCTTCACGTGTAAACTCAAGACCATGATTGGGCGTTGCTTGCAGGTATCTCAGCACACGATTCAAAGCTTGCCAGTGAGTCGGGCATGGGTCGGACGAGAACTGGGATAATGATCCCACTGCATCAGCTAGATCCGGACGTGTGGCGAGCATGAGATACATGATGCCTCCGACAGCACTTCGATATGGCACGTTGCACATGGTGTCTTCGTGCTTGCATTCTTGTTCACACATGTTCTTGGTTAGCTTCAGGCCGGGATCTTGAGGCGTCTTCACTGGCTTGCTGTTATCCATTCCGAACTTGGTTAACACGGACTTGAGAAACTTGGTTTGTTGTACAGTCACCATTCCCGTCTTACGGTCGTTCTTGATCTCCATGCCGAGAAAGTAATCGAGCTCACCGAGATCCGTCATTTCGAAGCGTTTGCTCAGCGCCATCTTGGTTGACTTGAGGAGTTCGTTGTTGCTGCTGGCCAGGATGAGATCATCGACGTAGAGCACCACGAGAATCATGTCTTGGTCGTCTCGCTTGATGTAGATGCAGTGGTCCGATTCGCACTTCTTGAATCCCATCTTGATCATGAACCCATCGATTGTTTGGTTCCACATGCGAGGCGATTGCTTCAAGCCGTAGAGTGATCTCTTTAGCTTGCACACATAGTCCGGCTGTGTTGCATCCAGGTATCCGTCCGGCTGGTCCATGTAGATGTCTTCGTTGAGGGAGCCGTTAAGAAACGCTGTCTTGACGTCCATCTGATGTAGCATTAGGCCGTACTTAGCCGCCATACTGAGCACCACACGAATCGATGTGAACTTGGCCACCGGTGCGAAAGTTTCTTCATAGTCAACTCCGAATTTCTGTGAGAATCCTTTGACTACAAGTCTTGCCTTGAAACGTTCAACTTCGCCATCTTGATTCTCCTTTACACGAAAAACCCATCGGCACCCGATGGCCTTGCGACCTTTCGGAAGAGGCACGATTTCCCACGTGTCGTTTCTCTGAAGCGAATCGAACTCCGAGTCACACGCTTCTTTCCACTTGCCGGAGTCGCTTGATTCCATCGCCGACTTGAATGTAGTCGGCGTTTCCCCCACTGAATCAACGATGTAGGCTGCTTCAAAATCCATTGCAGCCGCTGACACATGCTCAAGCGACGGACCTCTGTATGTTCTTCGCTTGGGACTTGGAATGACGGTAGCTTTCTCAAGTGATTGAGTGCGCGTGTGTCTCTTGATGTTGCTCTTCGAAGACCTGGTGTCTTCGTTGTCATCGTCGCTCGAGTCCATGTCGTCGTCAGTTTTACCTTCTTCTTTTTCTTCGTCCTCATCATGATCATCAAACTCAACGACACTTGACTCATCGTTGTAGTTGCGCGGACCTTCGTCAAACTTGTCTTCCATGAATGTGGCATCGCGACTGATCTTGATCGCTCCTGTTGACACTTCCTCAAATCGATATGACTTCTGGTGTTCGGCGTATCCCAGGAAACGACAGAGTGATGACTTGTGTTGAAAAGACAGCGGCTGTGAAGAAGACACCTCGTCAAGCTGCGTCAAGTGTTGAAGCAAGTGGAAGACCAAGCTTCGCTATACCGGTGGGTACCGGTATGTACCAGTAAGGGCGAAGTCAGGAAATGACGTCACTGGATGACGTCATTGCATGACGTCAGTGGGTGACGTCAGTGGGTGACGTCAGTGGGTGACGTCACTGGATGACGTCACTGCGAATAATAGGCTTAGAGGTAGTATTCAAAGCTGCGAACTAAGTACCTATTATAAATATATATTCACTTTGCGTTTTGCACTCGGACCAAGAAGTCTAAAGTTCATCAGGTTATGAGCCCAAGTTCGTCAGACTCTGAAACCGCCAACAATTCAAGCTTAGCTGCCATGGACGCCTCCTCCCTCCGCATCTCCAAGTTCGATGGAACTAACTTCCACGCCTGGAAGTTCAAGATGCAGATGGTGCTGGAGGAACGGGACCTATGGGAGGTCGTCAGCGGTGAGATCAAGGCGGAACAGTGCGAGACTCAGTTGGACCAAGCGACGTACAAGAGGAAGTCAAGAAAGGCGATGGCAGTGATCTGTCTAGCCATGGAAGATTCCCAGCTACCGTTGGTCCGGTCGGCAAGTGGTGCATGCGACGCATGGTCAAGGTTGGAAGACCACTTCGAGAAGAAGAGTCTTGCCAACAAGCTGTTCTTGCGCCGTCGCTTCTTCACGACAATGATGGAAGAAGGCGACGATGTGCTAGAACACATCAACAAGCTCAAGACGCTGGCGGAACAGCTAGAAGCGGTGGGGGCTCCAGTCTGCGAGGACGATCTGGTGATCACACTCCTCGGCAGCCTGAGTGACTCGTATCAATTCTTGATCACAGCTTTGGAGTCGCGCTCAGACACTCTTAGCTGGGAGCTCGTGACGTCTCGACTGCTTCATGAAGAAATGAAGCGGAAGGAGCAAGGAAGTAAAGGTGATGAAGCTTCGCAAGGTCAAGCGTTCATCACAAGGGACAATCAGCGCAAAGGGCGACCAGTGAAGAAGTCCTGGCCGTGCCACAATTGCGGAAAGATTGGTCACTGGATGGCGGAGTGTCCCTCGCGCATCCAAGAAAACACGGAGAGACACCGGCCACAGCGTGCTCAAGACAGCGGCGACCGCTATCGATCACAACGTGCAAACGTCGCTCAAGAAGAAGACTCGGGCGACTACCTCTTTTCGATCGGTGAAACGACATCTGCGAAATCGAGCGACATCTGGCTGGTCGACTCCGGGGCGACGCAGCACATGACGTGCTCCAAGAAGTTCATGCGGAACTACAAGGGGTTTGACGCTGTGGATGTCCATCTCGCGGATGATGGAATCGTCCAAGCAATCGGCAGTGGGGACATTGTCATGTCGATGAAGACACCCCAAGGGATGAAGAAAGGTGTGCTCACAAACGTGTGGCACATCCCAAAGTTATCCAGAAACCTGTTCTCGGTCGGCCGCTTCACCAAGGATGTCGGCCCAGTGACGTTCACGAAGGATGGGTGCTATGGAAAAGCGAAAGGGACCAAGTGGAAAATTGGCGCCCGTGAAGGTAAAGAACTGTTCAAGCTGCAAATGACTCCAGTGGCGCCGGAACAAGCAAATGCAGCCAAGTCGTCGGGATGTCAAGGGGGCACCAAGTCGTACCTCTGGCACCTTCGGCTTGGCCACATAGGTCATGATGGACTCAATTGCATCGTGACGAAGAACATTGGAATTGGCATCGACATATCTTCGGTGAAGAAGTGGGACGTGTGTGAAGGTTGTGCTCTGGGAAAACAGACTCGAGTGCGCTTCCAATCAAACACTACAGCTCGCACCTCCAAACTCCTCGAAGTGATTCACAGCGACGTATGCGGACCGATGTCGATGGCAACTTTCAGTGGAAAACGGTACTTCGTGACATTCATCGATGACAAGTCAAGATACTGTGTCGTCTATCTGCTCAAGAGCAAATCTGAAGTTGCGGCGAAGTTCATGGAATACGCTGCGATGGCCGAAACGCAAACCGGAAAGCGCGTGAAGTACCTTCAAAGCGACAATGGGGGTGAATACAAGTCCGACAAGCTGGCACGATTCTGCGCGGAACGGGGAATACAACAAAGGTTCAGACCCCCATATACTCCTCAGCTAAACGGAGTAGCTGAGAGAATGAATCGCACGCTGGTCGAGTGTGCGCGTTGCATGATGGAACACGCTGGACTGGGAAAGAGCTACTGGGGTGAAGCAGTGATGACGGCGATGTTTCTTCGAAACCGCTGTCCAACACGTGCCATTCACCAAGACAAGTCTCCATATCAAGTGTGGACGATGAAGAAACCGATTCTGGCCAACCTTAAAGTGTTTGGATGCCACGCGTATGTTCAAGTGCCTCAAGACAAACGCGCGAAGTTCGACTCCAAGTCATCACTCTGTCGTTTCCTGGGATACGCCGAACACCAGAAGTCATATCGATTTGAGGAAGTGTCAACAGGAGCGATCAAGATCAGTCGCGATGCCACATTCATGGAAGACAAGTTTGATGAAGGTCCGCGCAACTACAACGATGAGTCAAGTGTCGTTGAGTTTGATGATCATGATGAGGACGAAGAAAAAGAAGAAGGTAAAACTGACGACGACATGGACTCGAGCGACGATGACAACGAAGACACCAGGTCTTCGAAGAGCAACATCAAGAGACACACGCGCACTCAATCACTTGAGAAAGCTACCGTCATTCCAAGTCCCAAGCGAAGAACGTACAGAGGTCCGTCGCTTGAGCATGTGTCAGCGGCTGCAATGGATTTTGAAGCAGCCTACATCGTTGATTCAGTGGGGAAACGCCGACTACATTCAAGTCGGCGATGGAATCAAGCGACTCCGGCAAGTGGAAAGAAGCGTGTGACTCGGAGTTCGATTCGCTTCAGAGAAACGACACGTGGGAAATCGTGCCTCTTCCGAAAGGTCGCAAGGCCATCGGGTGCCGATGGGTTTTTCGTGTAAAGGAGAATCAAGATGGCGAAGTTGAACGTTTCAAGGCAAGACTTGTGGCCAAAGGATTCTCACAGAAATTCGGAGTTGACTATGAAGAAACTTTCGCACCGGTGGCCAAGTTCACATCGATTCGTGTGGTGCTCAGTATGGCGGCTAAGTACGGCCTAATGCTACATCAGATGGACGTCAAGACAGCGTTTCTTAACGGCTCCCTCAACGAAGACATCTACATGGACCAGCCGGACGGATACCTGGATGCAACACAGCCGGACTATGTGTGCAAGCTAAAGAGATCACTCTACGGCTTGAAGCAATCGCCTCGCATGTGGAACCAAACAATCGATGGGTTCATGATCAAGATGGGATTCAAGAAGTGCGAATCGGACCACTGCATCTACATCAAGCGAGACGACCAAGACATGATTCTCGTGGTGCTCTACGTCGATGATCTCATCCTGGCCAGCAGCAACAACGAACTCCTCAAGTCAACCAAGATGGCGCTGAGCAAACGCTTCGAAATGACGGATCTCGGTGAGCTCGATTACTTTCTCGGCATGGAGATCAAGAACGACCGTAAGACGGGAATGGTGACTGTACAACAAACCAAGTTTCTCAAGTCCGTGTTAACCAAGTTCGGAATGGATAACAGCAAGCCAGTGAAGACGCCTCAAGATCCCGGCCTGAAGCTAACCAAGAACATGTGTGAACAAGAATGCAAGCACGAAGACACCATGTGCAACGTGCCATATCGAAGTGCTGTCGGAGGCATCATGTATCTCATGGTCGCCACACGTCCGGATCTAGCTGCTGCAGTGGGATCATTATCCCAGTTCTCGTCCGACCCATGCCCGACTCACTGGCAAGCTTTGAAGCGTGTGCTGAGATACCTGCAAGCAACGCCCAATCATGGTCTTGAGTTTACACGTGAAGAAGGAAGCCGTATCTGCGGGTACACCGACGCAGACTGGGCCGGCGACATTGAGTCAAGACGAAGTACAAGCGGCTATGTGTTCATGATGAGCGGAGGATGCATCAGCTGGAAAAGCCAGAAACAACGGACGGTCGCGCTATCTTCAACAGAAGCAGAATACATGGCGCTTTCCGAAGCAACCAAAGAAGCAGTATGGCTCAAAGTGCTTTTGGGGAACTTGGTGAGATGACAAGCGACGAAGCGATCAAGATGTATGAAGACAACCAAGGATCAATCGCTCTCGCCAAGAACCCGGAGTTCCATAAGAGAACAAAACACATCGACATACGCTACCATTTTGTGCGTGAGAAGGTGGAATCAGGTGAAGTCGTTTTGGAGTATTGCCCGACTCAAGATATGCTGGCAGACATGATGACCAAGCCGATCGCCGCTGTACAATTTGAAAACATTCGCGATCGACTTGGGATCCAAGGTGCCGCAGCTAACGAGTCGAGAGGGAGTGTTGAAAAGACAGCGGCTGTGAAGAAGACACCTCGTCAAGCTGCGTCAAGTGTTGAAGCAAGTGGAAGACCAAGCTTCGCTATACCGGTGGGTACCGGTATGTACCAGTAAGGGCGAAGTCAGGAAATGACGTCACTGGATGACGTCATTGCATGACGTCAGTGGGTGACGTCAGTGGGTGACGTCACTGGATGACGTCACTGCGAATAATAGGCTTAGAGGTAGTATTCAAAGTTGCGAACTAAGTACCTATTATAAATATATATTCACTTTGCGTTTTGCACTCGGACCAAGAAGTCTAAAGTTCATCAACTTGGAGTCGAACTTCGCGCGTTTGTCTTGAGGCACTTGAACATACGCGTGGCATCCAAACACTTTAAGGTTGGCCAGAATCGGTTTCTTCATCGTCCACACTTGATATGGAGACTTGTCTTGGTGAATGGCACGTGTTGGACAGCGGTTTCGAAGAAACATCGCCGTCATCACTGCTTCACCCCAGTAGCTCTTTCCCAGTCCAGCGTGTTTCATCATGCAACGCGCACACTCGACCAGCGTGCGATTCATTCTCTCAGCTACTCCGTTTAGCTGAGGAGTATATGGGGGTGTGAACCTTTGTTGTATTCCCCGTTCCGCGCAGAATCGTGCCAGCTTGTCGGACTTGTATTCACCCCCATTGTCGCTTTGAAGGTACTTCACGCGCTTTCCGGTTTGCGTTTCGGCCATCGCAGCGTATTCCATGAACTTCGCCGCAACTTCAGATTTGCTCTTGAGCAGATAGACGACACAGTATCTTGACTTGTCATCAATGAATGTCACGAAGTACCGTTTTCCACTGAAAGTTGCCATCGACATCGGTCCGCATACGTCGCTGTGAATCACTTCGAGGAGTTTGGAGGTGCGAGCTGTAGTGTTTGATTGGAAGCGCACTCGAGTCTGTTTTCCCAGAGCACAACCTTCACACACGTCCCACTTCTTCACCGAAGATATGTCGATGCCAATTCCAATGTTCTTCGTCACGATGCAATTGAGTCCATCGTGACCTATGTGGCCAAGCCGAAGGTGCCAGAGGTACGACTTGGTGCCCCCTTGACATCCCGACGACTTGGCTGCATTTGCTTGTTCCGGCGCCACTGGAGTCATTTGCAGCTTGAACAGTCCTTTACCTTCACGGGCACCAATTTTCCACTTGGTCCCTTTCGCTTCTCCATAGCACCCATCCTTCGTGAACGTCACTGGGCCGACATCCTTGGTGAAGCGGCCGACCGAGAACAGGTTTCTGGATAACTTTGGGATGTGCCACACGTTTGTGAGCACACCTTTCTTCATCCCTTGGGGTGTCTTCATCGACATGACAATGTCCCCACTGCCGATTGCTTGGACGATTCCATCATCCGCGAGATGGACATCCACAGCGTCAAACCCCTTGTAGTTCCGCATGAACTTCTTGGAGCACGTCATGTGCTGCGTCGCCCCGGAGTCGACCAGCCAGATGTCGCTCGATTTCGCAGATGTCGTTTCACCGATCGAAAAGAGGTAGTCGCCCGAGTCTTCTTCTTGAGCGACGTTTGCACGTTGTGATCGATAGCGGTCGCCGCTGTCTTGAGCACGCTGTGGCCGGTGTCTCTCCGTGTTTTCTTGGATGCGCGAGGGGCACTCCGCCATCCAGTGACCAATCTTTCCGCAATTGTGGCACGGCCAGGACTTCTTCACTGGTCGCCCTTTGCGCTGATTGTCCCCTTGTGATGAACGCTTGACCTTGCGAAGCTTCATCACCTTTACTTCCTTGCTCCTTCCGCTTCATTTCTTCATGAAGCAGTCGAGACGTCACGAGCTCCCAGCTAAGAGTGTCTGAGCGCGACTCCAAAGCTGTGATCAAGAATTGATACGAGTCACTCAGGCTGCCGAGGAGTGTGATCACCAGATCGTCCTCGCAGACTGGAGCCCCCACCGCTTCTAGCTGTTCCGCCAGCGTCTTGAGCTTGTTGATGTGTTCGAGCACATCGTCGCCTTCTTCCATCATTGTCGTGAAGAAGCGACGGCGCAAGAACAGCTTGTTGGCAAGACTCTTCTTCTCGAAGTGGTCTTCCAACCTTGACCATGCGTCGCATGCACCACTTGCCGACCGGACCAACGGTAGCTGGGAATCTTCCATGGCTAGACAGATCACTGCCATCGCCTTTCTTGACTTCCTCTTGTACGTCGCTTGGTCCAACTGAGTCTCGCACTGTTCCGCCTTGATCTCACCGCTGACGACCTCCCATAGGTCCCGTTCCTCCAGCACCATCTGCATCTTGAACTTCCAGGCGTGGAAGTTAGTTCCATCGAACTTGGAGATGCGGAGGGAGGAGGCGTCCATGGCAGCTAAGCTTGAATTGTTGGCGGTTTCAGAGTCTGACGAACTTAGGCTCATAACCTGATGAACTTTAGACTTCTTGGTCCGAGTGCAAAACGCAAAGTAAATATATATTTATAATAGGTACTTAGTTCGCAGCTTTGAATACTACCTCTAAGCCTATTATTCGCAGTGACGTCATCCAGTGACGTCACCCACTGACGTCACCCACTGACGTCATGCAATGACGTCATCCAGTGACGTCATTTCCTGACTTCGCCCTTACTGGTACATACCGGTACCCACCGGTATAGCGAAGCTTGGTCTTCCACTTGCTTCAACACTTGACGCAGCTTGACGAGGTGTCTTCTTCACAGCCGCTGTCTTTTCAACAACGGTTACCAATACTGGTAGAAAACCGATGACCGTCAACACATCGAGCAACAAACCACGGTGCCATACGCACATCAAGCCAATGGAACTGCTGAACGCGCGATTCGAACTATCGTCACCATCGGTCGTAGCATGCTCCATCATGCCAAGTTGGACAAGTGCTTCTGGGCTGAAGCGGCAATGACGGCCGTCTATGTGAAGAACCGTTTGCCGTCACCCAAGATTCCACACAAGACACCGTTCGAGATTGTCTACAATTCTAAGCCAAGTGTCAAGCACATGCGCGTTTTTGGGTGCCAAGCATACATCTTGACCCCGAAGGAGAAACGACTCAAGTGGGACCCCAAGGCCCGGGCTGGATTGTTTTTGGGCTACGAAGAAGTGTCCAAGGCGTATCGAGTTTATGACATCGAAGCGGGGCAGGTGATGATAAGTCGCGATGTCAACTTCGATGAGTCGGCCTTTGGAATGTCGATGCTGATTTCCGATGACGATGTTGATGGCCTGGACTTCGAATCGATCGATCTTGATGATGAAGAACCGCGTCCGAGACACTTCAAACAAACAGGAAAGCGCAAGGCCCAACCCAGTCACGACAATGACGACGCAAGCATGCCCCGAGCAGTGCGCCAACGACCCGGATTGGAAGAGTCAAGTGCGCCGGATGACCTCTCTTCACGTCGAGCCAACGAAGATGAAGAAAGGAAGTCGGAGGAACAACATGACACACCGACTTCCTCCGCGTTTTGGCATGCGAGTGCAAACGCCGTCGAAGCAGCGGTCGATTTTTCGGAGCCGTCGACATTTGAAGAAGCAGTGTCTGGCCCGGACCAAGTACACTGGCGCAAGGCAATTGATGCGGAGCTCGATTCGATGAAGCTTCGCGGTGTCTTTCGTGCGGCCAAGTTACCCAACGGACAAAGCGCCATTGGCACAAAGTGGGTCTTCAAGATCAAGCGCAAGGCGGATGGGTCGATCGAGAAATACAAGGCACGACTTGTGGCCAAGGGTTTTCGCCAAAATTATGGCATCGACTACACGGAGACGTTCTCGCCCGTGGTCAAGTATGTGACGCTGCGAATGGTCATCGCCATTACCAAGCACTTTGGATGGCCCCTCGACCAGCTCGATGTGGTGACTGCGTTCCTGTATGGAGTGATGAAGGAGAAGGTGTTCTGCGCTGTTCCGGAAGGCGTCAAGATGGAAGGTGATTTCGACTGTCTCGAGCTGATCAAGGCGATCTACGGTCTCAAGCAAGCCTCGCGTGTTTGGAACGAGACCTTCGACGAGTTCATACGCTCGATTGGTTTTCAAGCGTCGGGATTCGATCCATGTCTCTACATCATGACTTCGGAAGGCCATTGTGTTTTTGTGCTGGTCTACGTGGACGATGTCTTGGTGACTGGAAGCTCGCTCGAGATGATTGCGCGCACCAAGAACGACCTCAAGACACGCTTCGAGATGACGGACAGCGGCAAGTGTGCCTTTGTTCTTGGGATCGAGTTATTGGACGGTGAAGATGGCAGCGTGACTATGTGTCAGCGCCGTTATGTCGACGATGTCCTCAAGCGCTTTGGAATGGATGAGTGCAAGGCTGTGGCAAGTCCGGTGGACGTCAGCTCTCGACTGGTTCCGAGCAACTCTGCAAGCAAGATGGATGTCCTATTCCGTGAAGCAGTGGGTGCTTTGATGCATCTGACGACTGCAACGCGACCGGGCATCGCCTATGCTGTAAGCTTTGTGTCACGGTTCATGGAGAAACCCCAAGAAGAACACTGGGTTGCAGTCAAGCGCATCTTCCGCTACCTACAAGGCACCAAGATGCATGGAATCTGCTACAAGCCAAGTGCGAAGATCGACTTTCGTGGCTATTCAGATGCAGACTGGGCCGGTGACCTTGCTGATCGCAAATCGACGTCCGGCTACGTCTTCATGCTATTGGGTGCTCCGGTGAGTTGGGGCAGCAAGAAACAGCCAAGTGTGTCACTGTCTACAAGCGAAGCGGAGTACATCGCGCTCAGCCTGGCGATCCAAGAAGGCAAGTGGATCAATCGCTTGCTGTGCGAAATCATGGCGGCTGCAAACGAAGAAGGACCCGAGCTCGTCATCCGTGAAGACAACCAGTCGTGCATCAAGATGATGAAGAATCGGGTCAACCACGGCCGCGCTAAACACATCGACATCAAGTACCATCACATCCGTGATGAAGTCAAGCGCGGCGAAGTGAAGCTTGAATACTGCGAGACGACGTTGATGTTGGCGGACATCATGACGAAGGGACTTCACGGACCGCGTCACAAGGACTTGACGGCGGCGCTTGGCATCCGTGCGTGTTCGGATTGAGGGGGCGTATTGAGGGTTACCGGTACAATCCGAACCTAGCGCGTAGTTCTTACAAAATAGTTTTTACATCGGTAATTACCTCAGAGATGATTAGACGCGTAGGATGATTGGACGCGTGTAAATCAGGTTGATTAGATGCACCATGTGATTGGATGCAGTCTAGGGTAGGCAGAAGTTAAGACCTATAAATCAATCACTTTCGAATCCTCCCTCAAGTGAGCAAGTGTTCTCTGCTTCGTTCTCTCCGGTCTCTCCGCTTCGTTTTCTCTTCGCCTCGCGCTCAAGTTATAACAGTCGCGATGCCACATTCATGGAAGACAAGTTTGATGAAGGTCCGCGCAACTACAACGATGAGTCAAGTGCCGTTGAGTTTGATGATCAAGACGAGGACGAAGAAAAAGAAGAAGGTAAAACTGACGACGACATGGACTCGAGCGACGATGACAACGAAGACACCAGGTCTTCAAAGAGCAACATCAAGAGACACACGCGCACTCAATCACTTGAGAAAGCTACCGTCATTCCAAGTCCCAAGCAAAGAACGTACAGAGGTCCGTCGCTTGAGCATGTGTCAGCGGCTGCAATGGATTTTGAAGCAGCCTACATCGTTGATTCAGTGGGGAAACGCCGACTACATTCAAGTCGGCGATGGAATCAAGCGACTCCGGCAAGTGGAAAGAAGCGTGTGACTCGGAGTTTGACTCGCTTCAGAGAAACGACACGTGGGAAATCGTGCCTCTTCCGAAGGTCGCAAGGCCATCGGGTGCCGATGGGTTTTTCGTGTAAAGGAGAATCAAGATGGCGAAGTTGAACGTTTCAAGGCAAGACTTGTGGCCAAAGGATTCTCACAGAAATTCGGAGTTGACTATGAAGAAACTTTCGCACCGGTGGCCAAGTTCACATCGATTCGTGTGGTGCTCAGTATGGCGGCCAAGTACGGCCTAATGCTACATCAGATGGACGTCAAGACAGCGTTTCTTAACGGCTCCCTCAACGAAGACATCTACATGGACCAGCCGGACGGATACCTGGATGCAACACAGCCGGACTATGTGTGCAAGCTAAAGAGATCACTCTACGGCTTGAAGCAATCGCCTCGCATGTGGAACCAAACAATCGATGGGTTCATGATCAAGATGGGATTCAAGAAGTGCGAATCGGACCACTGCATCTACATCAAGCGAGACGACCAAGACATGATTCTCGTGGTGCTCTACGTCGATGATCTCATCCTGGCCAGCAGCAACAACGAACTCCTCAAGTCGACCAAGATGGCGCTGAGCAAACGCTTCGAAATGACGGATCTCGGTGAGCTCGATTACTTTCTTGGCATGGAGATCAAGAACGACCGTAAGACGGGAATGGTGACTGTGCAACAAACCATGTTTCTCAAGTCCGTGTTGACCAAGTTCGGAATGGATAACAGCAAGCCAGTGAAGACGCCTCAAGATCCCGGCCTGAAGCTAACCAAGAACATGTGTGAACAAGAATGCAAGCACGAAGACACCATGTGCAACGTGCCATATCGAAGTGCTGTCGGAGGCATCATGTATCTCATGGTCGCCACACGTCCGGATCTAGCTGCTGCAGTGGGATCATTATCCCAGTTCTCGTCCGACCCATGCCCGACTCACTGGCAAGCTTTGAAGCGTGTGCTGAGATACCTGCAAGCAACGCCCAATCATGGTCTTGAGTTTACACGTGAAGAAGGAAGCCGTATCTGCGGGTACACCGACGCAGACTGGGCCGGCGACATTGAGTCAAGCCGAAGTACAAGCGGCTATGTGTTCATGATGAACGGAGGATGCATCAGCTGGAAAAGCCAGAAACAACGGACTGTTGAAAAGACAGCGGCTGTGAAGAAGACACCTCGTCAAGCTGCGTCAAGTGTTGAAGCAAGTGGAAGACCAAGCTTCGCTATACCGGTGGGTACCGGTATGTACCAGTAAGGGCGAAGTCAGGAAATGACGTCATTGGATGACGTCAGTGGGTGACGTCACTGGATGACGTCATTGCATGATGTCAGTGGGTGACGTCACTGGATGACGTCACTGCGAATAATAGGCTTAGAGGTAGTATTCAAAGTTGCGAACTAAGTACCTATTATAAATATATATTCACTTTGCGTTTTGCACTCGGACCAAGAAGTCTAAAGTTCATCAGGTTATGAGCCCAAGTTCGTCAGACTCTGAAACCGCCAACAATTCAAGCTTAGCTGCCATGGACGCCTCCTCCCTCCGCATCTCCAAGTTCGATGGAACTAACTTCCACGCCTGGAAGTTCAAGATGCAGATGGTGCTGGAGGAACGGGACCTATGGGAGGTCGTCAGCAGTGAGATCAAGTCGGAACAGTGCGAGACTCAGTTGGACCAAGCGACGTACAAGAGGAAGTCAAGAAAGGCGATGGCAGTGATCTGTCTAGCTACGGAAGATTCCCAGCTACCGTTGGTCCGGTCGGCAAGTGGTGCATGCGACGCATGGTCAAGGTTGGAAGACCACTTCGAGAAGAAGAGTCTTGCCAACAAGCTGTTCTTGCGCCGTCGCTTCTTCACGACAATGATGGAAGAAGGCGACGATGTGCTCGAACACATCAACAAGCTCAAGACGCTGGCGGAACAGCTAGAAGCGGTGGGGGCTCCAGTCTGCGAGGACGATCTGGTGATCACACTTCTCGGCAGCCTGAGTGACTCGTATCAATTCTTGATCACAGCTTTGGAGTCGCGCTCAGACACTCTTAGCTGGGAGCTCGTGACGTCTCGACTGCTTCATGAAGAAATGAAGCGGAAGGAGCAAGGAAGTAAAGGTGATGAAGCTTCGCAAGGTCAAGCGTTCATCACAAGGGACAATCAGCGCAAAGGGCGACCAGTGAAGAAGTCCTGGCCGTGCCACAATTGCGGAAAGATTGGTCACTGGATGGCGGAGTGCCCCTCGCGCATCCAAAAAAACACGGAGAGACACCGGCCACAGCGTGCTCAAGACAGCGGCGACCGCTATCGATCACAACGTGCAAACGTCGCTCAAGAAGAAGACTCGGGCGACTACCTCTTTTCGATCGGTGAAACGACATCTGCGAAATCGAGCGACATCTGGATGGTCGACTCCGGGGCGACGCAGCACATGACGTGCTCCAAGAAGTTCATGCGGAACTACAAGGGGTTTGACGCTGTGGATGTCCATCTCGCGGATGATGGAATCGTCCAAGCAATCGGCAGTGGGGACATTGTCATGTCGATGAAGACACCCCAAGGGATGAAGAAAGGTGTGCTCACAAACGTGTGGCACATCCCAAAGTTATCCAGAAACCTGTTCTCGGTCGGCCGCTTCACCAAGGATGTCGGCCCAGTGACGTTCACGAAGGATGGGTGCTATGGAAAAGCGAAAGGGACCAAGTGGAAAATTGGTGCCCGTGAAGGTAAAGGACTGTTCAAGCTGCAAATGACTCCAGTGGCGCCGGAACAAGCAAATGCAGCCAAGTCGTCGGGATGTCAAGGGGGCACCAAGTCGTACCTCTGGCACCTTCGGCTTGGCCACATAGGTCACGATGGACTCAATTGCATCGTGACGAAGAACATTGGAATTGGCATCGACATATCTTCGGTGAAGAAGTGGGACGTGTGTGAAGGTTGTGCTCTGGGAAAACAGACTCGAGTGCGCTTCCAATCAAACACTACAGCTCGCACCTCCAAACTCCTCGAAGTGATTCACAGCGACGTATGCGGACCGATGTCGATGGCAACTTTCAGTGGAAAACGGTACTTCGTGACATTCATCGATGACAAGTCAAGATACTGTGTCGTCTATCTGCTCAAGAGCAAATCTGAAGTTGCGGCGAAGTTCATGGAATACGCTGCGATGGCCGAAACGCAAACCGGAAAGCGCGTGAAGTACCTTCAAAGCGACAATGGGGGTGAATACAAGTCCGACAAGCTGGCACGATTCTGCGCGGAACGGGGAATACAACAAAGGTTCAGACCCCCATATACTCCTCAGCTAAACGGAGTAGCTGAGAGAATGAATCGCACGCTGGTCGAGTGTGCGCGTTGCATGATGGAACACGCTGGACTGGGAAAGAGCTACTGGGGTGAAGCAGTGATGACGGCGATGTTTCTTCGAAACCGCTGTCCAACACGTGCCATTCACCAAGACAAGTCTCCATATCAAGTGTGGACGATGAAGAAACCGATTCTGGCCAACCTTAAAGTGTTTGGATGCCACGCGTATGTTCAAGTGCCTCAAGACAAACGCGCGAAGTTCGACTCCAAGTCATCACTCTGTCGTTTCCTGGGATACGCCGAACACCAGAAGTCATATCGATTTGAGGAAGTGTCAACAGGAGCGATCAAGATCAGTCGCGATGCCACATTCATGGAAGACAAGTTTGATGAAGGTCCGCGCAACTACAACGATGAGTCAAGTGTCGTTGAGTTTGATGATCATGATGAGGACGAAGAAAAAGAAGAAGGTAAAACTGACGACGACATGGACTCGAGCGACGATGACAACGAAGACACCAGGTCTTCGAAGAGCAACATCAAGAGACACACGCGCACTCAATCACTTGAGAAAGCTACCATCATTCCAAGTCCCAAGCGAAGAACGTACAGAGGTCCGTCGCTTGAGCATGTGTCAGCGGCTGCAATGGATTTTGAAGCAGCCTACATCGTTGATTCAGTGGGGGAAACGCCGACTACATTCAAGTCGGCGATGGAATCAAGCGACTCCGGCAAGTGGAAAGAAGCGTGTGACTCGGAGTTCGATTCGCTTCAGAGAAACGACACGTGGGAAATCGTGCCTCTTCCGAAAGGTCGCAAGGCCATCGGGTGCCGATGGGTTTTTCGTGTAAAGGAGAATCAAGATGGCGAAGTTGAACGTTTCAAGGCAAGACTTGTGGCCAAAGGATTCTCACAGAAATTCGGAGTTGACTATGAAGAAACTTTCGCACCGGTGACCAAGTTCACATCGATTCGTGTGGTGCTCAGTATGGCGGCCAAGTACGGCCTAATGCTACATCAGATGGACGTCAAGACAGCGTTTCTTAACGGCTCCCTCAACGAAGACATCTACATGGACCAGCCGGACGGATACCTGGATGCAACACAGCCGGACTATGTGTGCAAGCTAAAGAGATCACTCTACGGCTTGAAGCAATCGCCTCGCATGTGGAACCAAACAATCGATGGGTTCATGATCAAGATGGGATTCAAGAAGTGCGAATCGGACCACTGCATCTACATCAAGCGAGACGACCAAGACATGATTCTCGTGGTGCTCTACGTCGATGATCTCATCCTGGCCAGCAGCAACAACGAACTCCTCAAGTCAACCAAGATGGCGCTGAGCAAACGCTTCGAAATGACGGATCTCGGTGAGCTCGATTACTTTCTCGGCATGGAGATCAAGAACGACCGTAAGACGGGAATGGTGACTGTACAACAAACCAAGTTTCTCAAGTCCGTGTTAACAAAGTTCGGAATGGATAACAGCAAGCCAGTGAAGACGCCTCAAGATCCCGGCCTGAAGCTAACCAAGAACATGTGTGAACAAGAATGCAAGCACGAAGACACCATGTGCAACGTGCCATATCGAAGTGCTGTCGGAGGCATCATGTATCTCATGGTCGCCACACGTCCGGATCTAGCTGCTGCAGTGGGATCATTATCCCAGTTCTCGTCCGACCCATGCCCGACTCACTGGCAAGCTTTGAAGCGTGTGCTGAGATACCTGCAAGCAACGCCCAATCATGGTCTTGAGTTTACACGTGAAGAAGGAAGCCGTATCTGCGGGTACACCGACGCAGACTGGGCCGGCGACATTGAGTCAAGACGAAGTACAAGCGGCTATGTGTTCATGATGAGCGGAGGATGCATCAGCTGGAAAAGCCAGAAACAACGGACGGTCGCGCTATCTTCAACAGAAGCAGAATACATGGCGCTTTCCGAAGCAACCAAAGAAGCAGTATGGCTCAAGGTGCTTTTGGGGAACTTGGTGAGATGACAAGCGACGAAGCGATCAAGATGTATGAAGACAACCAAGGATCAATCGCTCTCGCCAAGAACCCGGAGTTCCATAAGAGAACAAAACACATCGACATACGCTACCATTTTGTGCGTGAGAAGGTGGAATCAGGTGAAGTCGTTTTGGAGTATTGCCCGACTCAAGATATGCTGGCAGACATGATGACCAAGCCGATCGCCGCTGTACAATTTGAAAACATTCGCGATCGACTTGGGATCCAAGGTGCCGCAGCTAACGAGTCGAGAGGGAGTGTTGAAAAGACAGCGGCTGTGAAGAAGACACCTCGTCAAGCTGCGTCAAGTGTTGAAGCAAGTGGAAGACCAAGCTTCGCTATACCGGTGGGTACCGGTATGTACCAGTAAGGGCGAAGTCAGGAAATGACGTCATTGGATGACGTCAGTGGGTGACGTCACTGGATGACGTCATTGCATGATGTCAGTGGGTGACGTCACTGGATGACGTCACTGCGAATAATAGGCTTAGAGGTAGTATTCAAAGTTGCGAACTAAGTACCTATTATAAATATATATTCACTTTGCGTTTTGCACTCGGACCAAGAAGTCTAAAGTTCATCACGGACGGTCGCGCTATCTTCAACAGAAGCAGAATACATGGCGCTTTCCGAAGCAACCAAAGAAGCAGTATGGCTCAAGGTGCTTTTGGGGGAACTTGGTGAGATGACAAGCGACGAAGCGATCAAGATGTATGAAGACAACCAAGGATCAATCGCTCTCGCCAAGAACCCGGAGTTCCATAAGAGAACAAAACACATCGACATACGCTACCATTTTGTGCGTGAGAAGGTGGAATCAGGTGAAGTCGTTTTGGAGTATTGCCCGACTCAAGATATGCTGGCAGACATGATGACCAAGCCGATCGCCGCTGTACAATTTGAAAACATTCGCGATCGACTTGGGATCCAAGGTGCCGCAGCTAACGAGTCGAGAGGGAGTGTTGAAAAGACAGCGGCTGTGAAGAAGACACCTCGTCAAGCTGCGTCAAGTGTTGAAGCAAGTGGAAGACCAAGCTTCGCTATACCGGTGGGTACCGGTATGTACCAGTAAGGGCGAAGTCAGGAAATGACGTCATTGGATAACGTCAGTGGGTGACGTCACTGGATGACGTCATTGCATGACGTCAGTGGGTGACGTCAGTGGGTGACGTCACTGGATGACGTCACTGCGAATAATAGGCTTAGAGGTAGTATTCAAAGTTGCGAACTAAGTACCTATTATAAATATATATTCACTTTGCGTTTTGCACTCGGACCAAGAAGTCTAAAGTTCATCAACACCAAGCTGGACAAGTGTTTTGGGCTGAAGCAGCAATGACGGCAATCTACATCAAGAATCGCCTACCATCGCCCAAGTGCCAAGATCAAACCCCGTTCGAGATCGTCAACGGATTTCGACCAAGTGTGAAGCACATGCGGGTTTTCGGCTGCCGAACGTTTGTGCTGACCCCTAAGGAAAAGAGATCGAAATGGGATCCGAAGGCTCGTGAAGGACTATTCATGGGGTACGAAGAAGTGTCAAAGGCATATCGCGTTTACGACATTGAAGCGGATCAAGTGGTGATATCTCGCGATGTCACATTCGACGAATCAACGCTTGGTTTCTCGCCGAGGCTACCACAAGAAATTGTCGATGACACTGCGCTGGATATCGAATCGATGAGCATCAGCGATGAGCCTCACCCCATGCAGTTAAAGCAAACTGGAAAACGCAAAAGCCGTTCAAACAGTCAAGAACAAGTTCTACAACGGACACTTCTTGAGCGTCGTGGAACCGGGTTAGAAGAAAGCAAGTGCCCCGGATGACTCTGAATCGCACCAAGCGAAGCGACGATCAAGCGCTCGAGACAATCTGGACGAAGAGCAAAAGGGCAGTGACGAAGATAACGAGGATGCTACACCTCAAGTCTTTTGGCGAGCGAGTGCCAATGCAGTCGAAGGTACTGACTTGTCTGAGCCGACAACGTTTGAAGATGCTGTTGGTGGACCAGAGTGTATTGAGAGTTACCGGTACAATCCGAACCTAGCGCGTAGTTCTTACAAAATAGTTTTTACATCGGTAATTACCTCAGAGATGATTAGACGCGTAGGATGATTGGACGCGTGTAAATCAGGTTGATTAGATGCACCATGTGATTGGATGCAGTCTAGGGTAGGCAGAAGTTAAGACCTATAAATCAATCACTTTCGAATCCTCCCTCAAGTGAGCAAGTGTTCTCTGCTTCGTTCTCTCCGGTCTCTCCGCTTCGTTTTCTCTTCGCCTCGCGCTCAAGTTATAACAGTCGCGATGCCACATTCATGGAAGACAAGTTTGATGAAGGTCCGCGCAACTACAACGATGAGTCAAGTGCCGTTGAGTTTGATGATCAAGACGAGGACGAAGAAAAAGAAGAAGGTAAAACTGACGACGACATGGACTCGAGCGACGATGACAACGAAGACACCAGGTCTTCAAAGAGCAACATCAAGAGACACACGCGCACTCAATCACTTGAGAAAGCTACCGTCATTCCAAGTCCCAAGCAAAGAACGTACAGAGGTCCGTCGCTTGAGCATGTGTCAGCGGCTGCAATGGATTTTGAAGCAGCCTACATCGTTGATTCAGTGGGGGAAACGCCGACTACATTCAAGTCGGCGATGGAATCAAGCGACTCCGGCAAGTGGAAAGAAGCGTGTGACTCGGAGTTTGACTCGCTTCAGAGAAACGACACGTGGGAAATCGTGCCTCTTCCGAAAGGTCGCAAGGCCATCGGGTGCCGATGGGTTTTTCGTGTAAAGGAGAATCAAGATGGCGAAGTTGAACGTTTCAAGGCAAGACTTGTGGCCAAAGGATTCTCACAGAAATTCGGAGTTGACTATGAAGAAACTTTCGCACCGGTGGCCAAGTTCACATCGATTCGTGTGGTGCTCAGTATGGCGGCCAAGTACGGCCTAATGCTACATCAGATGGACGTCAAGACAGCGTTTCTTAACGGCTCCCTCAACGAAGACATCTACATGGACCAGCCGGACGGATACCTGGATGCAACACAGCCGGACTATGTGTGCAAGCTAAAGATATCACTCTACGGCTTGAAGCAATCGCCTCGCATGTGGAACCAAACAATCGATGGGTTCATGATCAAGATGGGATTCAAGAAGTGCGAATCGGACCACTGCATCTACATCAAGCGAGACGACCAAGACATGATTATCGTGGTGCTCTACGTCGATGATCTCATCCTGGCCAGCAGCAACAACGAACTCCTCAAGTCGACCAAGATGGCGCTGAGCAAACGCTTCGAAATGACGGATCTCGGTGAGCTCGATTACTTTCTTGGCATGGAGATCAAGAACGACCGTAAGACGGGAATGGTGACTGTGCAACAAACCATGTTTCTCAAGTCCGTGTTGACCAAGTTCGGAATGGATAACAGCAAGCCAGTGAAGACGCCTCAAGATCCCGGCCTGAAGCTAACCAAGAACATGTGTGAACAAGAATGCAAGCACGAAGACACCATGTGCAACGTGCCATATCGAAGTGCTGTCGGAGGCATCATGTATCTCATGGTCGCCACACGTCCGGATCTAGCTGCTGCAGTGGGATCATTATCCCAGTTCTCGTCCGACCCATGCCCGACTCACTGGCAAGCTTTGAAGCGTGTGCTGAGATACCTGCAAGCAACGCCCAATCATGGTCTTGAGTTTACACGTGAAGAAGGAAGCCGTATCTGCGGGTACACCGACGCAGACTGGGCCGGCGACATTGAGTCAAGCCGAAGTACAAGCGGCTATGTGTTCATGATGAACGGAGGATGCATCAGCTGGAAAAGCCAGAAACAACGGACGGTCGCGCTATCTTCAACAGAAGCAGAATACATGGCGCTTTCCGAAGCAACCAAAGAAGCAGTATGGCTCAAGGTGCTTTTGGGGGAACTTGGTGAGATGACAAGCGACGAAGCGATCAAGATGTATGAAGACAACCAAGGATCAATCGCTCTCGCCAAGAACCCGGAGTTCCATAAGAGAACAAAACACATCGACATACGCTACCATTTTGTGCGTGAGAAGGTGGAATCAGGTGAAGTCGTTTTGGAGTATTGCCCGACTCAAGATATGCTGGCAGACATGATGACCAAGCCGATCGCCGCTGTACAATTTGAAAACATTCGCGATCGACTTGGGATCCAAGGTGCCGCAGCTAACGAGTCGAGAGGGAGTGTTGAAAAGACAGCGGCTGTGAAGAAGACACCTCGTCAAGCTGCGTCAAGTGTTGAAGCAAGTGGAAGACCAAGCTTCGCTATACCGGTGGGTACCGGTATGTACCAGTAAGGGCGAAGTCAGGAAATGACGTCATTGGATAACGTCAGTGGGTGACGTCACTGGATGACGTCATTGCATGACGTCAGTGGGTGACGTCAGTGGGTGACGTCACTGGATGACGTCACTGCGAATAATAGGCTTAGAGGTAGTATTCAAAGTTGCGAACTAAGTACCTATTATAAATATATATTCACTTTGCGTTTTGCACTCGGACCAAGAAGTCTAAAGTTCATCAACACCAAGCTGGACAAGTGTTTTTGGGCTGAAGCAGCAATGACGGCAATCTACATCAAGAATCGCCTACCATCGCCCAAGTGCCAAGATCAAACCCCGTTCGAGATCGTCAACGGATTTCGACCAAGTGTGAAGCACATGCGGGTTTTCGGCTGCCGAACGTTTGTGCTGACCCCTAAGGAAAAGAGATCGAAATGGGATCCGAAGGCTCGTGAAGGACTATTCATGGGGTACGAAGAAGTGTCAAAGGCATATCGCGTTTACGACATTGAAGCGGATCAAGTGGTGATATCTCGCGATGTCACATTCGACGAATCAACGCTTGGTTTCTCGCCGAGGCTACCACAAGAAATTGTCGATGACACTGCGCTGGATATCGAATCGATGAGCATCAGCGATGAGCCTCACCCCATGCAGTTAAAGCAAACTGGAAAACGCAAAAGCCGTTCAAACAGTCAAGAACAAGTTCTACAACGGACACTTCTTGAGCGTCGTGGAACCGGGTTAGAAGAAAGCAAGTGCCCCGGATGACTCTGAATCGCACCAAGCGAAGCGACGATCAAGCGCTCGAGACAATCTGGACGAAGAGCAAAAGGGCAGTGACGAAGATAACGAGGATGCTACACCTCAAGTCTTTTGGCGAGCGATTGCCAATGCAGTCGAAGGTACTGACTTGTCTGAGCCGACAACGTTTGAAGATGCTGTTGGTGGACCAGAGTGTATTGAGAGTTACCGGTACAATCCGAACCTAGCGCGTAGTTCTTACAAAATAGTTTTTACATCGGTAATTACCTCAGAGATGATTAGACGCGTAGGATGATTGGACGCGTGTAAATCAGGTTGATTAGATGCACCATGTGATTGGATGCAGTCTAGGGTAGGCAGAAGTTAAGACCTATAAATCAATCACTTTCGAATCCTCCCTCAAGTGAGCAAGTGTTCTCTGCTTCGTTCTCTCCGGTCTCTCCGCTTCGTTTTCTCTTCGCCTCGCGCTCAAGTTACAACAGGTTATGAGCCCAAGCGCCATGTCGTCCAACAACACCTCGGCCAGTGTCTCCATCGATAAGTTCGATGGGGACAACTACTCAACCTGGTGTCGCTACATGCGCGGTGTGTTTCTGACGAAGTCAGTCTGGTACGTCGTGAACCGCGAAACGTCTCCAACCTTCACCGACACGCGAGCTTCCGACGAGTACGTCAAGGCGAGCAACATCGCGTTCGGGTTGATGTTGCTCCACATGGACGCCGACTACCACCATGTGGTCGACAACTGTGAAGAAGCATGGACAGCGTGGTCGCGGTTGAAGATGCTCTATGGTGGGTCGCAGAAGGCGGGACGAATCTACCTCAAGCGCCAGCTGTTCAGCATCAAGATGGCGGAAGGTGCCAACGTCTTGCACCATTGCAACGAAGTCTTGAACATCGGCGCCAAGCTCAGCAGCATCGGTGCCAAGATGGAAGACGAAGACATTGCGATCTGCTTACTGCGCAGTCTGCCCAATAGTTTCGAGAACGTGGTTCTCAACTTGGAGATGAGCAATGCAGAGCTGCGCACGCAAGATGTGGTCAAGGTGCTGACTAACGAGCACATCAAGCGACAAGGCGAGAAGATGACAACGGCAACGACAACGGTGAAGACTGAAGATGCGACAAAGGCATTTAGTACCGAGCGCAAGCCCTACCAATGCACATACTGCGGCAAGGTGGGGCACACGGCAGAGAGTTGCTGGACGAAGCAAAAGGATGAAAGTCGAGGAGCCCAACGCGGCGGCAATGGTCGTCGACGCGGGTCAAACAATGTCCAGTGGCGACATTATGATGAAGGCAACAGCTACGATCGAGTGGCGTTTGCAGTTTCGTTCGAATGCGGAGTTTCGACGAACAAGAATGGACCAGGAATGTGGGCCGTTGACAGCGGGGCAACACATCACATCTGCCACGACAAGTTCAAGTTTGCAAGCTTGGTCGAAGGCAATGATGGCGAGATCCTGGTGGCTGATGGCAACAAGGCGGCCATCAAAGGTGTGGGGACCATCGTGGAAAAGGTGATTCTGCCAAACGGGGAAGAGCGCGAGATCGAAATCAAGAACGCGCTCTATGTGCCCAGCATGAGCAAAAATCTGCTCTCGGTGCCGCAGATTAACAAGCACGGCAACTTCCAAGTGGTGTTTGACGGGGATACGATGTACGTCGCTCGCAAGGATTCCAATCAAGTGGTGGCAGCTGCGGATCTTGTAGACGGACTCTACTGGCTTCGCACGACGCAGCGATCGGCCAATGCGACATCACTCAGCAACGCTGTTGATCTACATGCGCGAATGGGCCATGCTCCAGTCGACGTGCTTCGCAGGATGGTGACAAGCCACATGATCAAGGACGCTCACATCCCTTCCAAGCCGAATGGATCAAGTGTGTGTCGAGGATGCCAAGAAGGGAAGATGGTCCAAAAACCATTCCCGAGCAACCGTGACAAGCGCACCTACAACACCTTCGAGATGCTCCACTTCGACATCTGCGGACCCATGGAAGAAAAATCTCTGGGTGGCAGCAAGTATCTGCTGCTGATCGTGGATGAAGCCAGCGGATGCATGAAGGGTTTTTGTCTGCATTCCAAGTCAGAGAGCGAAGAGTGCATCAAGAAGTACATCACGATGATACAGACGCAGTTCAACAAGAAGGTCAAATTTGTGCGACACGATGGAGCCCGCGAGTTTGCGACGAACTCGCTTCAAGATTTCTACGAAGTCGAAGGCATCGAGCAACAAACCACGGTGCCATACGCACATCAAGCCAATGGAACTGCTGAACGCGCGATTCGAACTATCGTCACCATCGGTCGTAGCATGCTCCATCATGCCAAGTTGGACAAGTGCTTCTGGGCTGAAGCGGCAATGACGGCCGTCTATGTGAAGAACCGTTTGCCGTCACCCAAGATTCCACACAAGACACCGTTCGAGATTGTCTACAATTCTGAGCCAAGTGTCAAGCACATGCGCGTTTTTGGGTGCCAAGCATACATCTTGACCCCGAAGGAGAAACGACTCAAGTGGGATCCCAAGGCCCGGGCTGGATTGTTTTTGGGCTACGAAGAAGTGTCCAAGGCGTATCGAGTTTACGACATCGAAGCGGGGCAGGTGATGATAAGTCGCGATGTCAACTTCGATGAGTCGGCCTTTGGAATGTCGATGCTGATTTCCGATGACGATGTTGATGGCCTGGACTTCGAATCGATCGATCTTGATGATGAAGAACCGCGTCCGAGACACTTCAAACAAACAGGAAAGCGCAAGGCCCAACCCAGTCACGACAATGACGACGCAAGCATGCCCCGAGCAGTGCGCCAACGACCCGGATTGGAAGAGTCAAGTGCGCCGGATGACCTCTCTTCACGTCGAGCCAACGAAGATGAAGAAAGGAAGTCGGAGGAACAACATGACACACCGACTTCCTCCGCGTTTTGGCATGCGAGTGCAAACGCCGTTGAAGCAGCGGTCGATTTTTCGGAGCCGTCGACATTTGAAGAAGCAGTATCTGGCCCGGACCAAGTACACTGGCGCAAGGCAATTGATGCGGAGCTCGATTCGATGAAGCTTCGCGGTGTCTTTCGTGCGGCCAAGTTACCCAACGGACAAAGCGCCATTGGCACAAAGTGGGTCTTCAAGATCAAGCGCAAGGCGGATGGGTCAATCGAGAAATACAAGGCACGACTTGTGGCCAAGGGTTTTCGCCAAAAGTATGGCATTGACTACACGGAGACGTTCTCGCCCGTGGTCAAGTATGTGACGCTGCGAATGGTCATCGCCATTACCAAGCACTTTGGATGGCCCCTCGACCAGCTCGATGTGGTGACTGCGTTCCTGTATGGAGTGATGAAGGAGAAGGTGTTCTGCGCTGTTCCGGAAGGCGTCAAGATGGAAGGTGATTTCGACTGTCTCGAGCTGATCAAGGCGATCTACGGTCTCAAGCAAGCCTCGCGTGTTTGGAACGAGACCTTCGACGAGTTCATACGCTCGATTGGTTTTCAAGCGTCGGGATTCGATCCATGTCTCTACATCATGACTTCGGAAGGCCATTGTGTTTTTGTGCTGGTCTACGTGGACGATGTCTTGGTGACTGGAAGCTCGCTCGAGATGATTGCGCGCACCAAGAACGACCTCAAGACACGCTTCGAGATGACGGACAGCGGCAAGTGTGCCTTTGTTCTTGGGATCGAGTTATTGGACGGTGAAGATGGCAGCGTGACTATGTGTCAGCGCCGTTATGTCGACGATGTCCTCAAGCGCTTTGGAATGGATGAGTGCAAGGCTGTGGCAAGTCCGGTGGACGTCAGCTCTCGACTGGTTCCAAGCAACTCTGCAAGCAAGGTGGATGTCCCATTCCGTGAAGCAGTGGGTGCTTTGATGCATCTGACGACTGCAACGCGACCGGACATCGCCTATGCTGTAAGCTTTGTATCACGGTTCATGGAGAAACCCCAAGAAGAACACTGGGTTGCAGTCAAGCGCATCTTCCGCTACCTACAAGGCACCAAGATGCATGGAATCTGCTACAAGCCAAGTGCGAAGATCGACTTTCGTGGCTATTCAGATGCAGACTGGGCCGGTGACCTTGCTGATCGCAAATCGACGTCCGGCTACGTCTTCATGCTATTGGGTGCTCCGGTGAGTTGGGGCAGCAAGAAACAGCCAAGTGTGTCACTGTCTACAAGCGAAGCGGAGTACATCGCGCTCAGCCTGGCGATCCAAGAAGGCAAGTGGATCAATCGCTTGCTGTGCGAAATCATGGCGGCTGCAAACGAAGAAGGACCCGAGCTCGTCATCCGTGAAGACAACCAGTCGTGCATCAAGATGACGAAGAATCCGGTCAACCACGGCCGCGCTAAACACATCGACATCAAGTACCATCACATCCGTGATGAAGTCAAGCGCGGCGAAGTGAAGCTTGAATACTGCGAGACGACGTTGATGTTGGCGGACATCATGACGAAGGGACTTCACGGACCGCGTCACAAGGACTTGACGGCGGCGCTTGGCATCCGTGCGTGTTCGGATTGAGGGGGCGTATTGAGGGTTACCGGTACAATCCGAACCTAGCGCGTAGTTCTTACGAGATAGTTTTTACATCGGTAATTACCTCAGAGATGATTAGACGCGTAGGATGATTGGACGCGTGTAAATCAGGTTGATTAGATGCACCATGTGATTGGATGCAGTCTAGGGTAGGCAGAAGTTAAGACCTATAAATCAATCACTTTCGAATCCTCCCTCAAGTGAGCAAGTGTTCTCTGCTTCGTTCTCTCCGGTCTCTCCGCTTCGTTTTCTCTTCGCCTCGCGCTCAAGTTACAACACGTCTTGACTCAATGTCGCCGGCCCAGTCTGCGTCGGTGTACCCGCAGATACGGCTTCCTTCTTCACGTGTAAACTCAAGACCATGATTGGGCGTTGCTTGCAGGTATCTCAGCACACGCTTCAAAGCTTGCCAGTGAGTCGGGCATGGGTCGGACGAGAACTGGGATAATGATCCCACTGCAGCAGCTAGATCCGGACGTGTGGCAACCATGAGATACATGATGCCTCCGACAGCACTTCGATATGGCACGTTGCACATGGTGTCTTCGTGCTTGCATTCTTGTTCACACATGTTCTTGGTTAGCTTCAGGCCGGGATCTTGAGGCGTCTTCACTGGCTTGCTGTTATCCATTCCGAACTTGGTCAACACGGACTTGAGAAACTTGGTTTGTTGCACAGTCACCATTCCCGTCTTACGGTCGTTCTTGATCTCCATGCCGAGAAAGTAATCGAGCTCACCGAGATCCGTCATTTCGAAGCGTTTGCTCAGCGCCATCTTGGTCGACTTGAGGAGTTCGTTGTTGCTGCTGGCCAGGATGAGATCATCGACGTAGAGCACCACGAGAATCATGTCTTGGTCGTCTCGCTTGATGTAGATGCAGTGGTCCGATTCGCACTTCTTGAATCCCATCTTGATCATGAACCCATCGATTGTTTGGTTCCACATGCGAGGCGATTGCTTCAAGCCGTAGAGTGATCTCTTTAGCTTGCACACATAGTCCGGCTGTGTTGCATCCAGGTATCCGTCCGGCTGGTCCATGTAGATGTCTTTGTTGAGGGAGCCGTTAAGAAACGCTGTCTTGACGTCCATCTGATGTAGCATTAGGCCGTACTTGGCCGCCATACTGAGCACCACACGAATCGATGTGAACTTGGCCACCTGTGCGAAAGTTTTTTCGTAGTCGACTCCGAATTTCTGTGAGAATCCTTTGGCCACAAGTCTTGCCTTGAAACGTTCAACTTCGCCATCTTGATTCTCCTTTACACGAAAAACCCATCGGCACCCGATGGCCTTGCGACCTTTCGGAAGAGGCACAATATCCCACGTGTCGTTTCTCTGAAGCGAATCGAACTCCGAGTCACACGCTTCTTTCCACTTGCCGGAGTCGCTTGATTCCATCGCCGACTTGAACGTAGTCGGCATTTCCCCCACTGAATCAACGATGTAGGCTGCTTCAAAATCCATTGCAGCCGCTGACACATGCTCAAGCGACGGACCTCTGTACGTTCTTCGCTTGGGACTTGGAATGACGGTAGCTTTCTCAAGTGATTGAGTGCGCGTGTGTCTCTTGATGTTGCTCTTTGAAGACCTGGTGTCTTCGTTGTCATCGTCGCTCGAGTCCATGTCGTCGTCAGTTTTACCTTCTTCTTTTTCTTCGTCCTCGTCTTGATCATCAAACTCAACGGCACTTGACTCATCGTTGTAGTTGCGCGGACCTTCATCAAACTTGTCTTCCATGAATGTGGCATCGCGACTGATCTTGATCGCTCCTGTTGACACTTCCTCAAATCGATATGACTTCTGGTGTTCGGCGTATCCCAGGAAACGACAGAGTGATGACTTGGAGTCGAACTTCGCGCGTTTGTCTTGAGGCACTTAAACATACGCGTGGCATCCAAACACTTTAAGGTTGGCCAGAATCGGTTTCTTCATCGTCCACACTTGATATGGAGACTTGTCTTGGTGAATGGCACGTGTTGGACAGCGGTTTCGAAGAAACATCGCCGTCATCACTGCTTCACCCCAGTAGCTCTTTCCCAGTCCAGCGTGTTCCATCATGCAACGCGCACACTCGACCAGCGTGCGATTCATTCTCTCAGCTACTCCGTTTAGCTGAGGAGTATATGGGTGTGTGAACCTTTGTTGTATTCCCCGTTCCGCGCAGAATCGTGCCAGCTTGTCGGACTTGTATTCACCCCCATTGTCGCTTTGAAGGTACTTCACGCGCTTTCCGGTTTGCGTTTCGGCCATCGCAGCGTATTCCATGAACTTCGCCGCAACTTCAGATTTGCTCTTGAGCAGATAGACGACACAGTATCTTGACTTGTCATCAATGAATGTCACGAAGTACCGTTTTCCACTGAAAGTTGCCATCGACATCGGTCCGCATACGTCGCTGTGAATCACTTCGAGGAGTTTGGAGGTGCGAGCTGTAGTGTTTGATTGGAAGCGCACTCGAGTCTGTTTTCCCAGAGCACAACCTTCACACACGTCCCACTTCTTCACCGAAGATATGTCGATGCCAATTCCAATGTTCTTCGTCACGATGCAATTGAGTCCATCGTGACCTATGTGGCCAAGCCGAAGGTGCCAGAGGTACGACTTGGTGCCCCCTTGACATCCCGACGACTTGGCTGCATTTGCTTGTTCCGGCGCCACTGGAGTCATTTGCAGCTTGAACAGTCCTTTACCTTTACGGGCACCAATTTTCCACTTGGTCCCTTTCGCTTCTCCATAGCACCCATCCTTCGTGAACGTCACTGGGCCGACATCCTTGGTGAAGCGGCCGACCGAGAACAGGTTTCTGGATAACTTTGGGATGTGCCACACGTTTGTGAGCACACCTTTCTTCATCCCTTGGGGTGTCTTCATCGACATGACAATGTCCCCACTGCCGATTGCTTGGACGATTCCATCATCCGCGAGATGGACATCCACAGCGTCAAACCCCTTGTAGTTCCGCATGAACTTCTTGGAGCACGTCATGTGCTGCGTCGCCCCGGAGTCTACCAGCCAGATGTCGCTCGATTTTGCAGATGTCGTTTCACCGATCGAAAAGAGGTAGTCGCCCGAGTCTTCTTCTTGAGCGACGTTTGCACGTTGTGATCGATAGCGGTCGCCGCTGTCTTGAGCACGCTGTGGCCGGTGTCTCTCCGTGTTTTCTTGGATGCGCGAGGGGCACTCCGCCATCCAATGACCAATCTTTCCGCAATTGTGGCACGGCCAGGACTTCTTCACTGGTCGCCCTTTGCGCTGATTGTCCCTTGTGATGAACGCTTGACCTTGCGAAGCTTCATCACCTTTACTTCCTTGCTCCTTCCGCTTCATTTCTTCATGAAGCAGTCGAGACGTCACGAGCTCCCAGCTAAGAGTGTCTGAGCGCGACTCCAAAGCTGTGATCAAGAATTGATACGAGTCACTCAGGCTGCCGAGGAGTGTGATCACCAGATCGTCCTCGCAGACTGGAGCCCCCACCGCTTCTAGCTGTTCCGCCAGCGTCTTGAGCTTGTTGATGTGTTCGAGCACATCGTCGCCTTCTTCCATCATTGTCGTGAAGAAGCGACGGCGCAAGAACAGCTTGTTGGCAAGACTCTTCTTCTCGAAGTGGTCTTCCAACCTTGACCATGCGTCGCATGCACCACTTGCCGACCGGACCAACGGTAGCTGGGAATCTTCCATGGCCAGACAGATCACTGCCATCGCCTTTCTTGACTTCCTCTTGTACGTCGCTTGGTCCAACTGAGTCTCGCACTGTTCCGCCTTGATCTCACCGCTGACGACCTCCCATAGGTCCCGTTCCTCCAGCACCATCTGCATCTTGAACTTCCAGGCGTGGAAGTTAGTTCCATCGAACTTGGAGATGCGGAGGGAGGAGGCGTCCATGGCAGCTAAGCTTGAATTGTTGGCGGTTTCAGAGTCTGACGAACTTGGGCTCATAACCTGATGAACTTTAGACTTCTTGGTCCGAGTGCAAAACGCAAAGTGAATATATATTTATAATAGGTACTTAGTTCGCAACTTTGAATACTACCTCTAAGCCTATTATTCGCAGTGACGTCATCCAGTGACGTCACCCACTGACGTCACCCACTGACGTCATGCAATGACGTCATCCAGTGACGTCATTTCCTGACTTCGCCCTTACTGGTACATACCGGTACCCACCGGTATAGCGAAGCTTGGTCTTCCACTTGCTTCAACACTTGACGCAGCTTGACGAGGTGTCTTCTTCACAGCCGCTGTCTTTTCAACAACTAAGTCGCACGGTATCTGTTTCAAGCCTGATGACAAGATAGACTTCTGTGGCTACTCGGATGCAGACTGGGCCGGCGACCATGCAGACCGCAAGTCGACTATAGGATACGCGTTTATCCTGATGGGTGCTCCGGTGAGCTGGGGAAGCAAAAAGCAGTCAAGTGTGTCGCTGTCAACAAGTGAAGCTGAGTACATTGCACTAAGTCTGGCGATTCAAGAAGGCAAGTGGGTGCATCGATTGCTGTGCGAGATTCTGGATGCCGCAGAGGACAAGTCTGGACCCGAGCTCAAGATCATGGAAGACAACCAGTCGTGCATCAAGATGACGAAGAATCCTGTGAACCATGGTCGGGCCAAGCACATCGACATCAAATACCACCACATTCGTGATGAAGTCAAGCGTGGTGATGTCAAGTTGGAGTACTGTGAGACTACGACTATGTTGGCGGACATCATGACGAAGGGACTGCCAGGACCGCGTCACAAGGACTTGACGGCAGCGCTCGGCATACACGCGTGTTCGCATTGAGGGGGCGTATTGTGGGTTGACGGTTGAGGTACTGCTATCAGCTACCATGGGAACCGTAAACCTGTCCAAGTCGATCCCGCGTAATTACGGTGAGTTTTTACCAATGATTAGACGCATAGGATGATTGGATGACCTACATGATTTATGATTCATGATTTATATGTGGACAACATATAAATCAGTGCAGAAGATAAATCAGGTAGCTTTAACAAAACCCACAAATAAATTCACTTCCAAATATTCCTTCTTCAGCACAAGTCGTCTACACTTTGCAGTGCAGACTTCTTCAGCGTTCTTCAAGCTTCGTTCTCTCGTCCAGTGCTCTTCAGACTTTAACAGGTTATGAGCCCAAGCACGATGTCCTCTACTCAAGATTCCGCCACCAAGATCTCTATCGATAGATTCGATGGAGACAACTACGCGACGTGGAGCCGCTACATGCGTGGCGTGTTCCTGACCAAGTCGACGTGGCACGTGGTCAACCGGGAGACCACCCCCCACCTTCGCCGATCCTCGCGCCAGTGATGAGTACGTCAAGACGAACAACATTGCGTTCGGCTTGATGTTACTTCACATGAGCGCGGACTATCATCACGTGGTTGATGACTGCGACGAGGCATGGGTTGCGTGGACACGGTTGAAGACTCTCTACGGCGGATCGCAGAAGGCGGGACGGATCTTCTTGAAGCGGCAGCTGTTCAGCATGGAGATGGCGGAAGGCGGCAATGTGATGCATCATTGCAATGAAGTTCTCAACATCAGCGCCAAGCTCAGCAGCATCGGCGCCAAGATGGAGGATGAGGACGTGGCGATCTGCTTGTTGTGCAGCCTCCCCAAGAGCTACGAGAACGTCGTGCTGAACTTGGAGATGAGCAGCGCAGAACTGCGGACGCAAGACGTCGTGAAAGTACTGACGAATGAGCACATCAAGAGACAAGGGAAAAAGACGACATCGGTGAAAACTGAAGAAGCGACCAAGGCCTTCAGTACCGAGCGTGAGGTTCGTCAGTGTACGTTCTGCGGAAAATTGGGGCACACGGTGGAAAAGTGCTGGATCAAGCAGAAGGAAGACAATCGGGGAGCTCGACGCGGCGGCAATGCACGTGGACGCGGAGCGAATCAAGTTCAGTGGCAAGGCTACAACGGCAACAGCAACTGTGACTATGATCGAGTGGCGTTTGCTGTTTCGCTGGAATGCGGACTTTCAACGACCAAGAGCATGTCTGGAATGTGGGCGATTGATAGCGGTGCAACACATCACATCTGCTATGACAAGTCCAAGTTCGAATTTCTGGACGAGCGCAATGAAGGCGAAGTGTTGGTTGCAGATGGGAACAAGGCTGCGATCAACGGTGTCGGGACAATCATCGAAAAGGTGACCCTGTCCAACGGTGAAGAGCGCGAAGTCGAGATCAAGAATGCGCTTTACGTCCCAAGCATGAACAAAAACTTGCTTTCGATACCACAAATCAACAAAAGCGGCAAGTTTCAAGTGGTGTTTGATGGTGACGAGATGAAGATTTCGAACAAAGGCTCCAAGCAAGTAATAGCGATGGCCGATCTTGTGGATGGCCTCTACTGGCTTCGTACAACCCAGCGATCCGCGAATGCGGCTTCAGGACTAAGAGTCTAAAACCTTCATGCGCGTATGGGCCACGCACCGGTTATTGTCTTGTGCAGAATGGTCTCCAAGGGCATGATCAAGGATGCCAAGAAGCCAGCAAAATTGAGCGGATCAAGCGTGTGTCAAGGTTGTCTAGAAGGAAAAATGGTTCAACGACCGTTCCCGAGCAATCCAAACAAGCGCCACTACGATCCGTTTGAGCTTCTACACATCGACACTTGTGGTCCAATGGAAGTCGACTCGCTAGGTGCAAGCAAGTACTTACTACTGATCGTCGATGAAGGCAGCGGATGTATGAAGGGTTTCAGTCTGCGCGCCAAGTCCGACAGCGAAGAGTGCATCAAGAAGTACATCATGGCAGTACAGACGCAGTTTGACTACAAGGTCAAGTTCGTTCGACACGATGGTGCACGAGAATTTGCGGCGAATTCGCTCAAGGCATTTTACGATGATCAAGGAATCGAGCAAAAGTTACCGTTTTATAAGCGCAACGGATCAGCGGCACGGTGGAACGGGCAATTCGGACCATTGTGACGATTGGGCGCAGCATGCTTCACTACACCAAGCTGGACAAGTGTTTTTGGACTGAAGCAGCAATGACGGCGATCTGGTAAAGTCTGAAGAGCACTGGACGAGAGATCGAAGCTTGAAAGGCTTGAAAGAAGTCTACACTGCGAAGTGAAGACGACTTGTGTAGGAGAAGGAATAATTGGAAGCAAATTTATTTGTGGGTTTTGTTAAAGCTACCTGATTTATCTCTGCACTGATTTATATGTTGTCCACATATAAATCATGAATCATAAATCATGTAGGTCATCCAATCATCCTATGCGTCTAATCATTGGTAAAAACTCACCGTAATTACGCGGGATCGACTTGGACAGGTTTACGGTTCCCATGGTAGCTGATAGCAGTACCTCAACCGTCAACCCACAATACGCCCCCTCAATGCGAACACGCGTGTATGCCGAGCGCTGCCGTCAAGTCCTTGTGACGCGGTCCTGGCAGTCCCTTCGTCATGATGTCCGCCAACATAGTCGTAGTCTCACAGTACTCCAACTTGACATCACCACGCTTGACTTCATCACGAATGTGGTGGTACTTGATGTCGATGTGCTTGGCCCGACCATGGTTCACAGGATTCTTCGTCATCTTGATGCACGACTGGTTGTCTTCCATGATCTTGAGCTCGGGTCCAGACTTGTCCTCTGCGGCTACCAGAATCTCGCACAGCAATCGATGCACCCACTTGCCTTCTTGAATCGCCAGACTTAGTGCAATGTACTCAGCTTCACTTGTTGACAGCGACACACTTGACTGCTTTTTGCTTCCCCAGCTCACCGGAGCACCCATCAGGATAAACGCGTTGTTGCAAAGACAGCGGCTGTGAAGAAGACACCTCGTCAAGCTGCGCCAAGTGTTGAAGCAAGTGGAAGACCAAGCTTCGCTATACCGGTGGGTACCGGTATGTACCAGTAAGGGCGAAGTCAGGAAATGACGTCATTGGATGACGTCAGTGGGTGACGTCACTGGATGACGTCACTGCGAATAATAGGCTTAGAGGTAGTATTCAAAGTTGCGAACTAAGTACCTATTATAAATATATATTCACTTTGCGTTTTGCACTCGGACCAAGAAGTCTAAAGTTCATCAGGTTATGAGCCCAAGTTCGTCAGACTCTGAAACCGCCAACAATTCAAGCTTAGCTGCCATGGACGCCTCCTCCCTCCGCATCTCCAAGTTCGATGGAACTAACTTCCACGCCTGGAAGTTCAAGATGCAGATGGTGCTGGAGGAACGGGACCTATGGGAGGTCGTCAGCGGTGAGATCAAGGCGGAACAGTGCGAGACTCAGTTGGACCAAGCGACGTACAAGAGGAAGTCAAGAAAGGCGATGGCAGTGATCTGTCTAGCCATGGAAGATTCCCAGCTACCGTTGGTCCGGTCGGCAAGTGGTGCATGCGACGCATGGTCAAGGTTGGAAGACCACTTCGAGAAGAAGAGTCTTGCCAACAAGCTGTTCTTGCGCCGTCGCTTCTTCACGACAATGATGGAAGAAGGCGACGATGTGCTCGAACACATCAACAAGCTCAAGACGCTGGCGGAACAGCTAGAAGCGGTGGGGGCTCCAGTCTGCGAGGACGATCTGGTGATCACACTCCTCGGCAGCCTGAGTGACTCGTATCAATTCTTGATCACAGCTTTGGAGTCGCGCTCAGACACTCTTAGCTGGGAGCTCGTGACGTCTCGACTGCTTCATGAAGAAATGAAGCGGAAGGAGCAAGGAAGTAAAGGTGATGAAGCTTCGCAAGGTCAAGCGTTCATCACAAGGGACAATCAGCGCAAAGGGCGACCAGTGAAGAAGTCCTGGCCGTGCCACAATTGCGGAAAGATTGGTCACTGGATGGCGGAGTGCCCCTCGCGCATCCAAGAAAACACGGAGAGACACCGGCCACAGCGTGCTCAAGACAGCGGCGACCGCTATCGATCACAACGTGCAAACGTCGCTCAAGAAGAAGACTCGGGCGACTACCTCTTTTCGATCGGTGAAACGACATCTGCGAAATCGAGCGACATCTGGCTGGTCGACTCCGGGGCGACGCAGCACATGACGTGCTCCAAGAAGTTCATGCGGAACTACAAGGGGTTTGACGCTGTGGATGTCCATCTCGCGGATGATGGAATCGTCCAAGCAATCGGCAGTGGGGACATTGTCATGTCGATGAAGACACCCCAAGGGATGAAGAAAGGTGTGCTCACAAACGTGTGGCACATCCCAAAGTTATCCAGAAACCTGTTCTCGGTCGGCCGCTTCACCAAGGATGTCGGCCCAGTGACGTTCACGAAGGATGGGTGCTATGGAGAAGCGAAAGGGACCAAGTGGAAAATTGGTGCCCGTGAAGGTAAAGGACTGTTCAAGCTGCAAATGACTCCAGTGGCGCCGGAACAAGCAAATGCAGCCAAGTCGTCGGGATGTCAAGGGGGCACCAAGTCGTACCTCTGGCACCTTCGGCTTGGCCACATAGGTCACGATGGACTCAATTGCATCGTGACGAAGAACATGGAATTGGCATCGACATATCTTCGGTGAAGAAGTGGGACGTGTGTGAAGGTTGTGCTCTGGGAAAACAGACTCGAGTGCGCTTCCAATCAAACACTACAGCTCGCACCTCCAAACTCCTCGAAGTGATTCACAGCGACGTATGCGGACCGATGTCGATGGCAACTTTCAGTGGAAAACGGTACTTCGTGACATTCATCGATGACAAGTCAAGATACTGTGTCGTCTATCTGCTCAAGAGCAAATCTGAAGTTGCGGCGAAGTTCATGGAATACGCTGCGATGGCCGAAACGCAAACCGGAAAGCGCGTGAAGTACCTTCAAAGCGACAATGGGGGTGAATACAAGTCCGACAAGCTGGCACGATTCTGCGCGGAACGGGGAATACAACAAAGGTTCACACCCCCATATACTCCTCAGCTAAACGGAGTAGCTGAGAGAATGAATCGCACGCTGGTCGAGTGTGCGCGTTGCATGATGGAACACGCTGGACTGGGAAAGAGCTACTGGGGTGAAGCAGTGATGACGGCGATGTTTCTTCGAAACCGCTGTCCAACACGTGCCATTCACCAAGACAAGTCTCCATATCAAGTGTGGACGATGAAGAAACCGATTCTGGCCAACCTTAAAGTGTTTGGATGCCACGCGTATTTTCAAGTGCCTCAAGACAAACGCGCGAAGTTCGACTCCAAGTCATCACTCTGTCGTTTCCTGGGATACGCCGAACACCAGAAGTCATATCGATTTGAGGAAGTGTCAACAGGAGCGATCAAGATCAGTCGCGATGCCACATTCATGGAAGACAAGTTTGATGAAGGTCCGCGCAACTACAACGATGAGTCAAGTGCCGTTGAGTTTGATGATCAAGACGAGGACGAAGAAAAAGAAGAAGGTAAAACTGACGACGACATGGACTCGAGCGACGATGACAACGAAGACACCAGGTCTTCAAAGAGCAACATCAAGAGACACACGCGCACTCAATCACTTGAGAAAGCTACCGTCATTCCAAGTCCCAAGCGAAGAACGTACAGAGGTCCGTCGCTTGAGCATGTGTCAGCGGCTGCAATGGATTTTGAAGCAGCCTACATCGTTGATTCAGTGGGGGAAACGCCGACTACATTCAAGTCGGCGATGGAATCAAGCGACTCCGGCAAGTGGAAAGAAGCGTGTGACTCGGAGTTCGACTCGCTTCAGAGAAACGACACGTGGGAAATCGTGCCTCTTCCGAAAGGTCGCAAGGCCATCGGGTGCCGATGGGTTTTTCGTGTAAAGGAGAATCAAGATGGCGAAGTTGAACGTTTCAAGGCAAGACTTGTGGCCAAAGGATTCTCACAGAAATTCGGAGTCGACTACGAAAAAACTTTCGCACAGGTGGCCAAGTTCACATCGATTCGTGTGGTGCTCAGTATGGCGGCCAAGTACGGCCTAATGCTACATCAGATGTGTTGAAAAGACAGCGGCTGTGAAGAAGACACCTCGTCAAGCTGCGCCAAGTGTTGAAGCAAGTGGAAGACCAAGCTTCGCTATACCGGTGGGTACCGGTATGTACCAGTAAGGGCGAAGTCAGGAAATGACGTCATTGGATGACGTCAGTGGGTGACGTCACTGGATGACGTCACTGCGAATAATAGGCTTAGAGGTAGTATTCAAAGTTGCGAACTAAGTACCTATTATAAATATATATTCACTTTGCGTTTTGCACTCGGACCAAGAAGTCTAAAGTTCATCAGGTTATGAGCCCAAGTTCGTCAGACTCTGAAACCGCCAACAATTCAAGCTTAGCTGCCATGGACGCCTCCTCCCTCCGCATCTCCAAGTTCGATGGAACTAACTTCCACGCCTGGAAGTTCAAGATGCAGATGGTGCTGGAGGAACGGGACCTATGGGAGGTCGTCAGCGGTGAGATCAAGGCGGAACAGTGCGAGACTCAGTTGGACCAAGCGACGTACAAGAGGAAGTCAAGAAAGGCGATGGCAGTGATCTGTCTAGCCATGGAAGATTCCCAGCTACCGTTGGTCCGGTCGGCAAGTGGTGCATGCGACGCATGGTCAAGGTTGGAAGACCACTTCGAGAAGAAGAGTCTTGCCAACAAGCTGTTCTTGCGCCGTCGCTTCTTCACGACAATGATGGAAGAAGGCGACGATGTGCTCGAACACATCAACAAGCTCAAGACGCTGGCGGAACAGCTAGAAGCGGTGGGGGCTCCAGTCTGCGAGGACGATCTGGTGATCACACTCCTCGGCAGCCTGAGTGACTCGTATCAATTCTTGATCACAGCTTTGGAGTCGCGCTCAGACACTCTTAGCTGGGAGCTCGTGACGTCTCGACTGCTTCATGAAGAAATGAAGCGGAAGGAGCAAGGAAGTAAAGGTGATGAAGCTTCGCAAGGTCAAGCGTTCATCACAAGGGACAATCAGCGCAAAGGGCGACCAGTGAAGAAGTCCTGGCCGTGCCACAATTGCGGAAAGATTGGTCACTGGATGGCGGAGTGCCCCTCGCGCATCCAAGAAAACACGGAGAGACACCGGCCACAGCGTGCTCAAGACAGCGGCGACCGCTATCGATCACAACGTGCAAACGTCGCTCAAGAAGAAGACTCGGGCGACTACCTCTTTTCGATCGGTGAAACGACATCTGCGAAATCGAGCGACATCTGGCTGGTCGACTCCGGGGCGACGCAGCACATGACGTGCTCCAAGAAGTTCATGCGGAACTACAAGGGGTTTGACGCTGTGGATGTCCATCTCGCGGATGATGGAATCGTCCAAGCAATCGGCAGTGGGGACATTGTCATGTCGATGAAGACACCCCAAGGGATGAAGAAAGGTGTGCTCACAAACGTGTGGCACATCCCAAAGTTATCCAGAAACCTGTTCTCGGTCGGCCGCTTCACCAAGGATGTCGGCCCAGTGACGTTCACGAAGGATGGGTGCTATGGAGAAGCGAAAGGGACCAAGTGGAAAATTGGTGCCCGTGAAGGTAAAGGACTGTTCAAGCTGCAAATGACTCCAGTGGCGCCGGAACAAGCAAATGCAGCCAAGTCGTCGGGATGTCAAGGGGGCACCAAGTCGTACCTCTGGCACCTTCGGCTTGGCCACATAGGTCACGATGGACTCAATTGCATCGTGACGAAGAACATTGGAATTGGCATCGACATATCTTCGGTGAAGAAGTGGGACGTGTGTGAAGGTTGTGCTCTGGGAAAACAGACTCGAGTGCGCTTCCAATCAAACACTACAGCTCGCACCTCCAAACTCCTCGAAGTGATTCACAGCGACGTATGCGGACCGATGTCGATGGCAACTTTCAGTGGAAAACGGTACTTCGTGACATTCATCGATGACAAGTCAAGATACTGTGTCGTCTATCTGCTCAAGAGCAAATCTGAAGTTGCGGCGAAGTTCATGGAATACGCTGCGATGGCCGAAACGCAAACCGGAAAGCGCGTGAAGTACCTTCAAAGCGACAATGGGGGTGAATACAAGTCCGACAAGCTGGCACGATTCTGCGCGGAACGGGGAATACAACAAAGGTTCACACACCCATATACTCCTCAGCTAAACGGAGTAGCTGAGAGAATGAATCGCACGCTGGTCGAGTGTGCGCGTTGCATGATGGAACACGCTGGACTGGGAAAGAGCTACTGGGGTGAAGCAGTGATGACGGCGATGTTTCTTCGAAACCGCTGTCCAACACGTGCCATTCACCAAGACAAGTCTCTATATCAAGTGTGGACGATGAAGAAACCGATTCTGGCCAACCTTAAAGTGTTTGGATGCCACGCGTATTTTCAAGTGCCTCAAGACAAACGCGCGAAGTTCGACTCCAAGTCATCACTCTGTCGTTTCCTGGGATACGCCGAACACCAGAAGTCATATCGATTTGAGGAAGTGTCAACAGGAGCGATCAAGATCAGTCGCGATGCCACATTCATGGAAGACAAGTTTGATGAAGGTCCGCGCAACTACAACGATGAGTCAAGTGCCGTTGAGTTTGATGATCAAGACGAGGACGAAGAAAAAGAAGAAGGTAAAACTGACGACGACATGGACTCGAGCGACGATGACAACGAAGACACCAGGTCTTCAAAGAGCAACATCAAGAGACACACGCGCACTCAATCACTTGAGAAAGCTACCGTCATTCCAAGTCCCAAGCGAAGAACGTACAGAGGTCCGTCGCTTGAGCATGTGTCAGCGGCTGCAATGGATTTTGAAGCAGCCTACATCGTTGATTCAGTGGGGGAAACGCCGACTACATTCAAGTCGGCGATGGAATCAAGCGACTCCGGCAAGTGGAAAGAAGCGTGTGACTCGGAGTTCGACTCGCTTCAGAGAAACGACACGTGGGAAATCGTGCCTCTTCCGAAAGGTCGCAAGGCCATCGGGTGCCGATGGGTTTTTCGTGTAAAGGAGAATCAAGATGGCGAAGTTGAACGTTTCAAGGCAAGACTTGTGGCCAAAGGATTCTCACAGAAATTCGGAGTCGACTACGAAAAAACTTTCGCACAGGTGGCCAAGTTCACATCGATTCGTGTGGTGCTCAGTATGGCGGCCAAGTACGGCCTAATGCTACATCAGATGTGTTGAAAAGACAGCGGCTGTGAAGAAGACACCTCGTCAAGCTGCGCCAAGTGTTGAAGCAAGTGGAAGACCAAGCTTCGCTATACCGGTGGGTACCGGTATGTACCAGTAAGGGCGAAGTCAGGAAATGACGTCATTGGATGACGTCAGTGGGTGACGTCACTGGATGACGTCACTGCGAATAATAGGCTTAGAGGTAGTATTCAAAGTTGCGAACTAAGTACCTATTATAAATATATATTCACTTTGCGTTTTGCACTCGGACCAAGAAGTCTAAAGTTCATCAGGTTATGAGCCCAAGTTCGTCAGACTCTGAAACCGCCAACAATTCAAGCTTAGATGCCATGGACGCCTCCTCCCTCCGCATCTCCAAGTTCGATGGAACTAACTTCCACGCCTGGAAGTTCAAGATGCAGATGGTGCTGGAGGAACGGGACCTATGGGAGGTCGTCAGCGGTGAGATCAAGGCGGAACAGTGCGAGACTCAGTTGGACCAAGCGACGTACAAGAGGAAGTCAAGAAAGGCGATGGCAGTGATCTGTCTAGCCATGGAAGATTCCCAGCTACCGTTGGTCCGGTCGGCAAGTGGTGCATGCGACGCATGGTCAAGGTTGGAAGACCACTTCGAGAAGAAGAGTCTTGCCAACAAGCTGTTCTTGCGCCGTCGCTTCTTCACGACAATGATGGAAGAAGGCGACGATGTGCTCGAACACATCAACAAGCTCAAGACGCTGGCGGAACAGCTAGAAGCGGTGGGGGCTCCAGTCTGCGAGGACGATCTGGTGATCACACTCCTCGGCAGCCTGAGTGACTCGTATCAATTCTTGATCACAGCTTTGGAGTCGCGCTCAGACACTCTTAGCTGGGAGCTCGTGACGTCTCGACTGCTTCATGAAGAAATGAAGCGGAAGGAGCAAGGAAGTAAAGGTGATGAAGCTTCGCAAGGTCAAGCGTTCATCACAAGGGACAATCAGCGCAAAGGGCGACCAGTGAAGAAGTCCTGGCCGTGCCACAATTGCGGAAAGATTGGTCACTGGATGGCGGAGTGCCCCTCGCGCATCCAAGAAAACACGGAGAGACACCGGCCACAGCGTGCTCAAGACAGCGGCGACCGCTATCGATCACAACGTGCAAACGTCGCTCAAGAAGAAGACTCGGGCGACTACCTCTTTTCGATCGGTGAAACGACATCTGCGAAATCGAGCGACATCTGGCTGGTCGACTCCGGGGCGACGCAGCACATGACGTGCTCCAAGAAGTTCATGCGGAACTACAAGGGGTTTGACGCTGTGGATGTCCATCTCGCGGATGATGGAATCGTCCAAGCAATCGGCAGTGGGGACATTGTCATGTCGATGAAGACGCCCCAAGGGATGAAGAAAGGTGTGCTCACAAACGTGTGGCACATCCCAAAGTTATCCAGAAACCTGTTCTCGGTCGGCCGCTTCACCAAGGATGTCGGCCCAGTGACGTTCACGAAGGATGGGTGCTATGGAGAAGCGAAAGGGACCAAGTGGAAAATTGGTGCCCGTGAAGGTAAAGGACTGTTCAAGCTGCAAATGACTCCAGTGGCGCCGGAACAAGCAAATGCAGCCAAGTCGTCGGGATGTCAAGGGGGCACCAAGTCGTACCTCTGGCACCTTCGGCTTGGCCACATAGGTCACGATGGACTCAATTGCATCGTGACGAAGAACATTGGAATTGGCATCGACATATCTTCGGTGAAGAAGTGGGACGTGTGTGAAGGTTGTGCTCTGGGAAAACAGACTCGAGTGCGCTTCCAATCAAACACTACAGCTCGCACCTCCAAACTCCTCGAAGTGATTCACAGCGACGTATGCGGACCGATGTCGATGGCAACTTTCAGTGGAAAACGGTACTTCGTGACATTCATCGATGACAAGTCAAGATACTGTGTCGTCTATCTGCTCAAGAGCAAATCTGAAGTTGCGGCGAAGTTCATGGAATACGCTGCGATGGCCGAAACGCAAACCGGAAAGCGCGTGAAGTACCTTCAAAGCGACAATGGGGGTGAATACAAGTCCGACAAGCTGGCACGATTCTGCGCGGAACGGGGAATACAACAAAGGTTCACACACCCATATACTCCTCAGCTAAACGGAGTAGCTGAGAGAATGAATCGCACGCTGGTCGAGTGTGCGCGTTGCATGATGGAACACGCTGGACTGGGAAAGAGCTACTGGGGTGAAGCAGTGATGACGGCGATGTTTCTTCGAAACCGCTGTCCAACACGTGCCATTCACCAAGACAAGTCTCTATATCAAGTGTGGACGATGAAGAAACCGATTCTGGCCAACCTTAAAGTGTTTGGATGCCACGCGTATTTTCAAGTGCCTCAAGACAAACGCGCGAAGTTCGACTCCAAGTCATCACTCTGTCGTTTCCTGGGATACGCCGAACACCAGAAGTCATATCGATTTGAGGAAGTGTCAACAGGAGCGATCAAGATCAGTCGCGATGCCACATTCATGGAAGACAAGTTTGATGAAGGTCCGCGCAACTACAACGATGAGTCAAGTGCCGTTGAGTTTGATGATCAAGACGAGGACGAAGAAAAAGAAGAAGGTAAAACTGACGACGACATGGACTCGAGCGACGATGACAACGAAGACACCAGGTCTTCAAAGAGCAACATCAAGAGACACACGCGCACTCAATCACTTGAGAAAGCTACCGTCATTCCAAGTCCCAAGCGAAGAACGTACAGAGGTCCGTCGCTTGAGCATGTGTCAGCGGCTGCAATGGATTTTGAAGCAGCCTACATCGTTGATTCAGTGGGGAAACGCCGACTACATTCAAGTCGGCGATGGAATCAAGCGACTCCGGCAAGTGGAAAGAAGCGTGTGACTCGGAGTTCGACTCGCTTCAGAGAAACGACACGTGGGAAATCGTGCCTCTTCCGAAAGGTCGCAAGGCCATCGGGTGCCGATGGGTTTTTCGTGTAAAGGAGAATCAAGATGGCGAAGTTGAACGTTTCAAGGCAAGACTTGTGGCCAAAGGATTCTCACAGAAATTCGGAGTCGACTACGAAAAAACTTTCGCACAGGTGGCCAAGTTCACATCGATTCGTGTGGTGCTCAGTATGGCGGCCAAGTACGGCCTAATGCTACATCAGATGTGTTGAAAAGACAGCGGCTGTGAAGAAGACACCTCGTCAAGCTGCGTTAAGTGTTGAAGCAAGTGGAAGACCAAGCTTCGCTATACCGGTGGGTACCGGTATGTACCAGTAAGGGCGAAGTCAGGAAATGACGTCATTGGATGACGTCAGTGGATGACGTCACTGGATGACGTCATTGCATGACGTCAGTGGGTGACGTCAGTGGGTGACGTCACTGGATGACGTCACTGCGAATAATAGGCTTAGAGGTAGTATTTAAAGTTGCGAACTAAGTACCTATTATAAATATATATTCACTTTGCGTTTTGCACTCGGACCAAGAAGTCTAAAGTTCATCAGGTTATGAGCCCAAGTTCGTCAGACTCTGAAACCGCCAACAATTCAAGCTTAGCTGCCATGGACGCCTCCTCCCTCCGCATCTCCAAGTTCGATGGAACTAACTTCCACGCCTGGAAGTTCAAGATGCAGATGGTGCTGGAGGAACGGGACCTATGGGAGGTCGTCAGCGGTGAGATCAAGGCGGAACAGTGCGAGACTCAGTTGGACCAAGCGACGTACAAGAGGAAGTCAAGAAAGGCGATGGCAGTGATCTGTCTGGCCATGGAAGATTCCCAGCTACCGTTGGTCCGGTCGGCAAGTGGTGCATGCGACGCATGGTCAAGGTTGGAAGACCACTTCGAGAAGAAGAGTCTTGCCGACAAGCTGTTCTTGCTGATGAACTTTAGACTTCTTGGTCCGAGTGCAAAACGCAAAGTGAATATATATTTATAATAGGTACTTAGTTCGCAACTTTGAATACTACCTCTAAGCCTATTATTCGCAGTGACGTCATCCAGTGACGTCACCCACTGACGTCACCCACTGACGTCATGCAATGACGTCATCCAGTGACGTCATTTCCTGACTTCGCCCTTACTGGTACATACCGGTACCCACCGGTATAGCGAAGCTTGGTCTTCCACTTGCTTCAACACTTGACGCAGCTTGACGAGGTGTCTTCTTCACAGCCGCTGTCTTTTCAACACTCCCTCTCGACTCGTTAGCTGCGGCATCTTGGATCCCAAGTCGATCGCGAATGTTTTCAAATTGTACAGCGGCGATCGGCTTGGTCATCATGTCTGCCAGCATATCTTGAGTCGGGTAATACTCCAAAACGACTTCACCTGATTCCACCTTCTCACGCACAAAATGGTAGCGTATGTCGATGTGTTTTGTTCTCTTATGAAACTCCGGGTTCTTGGCGAGAGCGATTGATCCTTGGTTGTCTTCATACATCTTGATCGCTTCGTCGCTTGTCATCTCACCAAGTTCCCCCAAAAGCACCTTGAGCCATACTGCTTCTTTGGTTGCTTCGGAAAGCGCCATGTATTCTGCTTCTGTTGAAGATAGCGCGACCGTCCGTTGTTTCTGGCTTTTCCAGCTGATGCATCCTCCGCTCATCATGAACACATAGCCGCTTGTACTTCGTCTTGACTCAATGTCGCCGGCCCAGTCTGCGTCGGTGTACCCGCAGATACGGCTTCCTTCTTCACGTGTAAACTCAAGACCATGATTGGGCGTTGCTTGCAGGTATCTCAGCACACGCTTCAAAGCTTGCCAGTGAGTCGGGCATGGGTCGGACGAGAACTGGGATAATGATCCCACTGCAGCAGCTAGATCCGGACGTGTGGCGACCATGAGATACATGATGCCTCCGACAGCACTTCGATATGGCACGTTGCACATGGTGTCTTCGTGCTTGCATTCTTGTTCACACATGTTCTTGGTTAGCTTCAGGCCGGGATCTTGAGGCGTCTTCACTGGCTTGCTGTTATCCATTCCGAACTTGGTCAACACGGACTTGAGAAACTTGGTTTGTTGTACAGTCACCATTCCCGTCTTACGGTCGTTCTTGATCTCCATGCCGAGAAAGTAATCGAGCTCACCGAGATCCGTCATTTCGAAGCGTTTGCTCAGCGCCATCTTGGTTGACTTGAGGAGTTCGTTGTTGCTGCTGGCCAGGATGAGATCATCGACGTAGAGCACCACGAGAATCATGTCTTGGTCGTCTCGCTTGATGTAGATGCAGTGGTCCGATTCGCACTTCTTGAATCCCATCTTGATCATGAACCCATCGATTGTTTGGTTCCACATGCGAGGCGATTGCTTCAAGCCGTAGAGTGATCTCTTTAGCTTGCACACATAGTCCGGCTGTGTTGCATCCAGGTATCCGTCCGGCTGGTCCATGTAGATGTCTTCGTTGAGGGAGCCGTTAAGAAACGCTGTCTTGACGTCCATCTGATGTAGCATTAGGCCGTACTTGGCCGCCATACTGAGCACCACACGAATCGATGTGAACTTGGTCACCGGTGCGAAAGTTTCTTCATAGTCAACTCCGAATTTCTGTGAGAATCCTTTGGCCACAAGTCTTGCCTTGAAACGTTCAACTTCGCCATCTTGATTCTCCTTTACACGAAAAACCCATCGGCACCCGATGGCCTTGCGACCTTTCGGAAGAGGCACGATTTCCCACGTGTCGTTTCTCTGAAGCGAATCGAACTCCGAGTCACACGCTTCTTTCCACTTGCCGGAGTCGCTTGATTCCATCGCCGACTTGAATGTAGTCGGCGTTTCCCCCACTGAATCAACGATGTAGGCTGCTTCAAAATCCATTGCAGCCGCTGACACATGCTCAAGCGACGGACCTCTGTACGTTCTTCGCTTGGGACTTGGAATGACGGTAGCTTTCTCAAGTGATTGAGTGCGCGTGTGTCTCTTGATGTTGCTCTTCGAAGACCTGGTGTCTTCGTTGTCATCGTCGCTCGAGTCCATGTCGTCGTCAGTTTTACCTTCTTCTTTTTCTTCGTCCTCGTCATGATCATCAAACTCAACGACACTTGACTCATCGTTGTAGTTGCGCGGACCTTCATCAAACTTGTCTTCCATGAATGTGGCATCGCGACTGATCTTGATCGCTCCTGTTGACACTTCCTCAAATCGATATGACTTCTGGTGTTCGGCGTATCCCAGGAAACGACAGAGTGATGACTTGGAGTCGAACTTCGCGCGTTTGTCTTGAGGCACTTGAACATACGCGTGGCATCCAAACACTTTAAGGTTGGCCAGAATCGGTTTCTTCATCGTCCACACTTGATATGGAGACTTGTCTTGGTGAATGACACGTGTTGGACAGCGGTTTCGAAGAAACATCGCCGTCATCACTGCTTCACCCCAGTAGCTCTTTCCCAGTCCAGCGTGTTCCATCATGCAACGCGCACACTCGACCAGCGTGCGATTCATTCTCTCAGCTACTCCGTTTAGCTGAGGAGTATATGGGGGTGTGAACCTTTGTTGTATTCCCCGTTCCGCGCAGAATCGTGCCAGCTTGTCGGACTTGTATTCACCCCCATTGTCGCTTTGAAGGTACTTCACGCGCTTTCCGGTTTGCGTTTCGGCCATCGCAGCGTATTCCATGAACTTCGCCGCAACTTCAGATTTGCTCTTGAGCAGATAGACGACACAGTATCTTGACTTGTCATCAATGAATGTCACGAAGTACCGTTTTCCACTGAAAGTTGCCATCGACATCGGTCCGCATACGTCGCTGTGAATCACTTCGAGGAGTTTGGAGGTGCGAGCTGTAGTGTTTGATTGGAAGCGCACTCGAGTCTGTTTTCCCAGAGCACAACCTTCACACACGTCCCACTTCTTCACCGAAGATATGTCGATGCCAATTCCAATGTTCTTCGTCACGATGCAATTGAGTCCATCGTGACCTATGTGGCCAAGCCGAAGGTGCCAGAGGTACGACTTGGTGCCCCCTTGACATCCCGACGACTTGGCTGCATTTGCTTGTTCCGGCGCCACTGGAGTCATTTGCAGCTTGAACAGTCCTTTACCTTCACGGGCACCAATTTTCCACTTGGTCCCTTTCGCTTCTCCATAGCACCCATCCTTCGTGAACGTCACTGGGCCGACATCCTTGGTGAAGCGGCCGACCGAGAACAGGTTTCTGGATAACTTTGGGATGTGCCACACGTTTGTGAGCACACCTTTCTTCATCCCTTGGGGTGTCTTCATCGACATGACAATGTCCCCACTGCCGATTGCTTGGACGATTCCATCATCCGCGAGATGGACATCCACAGCGTCAAACCCCTTGTAGTTCCGCATGAACTTCTTGGAGCACGTCATGTGCTGCGTCGCCCCGGAGTCGACCAGCCAGATGTCGCTCGATTTCGCAGATGTCGTTTCACCGATCGAAAGAGGTAGTCGCCCGAGTCTTCTTCTTGAGCGACGTTTGCACGTTGTGATCGATAGCGGTCGCCGCTGTCTTGAGCACGCTGTGGCCGGTGTCTCTCCGTGTTTTCTTGGATGCGCGAGGGGCACTCCGCCATCCAGTGACCAATCTTTCCGCAATTGTGGCACGGCCAGGACTTCTTCACTGGTCGCCCTTTGCGCTGATTGTCCCTTGTGATGAACGCTTGACCTTGCGAAGCTTCATCACCTTTACTTCCTTGCTCCTTCCGCTTCATTTCTTCATGAAGCAGTCGAGACGTCACGAGCTCCCAGCTAAGAGTGTCTGAGCGCGACTCCAAAGCTGTGATCAAGAATTGATACGAGTCACTCAGGCTGCCGAGGAGTGTGATCACCAGATCGTCCTCGCAGACTGGAGCCCCCACCGCTTCTAGCTGTTCCGCCAGCGTCTTGAGCTTGTTGATGTGTTCGAGCACATCGTCGCCTTCTTCCATCATTGTCGTGAAGAAGCGACGGCGCAAGAACAGCTTGTTGGCAAGACTCTTCTTCTCGAAGTGGTCTTCCAACCTTGACCATGCGTCGCATGCACCACTTGCCGACCGGACCAACGGTAGCTGGGAATCTTCCATGGCTAGACAGATCACTGCCATCGCCTTTCTTGACTTCCTCTTGTACGTCGCTTGGTCCAACTGAGTCTCGCACTGTTCCGCCTTGATCTCACCGCTGACGACCTCCCATAGGTCCCGTTCCTCCAGCACCATCTGCATCTTGAACTTCCAGGCGTGGAAGTTAGTTCCATCGAACTTGGAGATGCGGAGGGAGGAGGCGTCCATGGCAGCTAAGCTTGAATTGTTGGCGGTTTCAGAGTCTGACGAACTTGGGCTCATAACCTGATGAACTTTAGACTTCTTGGTCCGAGTGCAAAACGCAAAGTGAATATATATTTATAATAGGTACTTAGTTCGCAACTTTGAATACTACCTCTAAGCCTATTATTCGCAGTGACGTCATCCAGTGACGTCACCCACTGACGTCACCCACTGACGTCATGCAATGACGTCATCCAGTGACGTCATTTCCTGACTTCGCCCTTACTGGTACATACCGGTACCCACCGGTATAGCGAAGCTTGGTCTTCCACTTGCTTCAACACTTGACGCAGCTTGACGAGGTGTCTTCTTCACAGCCGCTGTCTTTTCAACACTCCCTCTCGACTCGTTAGCTGCGGCATCTTGGATCCCAAGTCGATCGCGAATGTTTTCAAATTGTACAGCGGCGATCGGCTTGGTCATCATGTCTGCCAGCATATCTTGAGTCGGGTAATACTCCAAAACGACTTCACCTGATTCCACCTTCTCACGCACAAAATGGTAGCGTATGTCGATGTGTTTTGTTCTCTTATGAAACTCCGGGTTCTTGGCGAGAGCGATTGATCCTTGGTTGTCTTCATACATCTTGATCGCTTCGTCGCTTGTCATCTCACCAAGTTCCCCCAAAAGCACCTTGAGCCATACTGCTTCTTTGGTTGCTTCGGAAAGCGCCATGTATTCTGCTTCTGTTGAAGATAGCGCGACCGTCCGTTGTTTCTGGCTTTTCCAGCTGATGCATCCTCCGCTCATCATGAACACATAGCCGCTTGTACTTCGTCTTGACTCAATGTCGCCGGCCCAGTCTGCGTCGGTGTACCCGCAGATACGGCTTCCTTCTTCACGTGTAAACTCAAGACCATGATTGGGCGTTGCTTGCAGGTATCTCAGCACACGCTTCAAAGCTTGCCAGTGAGTCGGGCATGGGTCGGACGAGAACTGGGATAATGATCCCACTGCAGCAGCTAGATCCGGACGTGTGGCGACCATGAGATACATGATGCCTCCGACAGCACTTCGATATGGCACGTTGCACATGGTGTCTTCGTGCTTGCATTCTTGTTCACACATGTTCTTGGTTAGCTTCAGGCCGGGATCTTGAGGCGTCTTCACTGGCTTGCTGTTATCCATTCCGAACTTGGTCAACACGGACTTGAGAAACTTGGTTTGTTGTACAGTCACCATTCCCGTCTTACGGTCGTTCTTGATCTCCATGCCGAGAAAGTAATCGAGCTCACCGAGATCCGTCATTTCGAAGCGTTTGCTCAGCGCCATCTTGGTTGACTTGAGGAGTTCGTTGTTGCTGCTGGCCAGGATGAGATCATCGACGTAGAGCACCACGAGAATCATGTCTTGGTCGTCTCGCTTGATGTAGATGCAGTGGTCCGATTCGCACTTCTTGAATCCCATCTTGATCATGAACCCATCGATTGTTTGGTTCCACATGCGAGGCGATTGCTTCAAGCCGTAGAGTGATCTCTTTAGCTTGCACACATAGTCCGGCTGTGTTGCATCCAGGTATCCGTCCGGCTGGTCCATGTAGATGTCTTCGTTGAGGGAGCCGTTAAGAAACGCTGTCTTGACGTCCATCTGATGTAGCATTAGGCCGTACTTGGCCGCCATACTGAGCACCACACGAATCGATGTGAACTTGGTCACCGGTGCGAAAGTTTCTTCATAGTCAACTCCGAATTTCTGTGAGAATCCTTTGGCCACAAGTCTTGCCTTGAAACGTTCAACTTCGCCATCTTGATTCTCCTTTACACGAAAAACCCATCGGCACCCGATGGCCTTGCGACCTTTCGGAAGAGGCACGATTTCCCACGTGTCGTTTCTCTGAAGCGAATCGAACTCCGAGTCACACGCTTCTTTCCACTTGCCGGAGTCGCTTGATTCCATCGCCGACTTGAATGTAGTCGGCGTTTCCCCACTGAATCAACGATGTAGGCTGCTTCAAAATCCATTGCAGCCGCTGACACATGCTCAAGCGACGGACCTCTGTACGTTCTTCGCTTGGGACTTGGAATGACGGTAGCTTTCTCAAGTGATTGAGTGCGCGTGTGTCTCTTGATGTTGCTCTTCGAAGACCTGGTGTCTTCGTTGTCATCGTCGCTCGAGTCCATGTCGTCGTCAGTTTTACCTTCTTCTTTTTCTTCGTCCTCGTCATGATCATCAAACTCAACGACACTTGACTCATCGTTGTAGTTGCGCGGACCTTCATCAAACTTGTCTTCCATGAATGTGGCATCGCGACTGATCTTGATCGCTCCTGTTGACACTTCCTCAAATCGATATGACTTCTGGTGTTCGGCGTATCCCAGGAAACGACAGAGTGATGACTTGGAGTCGAACTTCGCGCGTTTGTCTTGAGGCACTTGAACATACGCGTGGCATCCAAACACTTTAAGGTTGGCCAGAATCGGTTTCTTCATCGTCCACACTTGATATGGAGACTTGTCTTGGTGAATGACACGTGTTGGACAGCGGTTTCGAAGAAACATCGCCGTCATCACTGCTTCACCCCAGTAGCTCTTTCCCAGTCCAGCGTGTTCCATCATGCAACGCGCACACTCGACCAGCGTGCGATTCATTCTCTCAGCTACTCCGTTTAGCTGAGGAGTATATGGGGGTGTGAACCTTTGTTGTATTCCCCGTTCCGCGCAGAATCGTGCCAGCTTGTCGGACTTGTATTCACCCCCATTGTCGCTTTGAAGGTACTTCACGCGCTTTCCGGTTTGCGTTTCGGCCATCGCAGCGTATTCCATGAACTTCGCCGCAACTTCAGATTTGCTCTTGAGCAGATAGACGACACAGTATCTTGACTTGTCATCAATGAATGTCACGAAGTACCGTTTTCCACTGAAAGTTGCCATCGACATCGGTCCGCATACGTCGCTGTGAATCACTTCGAGGGAGTTTGGAGGTGCGAGCTGTAGTGTTTGATTGGAAGCGCACTCGAGTCTGTTTTCCCAGAGCACAACCTTCACACACGTCCCACTTCTTCACCGAAGATATGTCGATGCCAATTCCAATGTTCTTCGTCACGATGCAATTGAGTCCATCGTGACCTATGTGGCCAAGCCGAAGGTGCCAGAGGTACGACTTGGTGCCCCCTTGACATCCCGACGACTTGGCTGCATTTGCTTGTTCCGGCGCCACTGGAGTCATTTGCAGCTTGAACAGTCCTTTACCTTCACGGGCACCAATTTTCCACTTGGTCCCTTTCGCTTCTCCATAGCACCCATCCTTCGTGAACGTCACTGGGCCGACATCCTTGGTGAAGCGGCCGACCGAGAACAGGTTTCTGGATAACTTTGGGATGTGCCACACGTTTGTGAGCACACCTTTCTTCATCCCTTGGGGTGTCTTCATCGACATGACAATGTCCCCACTGCCGATTGCTTGGACGATTCCATCATCCGCGAGATGGACATCCACAGCGTCAAACCCCTTGTAGTTCCGCATGAACTTCTTGGAGCACGTCATGTGCTGCGTCGCCCCGGAGTCGACCAGCCAGATGTCGCTCGATTTCGCAGATGTCGTTTCACCGATCGAAAAGAGGTAGTCGCCCGAGTCTTCTTCTTGAGCGACGTTTGCACGTTGTGATCGATAGCGGTCGCCGCTGTCTTGAGCACGCTGTGGCCGGTGTCTCTCCGTGTTTTCTTGGATGCGCGAGGGGCACTCCGCCATCCAGTGACCAATCTTTCCGCAATTGTGGCACGGCCAGGACTTCTTCACTGGTCGCCCTTTGCGCTGATTGTCCCTTGTGATGAACGCTTGACCTTGCGAAGCTTCATCACCTTTACTTCCTTGCTCCTTCCGCTTCATTTCTTCATGAAGCAGTCGAGACGTCACGAGCTCCCAGCTAAGAGTGTCTGAGCGCGACTCCAAAGCTGTGATCAAGAATTGATACGAGTCACTCAGGCTGCCGAGGAGTGTGATCACCAGATCGTCCTCGCAGACTGGAGCCCCCACCGCTTCTAGCTGTTCCGCCAGCGTCTTGAGCTTGTTGATGTGTTCGGAGCACATCGTCGCCTTCTTCCATCATTGTCGTGAAGAAGCGACGGCGCAAGAACAGCTTGTTGGCAAGACTCTTCTTCTCGAAGTGGTCTTCCAACCTTGACCATGCGTCGCATGCACCACTTGCCGACCGGACCAACGGTAGCTGGGAATCTTCCATGGCTAGACAGATCACTGCCATCGCCTTTCTTGACTTCCTCTTGTACGTCGCTTGGTCCAACTGAGTCTCGCACTGTTCCGCCTTGATCTCACCGCTGACGACCTCCCATAGGTCCCGTTCCTCCAGCACCATCTGCATCTTGAACTTCCAGGCGTGGAAGTTAGTTCCATCGAACTTGGAGATGCGGAGGGAGGAGGCGTCCATGGCAGCTAAGCTTGAATTGTTGGCGGTTTCAGAGTCTGACGAACTTGGGCTCATAACCTGATGAACTTTAGACTTCTTGGTCCGAGTGCAAAACGCAAAGTGAATATATATTTATAATAGGTACTTAGTTCGCAACTTTGAATACTACCTCTAAGCCTATTATTCGCAGTGACGTCATCCAGTGACGTCACCCACTGACGTCACCCACTGACGTCATGCAATGACGTCATCCAGTGACGTCATTTCCTGACTTCGCCCTTACTGGTACATACCGGTACCCACCGGTATAGCGAAGCTTGGTCTTCCACTTGCTTCAACACTTGACGCAGCTTGACGAGGTGTCTTCTTCACAGCCGCTGTCTTTTCAACACTTGCGCCGTCGCTTCTTCACGACAATGATGGAAGAAGGCGACGATGTGCTCGAACACATCAACAAGCTCAAGACGCTGGCGGAACAGCTAGAAGCGGTGGGGGCTCCAGTCTGCGAGGACGATCTGGTGATCACACTTCTCGGCAGCCTGAGTGACTCGTATCAATTCTTGATCACAGCTTTGGAGTCGCGCTCAGACACTCTTAGCTGGGAGCTCGTGACGTCTCGACTGCTTCATGAAGAAATGAAGCGGAAGGAGCAAGGAAGTAAAGGTGATGAAGCTTCGCAAGGTCAAGCGTTCATCACAAGGGACAATCAGCGCAAAGGGCGACCAGTGAAGAAGTCCTGGACGTGCCACAATTGCGGAAAGATTGGTCACTGGATGGCGGAGTGCCCCTCGCGCATCCAAGAAAACACGGAGAGACACCGGCCACAGCGTGCTCAAGACAGCGGCGACCGCTATCGATCACAACGTGCAAACGTCGCTCAAGAAGAAGACTCGGGCGACTACCTCTTTTCGATCGGTGAAACGACATCTGCGAAATCGAGCGACATCTGGCTGGTCGAATCCGGGGCGACGCAGCACATGACGTGCTCCAAGAAGTTCATGCGGAACTACAAGGGGTTTGACGCTGTGGATGTCCATCTCGCGGATGATGGAATCGTCCAAGCAATCGGCAGTGGGGACATTGTCATGTCAATGAAGACACCCCAAGGGATGAAGAAAGGTGTGCTCACAAACGTGTGGCACATCCCAAAGTTATCCAGAAACCTGTTCTCGGTCGGCCGCTTCACCAAGGATGTCGGCCCAGTGACGTTCACGAAGGATGGGTGCTATGGAGAAGCGAAAGGGACCAAGTGGAAAATTGGTGCCCGTGAAGGTAAAGGACTGTTCAAGCTGCAAATGACTCCAGTGGCGCCAGAACAAGCAAATGCAGCCAAGTCGTCGGGATGTCAAGGGGGCACCAAGTCGTACCTCTGGCACCTTCGGCTTGGCCACATAGGTCACGATGGACTCAATTGCATCGTGACGAAGAACATTGGAATTGGCATCGACATATCTTCGGTGAAGAAGTGGGACGTGTATGAAGGTTGTGCTCTGGGAAAACAGACTCGAGTGCGCTTCCAATCAAACACTACAGCTCGCACCTCCAAACTCCTCGAAGTGATTCACAGCGACGTATGCGGACCGATGTCGATGGCAACTTTCAGTGGAAAACGGTACTTCGTGACATTCATTGATGACAAGTCAAGATACTGTGTCGTCTATCTGCTCAAGAGCAAATCTGAAGTTGCGGCGAAGTTCATGGAATACGCTGCGATGGCCGAAACGCAAACCGGAAAGCGCGTGAAGTACCTTCAAAGCGACAATGGGGGTGAATACAAGTCCGACAAGCTGGCACGATTCTGCGCGGAACGGGGAATACAACAAAGGTTCACACCCCCATATACTCCTCAGCTAAACGGAGTAGCTGAGAGAATGAATCGCACGCTGGTCGAGTGTGCGCGTTGCATGATGGAACACGCTGGACTGGGAAAGAGCTACTGGGGTGAAGCAGTGATGACGGCGATGTTTCTTCGAAAACGCTGTCCAACACGTGCCATTCACCAAGACAAGTCTCCATATCAAGTGTGGACGATGAAGAAACCGATTCTGGCCAACCTTAAAGTGTTTGGATGCCACGCGTATGTTCAAGTGCCTCAAGACAAACGCGCAAAGTTCGACTCCAAGTCATCACTCTGTCGTTTCCTGGGATACGCCGAACACCAGAAGTCATATCGATTTGAGGAAGTGTCAACAGGAGCGATCAAGATCAGTCGCGATGCCACATTCATGGAAGACAAGTTTGATGAAGGTCCGCGCAACTACAACGATGAGTCAAGTGCCGTTGAGTTTGATGATCAAGACGAGGACGAAGAAAAAGAAGAAGGTAAAACTGACGACGACATGGACTCGAGCGACGATGACAACGAAGACACCAGGTCTTCGAAGAGCAACATCAAGAGACACACGCGCACTCAATCACTTGAGAAAGCTACCGTCATTCCAAGTCCCAAGCAAAGAACGTACAGAGGTCCGTCGCTTGAGCATGTGTCAGCGGCTGCAATGGATTTTGAAGCAGCCTACATCGTTGATTCAGTGGGGAAACGCCGACTACATTCAAGTCGGCGATGGAATCAAGCGACTCCGGCAAGTGGAAAGAAGCGTGTGACTCGGAGTTTGACTCGCTTCAGAGAAACGACACGTGGGAAATCGTGCCTCTTCCGAAAGGTCGCAAGGCCATCGGGTGCCGATGGGTTTTTCGTGTAAAGGAGAATCAAGATGGCGAAGTTGAACGTTTCAAGGCAAGACTTGTGGCCAAAGGATTCTCACAGAAATTCGGAGTTGACTATGAAGAAACTTTCGCACCGGTGGCCAAGTTCACATCGATTCGTGTGGTGCTCAGTATGGCGGCCAAGTACGGCCTAATGCTACATCAGATGTGTTGAAAAGACAGCGGCTGTGAAGAAGACACCTCGTCAAGCTGCGTCAAGTGTTGAAGCAAGTGGAAGACCAAGCTTCGCTATACCGGTGGGTACCGGTATGTACCAGTAAGGGCGAAGTCAGGAAATGACGTCACTGGATGACGTCATTGCATGACGTCAGTGGGTGACGTCACTGGATGACGTCACTGCGAATAATAGGCTTAGAGGTAGTATTCAAAGTTGCGAACTAAGTACCTATTATAAATATATATTCACTTTGCGTTTTGCACTCGGACCAAGAAGTCTAAAGTTCATCAGGTTATGAGCCCAAGTTCGTCAGACTCTGAAACCGCCAACAATTCAAGCTTAGCTGCCATGGACGCCTCCTCCCTCCGCATCTCCAAGTTCGATGGAACTAACTTCCACGCCTGGAAGTTCAAGATGCAGATGGTGCTGGAGGAACGGGACCTATGGGAGGTCGTCAGCGGTGAGATCAAGGCGGAACAGTGCGAGACTCAGTTGGACCAAGCGACGTACAAGAGGAAGTCAAGAAAGGCGATGGCAGTGATCTGTCTAGCCATGGAAGATTCCCAGCTACCGTTGGTCCGGTCGGCAAGTGGTGCATGCGACGCATGGTCAAGGTTGGAAGACCACTTCGAGAAGAAGAGTCTTGCCAACAAGCTGTTCTTGCGCCGTCGCTTCTTCACGACAATGATGGAAGAAGGCGACGATGTGCTCGAACACATCAACAAGCTCAAGACGCTGGCGGAACAGCTAGAAGCGGTGGGGGGCTCCAGTCTGCGAGGACGATCTGGTGATCACACTCCTCGGCAGCCTGAGTGACTCGTATCAATTCTTGATCACAGCTTTGGAGTCGCGCTCAGACACTCTTAGCTGGGAGCTCGTGACGTCTCGACTGCTTCATGAAGAAATGAAGCGGAAGGAGCAAGGAAGTAAAGGTGATGAAGCTTCGCAAGGTCAAGCGTTCATCACAAGGGGACAATCAGCGCAAAGGGCGACCAGTGAAGAAGTCCTGGCCGTGCCACAATTGCGGAAAGATTGGTCACTGGATGGCGGAGTGCCCCTCGCGCATCCAAGAAAACACGGAGAGACACCGGCCACAGCGTGCTCAAGACAGCGGCGACCGCTATCGATCACAACGTGCAAACGTCGCTCAAGAAGAAGACTCGGGCGACTACCTCTTTTCGATCGGTGAAACGACATCTGCGAAATCGAGCGACATCTGGCTGGTCGACTCCGGGGCGACGCAGCACATGACGTGCTCCAAGAAGTTCATGCGGAACTACAAGGGGTTTGACGCTGTGGATGTCCATCTCGCGGATGATGGAATCGTCCAAGCAATCGGCAGTGGGGACATTGTCATGTCGATGAAGACACCCCAAGGGATGAAGAAAGGTGTGCTCACAAACGTGTGGCACATCCCAAAGTTATCCAGAAACCTGTTCTCGGTCGGCCGCTTCACCAAGGATGTCGGCCCAGTGACGTTCACGAAGGATGGGTGCTATGGAGAAGCGAAAGGGACCAAGTGGAAAATTGGTGCCCGTGAAGGTAAAGGACTGTTCAAGCTGCAAAATGACTCCAGTGGCGCCGGAACAAGCAAATGCAGCCAAGTCGTCGGGATGTCAAGGGGGCACCAAGTCGTACCTCTGGCACCTTCGGCTTGGCCACATAGGTCACGATGGACTCAATTGCATCGTGACGAAGAATATTGGAATTGGCATCGACATATCTTCGGTGAAGAAGTGGGACGTGTGTGAAGGTTGTGCTCTGGGAAAACAGACTCGAGTGCGCTTCCAATCAAACACTACAGCTCGCACCTCCAAACTCCTCGAAGTGATTCACAGCGACGTATGCGGACCGATGTCGATGGCAACTTTCAGTGGAAAACGGTACTTCGTGACATTCATTGATGACAAGTCAAGATACTGTGTCGTCTATCTGCTCAAGAGCAAATCTGAAGTTGCGGCGAAGTTCATGGAATACGCTGCGATGGCCGAAACGCAAACCGGAAAGCGCGTGAAGTACCTTCAAAGCGACAATGGGGGGTGAATACAAGTCCGACAAGCTGGCACGATTCTGCGCGGAACGGGGAATACAACAAAGGTTCACACCCCCATATACTCCTCAGCTAAACGGAGTAGCTGAGAGAATGAATCGCACGCTGGTCGAGTGTGCGCGTTGCATGATGGAACACGCTGGACTGGGGAAAGAGCTACTGGGGTGAAGCAGTGATGACGGCGATGTTTCTTCGAAACCGCTGTCCAACACGTGCCATTCACCAAGACAAGTCTCCATATCAAGTGTGGACGATGAAGAAACCGATTCTGGCCAACCTTAAAGTGTTTGGATGCCACGCGTATGTTCAAGTGCCTCAAGACAAACGCGCGAAGTTCGACTCCAAGTCATCACTCTGTCGTTTCCTGGGATACGCCGAACACCAGAAGTCATATCGATTTGAGGAAGTGTCAACAGGAGCGATCAAGATCAGTCGCGATGCCACATTCATGGAAGACAAGTTTGATGAAGGTCCGCGCAACTACAACGATGAGTCAAGTGTCGTTGAGTTTGATGATCATGATGAGGACGAAGAAAAAGAAGAAGGTAAAACTGACGACGACATGGACTCGAGCGACGATGACAACGAAGACACCAGGTCTTCGAAGAGCAACATCAAGAGACACACGCGCACTCAATCACTTGAGAAAGCTACCGTCATTCCAAGTCCCAAGCGAAGAACATACAGAGGTCCGTCGCTTGAGCATGTGTCAGCGGCTGCAATGGATTTTGAAGCAGCCTACATCGTTGATTCAGTGGGGGAAACGCCGACTACATTCAAGTCGGCGATGGAATCAAGCGACTCCGGCAAGTGGAAAGAAGCGTGTGACTCGGAGTTCGATTCGCTTCAGAGAAACGACACGTGGGAAATCGTGCCTCTTCCGAAAGGTCGCAAGGCCATCGGGTGCCGATGGGTTTTTCGTGTAAAGGAGAATCAAGATGGCGAAGTTGAACGTTTCAAGGCAAGACTTGTGGCCAAAGGATTCTCACAGAAATTCGGAGTTGACTATGAAGAAACTTTCGCACCGGTGGCCAAGTTCACATCGATTCGTGTGGTGCTCAGTATGGCGGCTAAGTACGGCCTAATGCTACATCAGATGGACGTCAAGACAGCGTTTCTTAACGGCTCCCTCAACGAAGACATCTACATGGACCAGCCGGACGGATACCTGGATGCAACACAGCCGGACTATGTGTGCAAGCTAAAGAGATCACTCTACGGCTTGAAGCAATCGCCTCGCATGTGGAACCAAACAATCGATGGGTTCATGATCAAGATGGGATTCAAGAAGTGCGAATCGGACCACTGCATCTACATCAAGCGAGACGACCAAGACATGATTCTCGTGGTGCTCTACGTCGATGATCTCATCCTGGCCAGCAGCAACAACGAACTCCTCAAGTCAACCAAGATGGCGCTGAGCAAACGCTTCGAAATGACGGATCTTGGTGAGCTCGATTACTTTCTCGGCATGGAGATCAAGAACGACCGTAAGACGGGAATGGTGACCGTACAACAAACCAAGTTTCTCAAGTCCGTGTTAACCAAGTTCGGAATGGATAACAGCAAGCCAGTGAAGACGCCTCAAGATCCCGGCCTGAAGCTAACCAAGAACATGTGTGAACAAGAATGCAAGCACGAAGACACCATGTGCAACGTGCCATATCGAAGTGCTGTCGGAGGCATCATGTATCTCATGGTCGCCACACGTCCGGATCTAGCTGCTGCAGTGGGATCATTATCCCAGTTCTCGTCCGACCCATGCCCGACTCACTGGCAAGCTTTGAAGCGTGTGCTGAGATACCTGCAAGCAACGCCCAATCATGGTCTTGAGTTTACACGTGAAGAAGGAAGCCGTATCTGCGGGTACACCGACGCAGACTGGGCCGGCGACATTGAGTCAAGACGAAGTACAAGCGGCTATGTGTTCATGATGAGCGGAGGATGCATCAGCTGGAAAAGCCAGAAACAACGGACGGTCGCGCTATCTTCAACAGAAGCAGAATACATGGCGCTTTCCGAAGCAACCAAAGAAGTAGTATGGCTCAAAGTGCTTTTGGGGGAACTTGGTGAGATGACAAGCGACGAAGCGATCAAGATGTATGAAGACAACCAAGGATCAATCGCTCTCGCCAAGAACCCGGAGTTCCATAAGAGAACAAAACACATCGACATACGCTACCATTTTGTGCGTGAGAAGGTGGAATCAGGTGAAGTCGTTTTGGAGTATTGCCCGACTCAAGATATGCTGGCAGACATGATGACCAAGCCGATCGCCGCTGTACAATTTGAAAACATTCGCGATCGACTTGGGATCCAAGGTGCCGCAGCTAACGAGTCGAGAGGGAGTGTTGAAAAGACAGCGGCTGTGAAGAAGACACCTCGTCAAGCTGCGTCAAGTGTTGAAGCAAGTGGAAGACCAAGCTTCGCTATACCGGTGGGTACCGGTATGTACCAGTAAGGGCGAAGTCAGGAAATGACGTCACTGGATGACGTCATTGCATGACGTCAGTGGGTGACGTCACTGGATGACGTCACTGCGAATAATAGGCTTAGAGGTAGTATTCAAAGTTGCGAACTAAGTACCTATTATAAATATATATTCACTTTGCGTTTTGCACTCGGACCAAGAAGTCTAAAGTTTATCAAGATGGACGTCAAAACAGCGTTTCTTAACGGCTCCCTCAACGAGGACATCTACATGGACCAGCCGGACGGATACCTGGATGCAACACAGCCGGACTATGTGTGCAAGCTAAAGAGATCACTCTACGGCTTGAAGCAATCGCCTCGCATGTGGAACCAAACAATCGATGGGTTCATGATCAAGATGGGATTCAAGAAGTGCGAATCGGACCACTGCATCTACATCAAGCGAGACGACCAAGACATGATTCTCGTGGTGCTCTACGTCGATGATCTCATCCTGGCCAGCAGCAACAACGAACTCCTCAAGTCGACCAAGATGGCGCTGAGCAAACGCTTCGAAATGACGGATCTCGGTGAGCCTCGATTACTTTCTCGGCATGGAGATCAAGAACGACCGTAAGACGGGAATGGTGACTGTGCAACAAACCAAGTTTCTCAAGTCCGTGTTGACCAAGTTCGGAATGGATAACAGCAAGCCAGTGAAGACGCCTCAAGATCCCGGCCTGAAGCTAACCAAGAACATGTGTGAACAAGAATGCAAGCACGAAGACACCATGTGCAACGTGCCATATCGAAGTGCTGTCGGAGGCATCATGTATCTCATGGTCGCCACACGTCCGGATCTAGCTGCTGCAGTGGGATCATTATCCCAGTTCTCGTCCGACCCATGCCCGACTCACTGGCAAGCTTTGAAGCGTGTGCTGAGATACCTGCAAGCAACGCCCAATCATGGTCTTGAGTTTACACGTGAAGAAGGAAGCCGTATCTGCGGGTACACCGACGCAGACTGGGCCGGCGACATTGAGTCAAGCCGAAGTACAAGCGGCTATGTGTTCATGATGAACGGAGGATGCATCAGCTGGAAAAGCCAGAAACAACGGACGGTCGCGCTATCTTCAACAGAAGCAGAATACATGGCGCTTTCCGAAGCAACCAAAGAAGCAGTATGGCTCAAGGTGCTTTTGGGGGAACTTGGTGAGATGACAAGCGACGAAGCGATCAAGATGTATGAAGACAACCAAGGATCAATCGCTCTCGCCAAGAACCCGGAGTTCCATAAGAGAACAAAACACATCGACATACGCTATCATTTTGTGCGTGAGAAGGTGGAATCAGGTGAAGTCGTTTTGGAGTATTGCCCGACTCAAGATATGCTGGCAGACATGATGACCAAGCCGATCGCCGCTGTACAATTTGAAAACATTCGCGATCGACTTGGGATCCAAGGTGCCGCAGCTAACGAGTCGAGAGGGAGTGTTGAAAAGACAGCGGCTGTGAAGAAGACACCTCGTCAAGCTGCGTCAAGTGTTGAAGCAAGTGGAAGACCAAGCTTCGCTATACCGGTGGGTACCGGTATGTACCAGTAAGGGCGAAGTCAGGAAATGACGTCACTGGATGACGTCACTGCGAATAATAGGCTTAGAGGTAGTATTCAAAGTTGCGAACTAAGTACCTATTATAAATATATATTCACTTTGCGTTTTGCACTCGGACCAAGAAGTTTAAAGTTCATCACGCGTATCCTGAAGTCGACTTGCGGTCTGCATGGTCGCCGGCCCAGTCTGCATCCGAGTAGCCACAGAAGTCTATCTTGTCATCAGGCTTGAAACAGATACCGTGCGACTTAGTCCCTTGTAAGTATCGCAAAATGCGCTTGACCGCCATCCAATGCTCGACTTGGGGGTTCTCCATGAAGCGCGAAACGTAACTCACAGCAAAGGCAATGTCCGGTCGTGTCGCGGTCATCAAGTGCATCAGAGCGCCTACTGCTTCACGAAACGGGGCGTCGATTTTAGTTGCTGCGGTACTTGGTATGAGTCGAGAACTGATGTCTGTTGGGCTGGTGACGGCTTTGCAGTCGCTCATGCCAAAACGCTTGAGAACATCTTCCACGTAGCGTCGCTGGCACATCGTCACGCTACCGTCGTCGTTGTCCACCAGCTCGATGCCCAACCCGAATGCGTACTTGCCGCTGTCGGTCATTTCGAAACACTCCTTCAAGTCACTCTTGGTGCGCATGATCAGTTCGGTTGAGCTGCCAGTCACCAACACATCATCGACGTATACCAGCAAAAGCACGCACTCGCCACTTGCAATCTTGAGATAAAGACACGGGTCAAAATCGGAGACTTGAAATCCAATGGAGCAGACGAACTCATGAAAAGTCTCGTTCCATACGCGCGATGCTTGTTTTAGTCCGTAGATCGCCTTGACCAGTTCAAAGCAGTCAAAGTCTTCATCAACTTCGACTCCTTCTGGGATCGCGCAGAATACCTTTTCCTTCATTTCTCCGTAAAGGAAAGCTGTCACCACGTCCAGTTGGTCCAGTGTCCAGCCAAAGTACTTCGTGATTGCAACCACCATGCGCAGCGTCACGTACTTGACTACCGGCGAAAACGTTTCCGTGTAGTCGATGCCATATTTCTGCTTGAACCCTTTTGCCACGAGGCGCGCCTTGTATTTCTCGATGGATCCATCAGCTTTCCGTTTGATCTTGAATACCCACTTGGTGCCAATAATATGCTGTCCAGCTGGCAGTTTGGTCGCTCGAAACACGCCACAAAGTTTCATCTAGTCCAACTCGGCAAAGATTGCCTTACGCCAATGCACTTGATCTGGTCCACCAACAGCATCTTCAAACGTTGTCGGCTCAGACAAGTCAGTACCTTCGACTGCATTGGCACTCGCTCGCCAAAAGACTTGAGATGTAGCATCCTCGTTATCTTCGTCACTGCCCTTTTGCTCTTCGTCCAGATTGTCTCGAGCGCTTGATCGTCGCTTCGCTTGGTGCGATTCAGAGTCATCCGGGGCACTTGCTTCTTCTAACCCGGTTCCACGACGCTCAAGAAGTGTCCGTTGTAGAACTTGTTCTTGACTGTTTGAACGGCTTTTGCGTTTTCCAGTTTGTTTGAACTGCATAGGGTGAGGCTCATCGCTGATGTTCATCGATTCGATATCCAGCGCAGTGTCATCAATGTGGTGAAGTCGATCTCACAAAATTGCTTGTATGAGTGTCGATCTTCCACTTGCCCAGACTTGCCGACTCACGGAGGGGGTACTCCGATCCGTGCCTTGTTGTATGACCTTGTGCTCACCTTGTGTACCCGTCGGTTGGGCTGGCTTGAGCTCTTCGTAACGGCCTTGGGAGATGTCGATCTCGCTGAGAGGTTGGGTTGAGGGTTCGCTTCCGGTGCGGAAATCTTCACACCACGAACGGGGGTTCTGCGATCCCGATCTTGGATCGCACCGATCTTGATTTGTCTTCGAGATCGGGGTCTTTGCTGTGCGGAAATCTTCACTCAGCAAATAAAAGTCCTGCGTCGATCTTGCCTTGGGATCGGTCCGATCTGGTCTTGGGATTGGCCGATCTTGCCGGAAGTGCGCAATTTGGGTAGATCGGTGTCTTGTTTTGCCAAAATGAAACGTGCCGATCTGTCCAGGGGATCGCTTCGATCCTGCTCGGTCTTGTCTTGAACGCCTTGTCCAGATCTTCTGACCACTTGAGCCGTCTCGCGATCTTGTGTCCAAAATCCTTTTCCTTTTCCGTTGTGTGCTGCTATCCTAGCAGTTGAGTTGAGTGTGAGTACTTGATCGATCTGGGCCAGATATCCCGGGATCGCTCTTCTCGATCTTGGCCAACAATCCAAGGTCGGTCTTCTGTGTCCCTGTAACACGCGTGCCTTAACCCGCCGGGGAAGCCAAATCAATCTTGCCTGGAGAAGAGGGGAGGATTACGTACGTCGTGAGCAGAAGAAGTAGAGTTCAAGTCTGTTTATTAACCAACCAAATTACTATCCAACCTACCCTTAAGCCTATTCTTAACTATAGGTCACTCTTCAAACCGATATCGCCTTGAATCTGGATCGCCCCCTTGCCACGTGTCTAAATTTCGTGCCCTGTACTCCAATGATAGCGCCAATATTCCCGATACCGTACCTGAACGCCAAAAGAGGACCAAATCCTAAATGGGGTACCAAATACCCATTTTTGGTACCCAAAAGCCCAAAATAGTGCCCAAATGCCGAAGGCGTCTAAATCCATTTTGCGACGTCAATTTAACCGGCTTCCACTGGCTCTTTCGATCTGAACTTTTGAGACATCACTCATGGACCTTCAACAAGCATGTTTGTCATGATCCAAAATTCTCATCAACGATACATCCATAATCAGTGGGGATCATGACCGATCTGATGCCCAATTCGAGATTGTTGAGGATTGACACAGTACAATCCGGCCATATATGTTCTTCCGTTCATTGTGTGCACTCCGATGCTTTATCAAAATGATTCTGCTTCAACATCCACATCCTTGCCTCTGATCAGCCTTCAGAGTGGTCGTTCGGTTCAATCCAGTCCCTCATCCCAGATCGCACCGTGGAAATCACCCCTTTCTACGCCCCGTCTCAAATCACGTTGCATCGCCTGGTCTTAGGCGTACCTCTTCCGCCAGTGGGTGACATCTTAGCTGGGTGGACACCGATCCACGTCCCATCATTTGATTAGTGACTTTACCACAGTTACACCTTCGTCGCAGAGTCATATCCCATCACCCGGTCCCAGATCCTTGTCCCAGATTGTTCCATGTAAATCGTTCCAGATCGCTCCGTCCCAGGTCGATCCATACCCATTAGTATAACGACAGTTGGACCGGTTCGACGATCCTGTTAAGATCATCTTCCACCTCCGTATTGGATCGCCGAGTCTCATGGCCTCCTTTTCCACCAGTAAGCAGCGCTTTAAAGGTGTGGTCACCGATCCTCGTACAAAATTTGAGTAGTGACTTGCCACAACCGCCCCCTGTACTGAAGTCTTTTGTACAGCAATTGACCTCAGTAGAGTTACTCATTAACTTCGTTCCAAGCACTCAAGTCTGTGGTGAAGTCGATCTCACAAAATTGCTTGTATGAGTGTCGATCTTCCACTTGTCCAGACTTGCCGACTCACGGAGGGGGTACTCCGATCCGTGCCTTGTTGTATGACCTTGTGCTCACCTTGTGTACCCGTCGGTTGGGCTGGCTTGAGCTCTTCGTAACGGCCTTGGGAGATGTCGATCTCGCTGAGAGGTTGGGTTGAGGGTTCGCTTCCGGTGCGGAAATCTTCACACCACGAACGGGGGTTCTGCGATCCCGATCTTGGATCGCACCGATCTTGATTTGTCTTCGAGATCGGGATCTTTGCTGTGCGGAAATCTTCACTCAGCAAATAAAAGTCCTGCGTCGATCTTGCCTTGGGATCGGTCCGATCTGGTCTTGGGATTGGCCGATCTTGCCGGAAGTGCGCAATTTGGGTAGATCGGTGTCTTGTTTCGCCAAAATGAAACGTGCCGATCTGTCCAGATGATCGCTTCGATCCTGCTCGGTCTTGTCTTGAACGCCTTGTCCAGATCTTCTGACCCCTTGAGCCGTCTCGCGATCCTGTGCCCAAAATCCTTTTCCTTTTCCGTTGTGTGCTGCTACCCTAGCAGTTGAGTTGAGTGTGAGTACTTGATCGATCCGGGCCAGATATCCCGGGATCGCTCTTCTCGATCTTGGCCAACAATCCAAGGTCGGTCTTCTGTGTCCCTGTAACACGCGTGCCTTAACCCGCCGGGGAAGCCAAATCAATCTTGCCTGGAGAAGAGGGGAGGATTACGTGCGTCGTGAGCAGAAGAAGTAGAGTTCAAGTCTGTTTATTAACCAACCATATTACTATCCAACCTACCCTTAAGCCTATTCTTAACTATAGGTCACTCTTCAAACCGATATCGCCTTGAATCTGGATCGCCCCCTTGCCACGTGTCGAAATTTCGTGCCCTGTACTCCAATGATAGCGCCAATATTCCCGATACCGTACCTGAACGCCAAAAGAGGACCAAATCCCAAATGGGGTACCAAATACCCATTTTTGGTACCCAAAAGCCCAAAATAGTGCCCAAATGCCGAAGGCGTCTAAATCCATTTTGCGACGTCAATTTAACCGGCTTCCACTGGCTCTTTCGATCTGAACTTTTGAGACATCACTCATGGACCTTCAACAAGCATGTTTGTCATGATCCAAAATTCTCATCAACGATACATCCATAATCAGTGGGGATCATGACCGATCTGATGCCCAATTCGAGATTGTTGAGGATTGACACAGTACAATCCGGCCATATATGTTCTTCCGTTCATTGTGTGCACTCCGATGCTTTATCAAAATGATTCTGCTTCAACATCCACATCCTTGCCTCTGATCAGCCTACAGAGTGGTCGTTCGGTTCAATCCAGTCCCTCATCCCAGATCGCACCGTGGAAATCACTGTGGCAAAGTCACTACTCAAATTTTGTACGAGGATCGGTGGCCACATCTTTAAAGCGCCGCTTACTGGTGGAAAAGGAGGCCATGAGACTCGGCGATCCAATACGGAGGTGGAAGATGATCTTAACGGGATCGGCGAACCGATCCAACTGTCGTTAGACTAATGGGTATGGATCGACCTGGGACGGAGCGATCTGGAACGATTTACATGGAACAATCTGGGACAAGGATCTGGGACCGGGTGATGGGATATGACTCTGCGACGAAGGTGTAACATCTTGCAGAATTTTATGGGGCGATCTGGAACCAGACATCGGGATGAAGTCATACAGCTCATTGGAATGCCGGTCAAGAAGAAGTATACGTACATTGAAGCAGGCTAAGATTAGATCGCAGATCGACATGTTGTGGCAACGGTTTGTTGGAGAATTGACACATCTGGGACAAGGTGACTCCCGAAAGTGCATCTGGGACCAGGTGGTACGGGTCGGTGAATCGGCAAAGAAGGTGCAACACCATACGGATCGGTGATACTCTACTGATCCTAAATTGGGAGTACTGATTTTGGTTAATTATACACCGATCTGGAAGTTTTTGCATGCTCAGAAGAGTCAAGGAAACCGATGTCGAGACGTATGAATGAAGTTGTCGATTGGATAACACTGGAGGATGATATTGAAGCACGTATGAGGAGATGAAAAAGTGTTAATTGCCGATTTAGACCGGATCAACCTCCAACATCTCGATATTGGATGACAGATCGGTCATTTTCCACACTGATCATGAATATATGGTTGATGAAGACAATGGATCATGTGGAATATACTTGGTAGAGGTCACTAAGTGATGTCAAGAAGTTTCACGCCGAAAGAGCCAGTGGAAGCCGGTTAAATTGACGTCGCAAAATGGATTTAGACGCCTTCGGCATTTGGGCACTATTTTGGGCTTTTGGGTACCAAAAATGGGTATTTGGTACCCCATTTGGGATTTGGTCCTCTTTTGGCGTTCAGGTACGGTATCGGGAATATTGGCGCTATCATTGGAGTACAGGGCACGAAATTTCGACACGTGGCAAGGGGGCGATCCAGATTCAAGGCGATATCGGTTTGAAGAGTGACCTATAGTTAAGGATAGGCTTAAGGGTAGGTTGGATAGTAATATGGTTGGTTAATAAACAGACTTGAACTCTACTTCTTCTGCTCACGACGCACGTTATCCTCCCCTCTTCTCCAGGCAAGATTGATTTGGCTTCCCCGGCGGGTTAAGGCACGCGTGTTACAGGGACACAGAAGACCGATCTTGGATTGTTGGCCAAGATCGAGAAGAGCGATCCCGGGATATCTGGCCCAGATCGATCAAGTACTCACACTCAACTCAACTGCTAGGGTAGCAGCACACAACGGAAAAGGAAAAGGATTTTGGACACAGGATCGCGAGACGGCTCAAGGGGTCAGAAGATCTGGACAAGGCGTTCAAGACAAGACCGAGCAGGATCGAAGCGATCATCTGGACAGATCGGCACGTTTCATTTTGGCGAAACAAGACACCGATCTACCCAAATTGCGCACTTCCGGCAAGATCGGCCGATCCCAAGACCAGATCGGACCGATCCCAAGGCAAGATCGACGCAGGACTTTTATTTGCTGAGTGAAGATTTCCGCACAGCAAAGACCCCGATCTCGAAGACAAATCAAGATCGGTGCGATCCAAGATCGGGATCACAGAACCCCCGTTCGTGGTGTGAAGATTTCCGCACCGGAAGCGAACCCTCAACCCAACCTCTCAGCGAGATCGACATCTCCCAAGGCCGTTACGAAGAGCTCAAGCCAGCCCAACCGACGGGTACACAAGGTGAGCACAAGGTCATACAACAAGGCACGGATCGGAGTACCCCCTCCGTGAGTCGGCAAGTCTGGGCAAGTGGAAGATCGACACTCATACAAGCAATTTTGTGAGATCGACTTCACCACAATGGTGCGCGTGCCCGGATATTCTGAGGCCTCTGGATTTCACCGTGAGTCCACTGGCGAAGATGTCAAGATTAAGCAAGAACCTGGGATTGAAGTGTCAGCGACAAAGGGATCGACGCAGACACGCAGAAGCACAAGATCCTCAGATCATCAGAGTTTTGGGAGGGGCTCTGATGAAATGAAAATGAAAGAGGAAGATCGAGAGATCGATCTGGAAGATAAACCTCAATTCCCTCCTAGGGTCCCTTCGGGGGCCACCGCAGATCGCTCTGCAAAGCGCGATCTGCTGGATGAAAATCCAATGGTGAAAACCAAATCGGCGAAAGCCAAACCCTATATCTTAGTCGATAGATCGCCCGACCTCAAGCCGAAGAGCACAATCGCGAGATCGACCACATCAGAACGATCCGCGACGAGATCGGTGGGATCAGATGTCAAAGATCGCCAGATCGGCCGAACCGTGCAATCGAAGATCGGAGCCAAAGAGGAATACGATGAAACACCAGATAAGATCGCGATGCCAAAGACGGAATATAACCCAATAAAGATCGCGTCCAGGGAGAAGGAGACGACGGGTGAAGCGCGGGAGCGTGCAAAATGGCAGTACTATTATGGCCAGTTAAAGACGCTGCTCAAGACGGACCCAGTGTTCAAGATGTTAAGGCCCAAGGTGATTGGTCCTCTGGATAAGCCGATCTCGGTCCCACTTCACGGGACCAACAAAGTCGACGAGATCAATTTGATTTTGCAGATGTTGGACGACATGGGTATCTGCCCCGACGCTTTTGATGGAGATGAACTGCTGAGTTGCAGCTTGGAACAGTTGAAGGACGCGGCGAATGAGTTTGTAGAGATCATGATAATGCTGGTGGGCAAAGCGAATACTCCTGAAGACAAGATCGGGACGCCCTCGGGCTCGCTCCGTAAACACCCCGCGGGATCGCCCCGCTACGCCTCGGATGACTCCGAGAGCGAGTCAGATGGATCCATCAGCATTCGTCAGATGTCTCTAGGACCTTCGGGTGGAAGGTTCTTAAAGGACAAGATCGGACAAGCCAAGATCGACGCCTATAAGGGACTGATGAACTTTAGACTTCTTGGTCCGAGTGCAAAACGCAAAGTGAATATATATTTATAATAGGTACTTAGTTCGCAACTTTGAATACTACCTCTAAGCCTATTATTCGCAGTGACGTCATCCAGTGACGTCACCCACTGACGTCACCCACTGACGTCATGCAATGACGTCATCCAGTGACGTCATTTCCTGACTTCGCCCTTACTGGTACATACCGGTACCCACCGGTATAGCGAAGCTTGGTCTTCCACTTGCTTCAACACTTGACGCAGCTTGACGAGGTGTCTTCTTCACAGCCGCTGTCTTTTCAACACTCCCTCTCGACTCGTTAGCTGCGGCACCTTGGATCCCAAGTCGATCGCGAATGTTTTCAAATTGTACAGCGGCGATCGGCTTGGTCATCATGTCTGCCAGCATATCTTGAGTCGGGCAATACTCCAAAACGACTTCACCTGATTCCACCTTCTCACGCACAAAATGGTAGCGTATGTCGATGTGTTTTGTTCTCTTATGGAACTCCGGGTTCTTGGCGAGAGCGATTGATCCTTGGTTGTCTTCATACATCTTGATCGCTTCGTCGCTTGTCATCTCACCAAGTTCCCCCAAAAGCACTTTGAGCCATACTGCTTCTTTGGTTGCTTCGGAAAGCGCCATGTATTCTGCTTCTGTTGAAGATAGCGCGACCGTCCGTTGTTTCTGGCTTTTCCAGCTGATGCATCCTCCGCTCATCATGAACACATAGCCGCTTGTACTTCGTCTTGACTCAATGTCGCCGGCCCAGTCTGCGTCGGTGTACCCGCAGATACGGCTTCCTTCTTCACGTGTAAACTCAAGACCATGATTGGGCGTTGCTTGCAGGTATCTCAGCACACGCTTCAAAGCTTGCCAGTGAGTCGGGCATGGGTCGGACGAGAACTGGGATAATGATCCCACTGCAGCAGCTAGATCCGGACGTGTGGCGACCATGAGATACATGATGCCTCCGACAGCACTTCGATATGGCACGTTGCACATGGTGTCTTCGTGCTTGCATTCTTGTTCACACATGTTCTTGGTTAGCTTCAGGCCGGGATCTTGAGGCGTCTTCACTGGCTTGCTGTTATCCATTCCGAACTTGGTTAACACGGACTTGAGAAACTTGGTTTGTTGCACAGTCACCATTCCCGTCTTACGGTCGTTCTTGATCTCCATGCCGAGAAAGTAATCGAGCTCACCGAGATCCGTCATTTCGAAGCGTTTGCTCAGCGCCATCTTGGTCGACTTGAGGAGTTCGTTGTTGCTGCTGGCCAGGATGAGATCATCGACGTAGAGCACCACGAGAATCATGTCTTGGTCGTCTCGCTTGATGTAGATGCAGTGGTCCGATTCGCACTTCTTGAATCCCATCTTGATCATGAACCCATCGATTGTTTGGTTCCACATGCAAGGCGATTGCTTCAAGCCGTAGAGTGATCTCTTTAGCTTGCACACATAGTCCGGCTGTGTTGCATCCAGGTATCCGTCCGGCTGGTCCATGTAGATGTCTTCGTTGAGGGAGCCGTTAAGAAACGCTGTCTTGACGTCCATCTGATGTAGCATTAGGCCGTACTTAGCCGCCATACTGAGCACCACACGAATCGATGTGAACTTGGCCACCGGTGCGAAAGTTTCTTCATAGTCAACTCCGAATTTCTGTGAGAATCCTTTGGCCACAAGTCTTGCCTTGAAACGTTCAACTTCGCCATCTTGATTCTCCTTTACACGAAAAACCCATCGGCACCCGATGGCCTTGCGACCTTTCGGAAGAGGCACGATTTCCCACGTGTCGTTTCTCTGAAGCGAATCGAACTCCGAGTCACACGCTTCTTTCCACTTGCCGGAGTCGCTTGATTCCATCGCCGACTTGAATGTAGTCGGCGTTTCCCCACTGAATCAACGATGTAGGCTGCTTCAAAATCCATTGCAGCCGCTGACACATGCTCAAGCGACGGACCTCTGTATGTTCTTCGCTTGGGACTTGGAATGACGGTAGCTTTCTCAAGTGATTGAGTGCGCGTGTGTCTCTTGATGTTGCTCTTCGAAGACCTGGTGTCTTCGTTGTCATCGTCGCTCGAGTCCATGTCGTCGTCAGTTTTACCTTCTTCTTTTTCTTCGTCCTCATCATGATCATCAAACTCAACGACACTTGACTCATCGTTGTAGTTGCGCGGACCTTCATCAAACTTGTCTTCCATGAATGTGGCATCGCGACTGATCTTGATCGCTCCTGTTGACACTTCCTCAAATCGATATGACTTCTGGTGTTCGGCGTATCCCAGGAAACGACAGAGTGATGACTTGGAGTCGAACTTCGCGCGTTTGTCTTGAGGCACTTGAACATACGCGTGGCATCCAAACACTTTAAGGTTGGCCAGAATCGGTTTCTTCATCGTCCACACTTGATATGGAGACTTGTCTTGGTGAATGGCACGTGTTGGACAGCGGTTTCGAAGAAACATCGCCGTCATCACTGCTTCACCCCAGTAGCTCTTTCCCAGTCCAGCGTGTTCCATCATGCAACGCGCACACTCGACCAGCGTGCGATTCATTCTCTCAGCTACTCCGTTTAGCTGAGGAGTATATGGGGGTGTGAACCTTTGTTGTATTCCCCGTTCCGCGCAGAATCGTGCCAGCTTGTCGGACTTGTATTCACCCCCATTGTCGCTTTGAAGGTACTTCACGCGCTTTCCGGTTTGCGTTTCGGCCATCGCAGCGTATTCCATGAACTTCGCCGCAACTTCAGATTTGCTCTTGAGCAGATAGACGACACAGTATCTTGACTTGTCATCAATGAATGTCACGAAGTACCGTTTTCCACTGAAAGTTGCCATCGACATCGGTCCGCATACGTCGCTGTGAATCACTTCGAGGAGTTTGGAGGTGCGAGCTGTAGTGTTTGATTGGAAGCGCACTCGAGTCTGTTTTCCCAGAGCACAACCTTCACACACGTCCCACTTCTTCACCGAAGATATGTCGATGCCAATTCCAATGTTCTTCGTCACGATGCAATTGAGTCCATCGTGACCTATGTGGCCAAGCCGAAGGTGCCAGAGGTACGACTTGGTGCCCCCTTGACATCCCGACGACTTGGCTGCATTTGCTTGTTCCGGCGCCACTGGAGTCATTTGCAGCTTGAACAGTCCTTTAACTTCACGGGCACCAATTTTCCACTTGGTCCCTTTCGCTTCTCCATAGCACCCATCCTTCGTGAACGTCACTGGGCCGACATCCTTGGTGAAGCGGCCGACCGAGAACAGGTTTCTGGATAACTTTGGGATGTGCCACACGTTTGTGAGCACACCTTTCTTCATCCCTTGGGGTGTCTTCATCGACATGACAATGTCCCCACTGCCGATTGCTTGGACGATTCCATCATCCGCGAGATGGACATCCACAGCGTCAAACCCCTTGTAGTTCCGCATGAACTTCTTGGAGCACGTCATGTGCTGCGTCGCCCCGGAGTCGACCAGCCAGATGTCGCTCGATTTCGCAGATGTCGTTTCACCGATCGAAAAGAGGTAGTCGCCCGAGTCTTCTTCTTGAGCGACGTTTGCACGTTGTGATCGATAGCGGTCGCCGCTGTCTTGAGCACGCTGTGGCCGGTGTCTCTCCGTGTTTTCTTGGATGCGCGAGGGGCACTCCGCCATCCAGTGACCAATCTTTCCGCAATTGTGGCACGGCCAGGACTTCTTCACTGGTTGCCCTTTGCGCTGATTGTCCCTTGTGATGAACGCTTGACCTTGCGAAGCTTCATCACCTTTACTTCCTTGCTCCTTCCGCTTCATTTCTTCATGAAGCAGTCGAGACGTCACGAGCTCCCAGCTAAGAGTGTCTGAGCGCGACTCCAAAGCTGTGATCAAGAATTGATACGAGTCACTCAGGCTGCCGAGGAGTGTGATCACCAGATCGTCCTCGCAGACTGGAGCCCCCACCGCTTCTAGCTGTTCCGCCAGCGTCTTGAGCTTGTTGATGTGTTCGAGCACATCGTCGCCTTCTTCCATCATTGTCGTGAAGAAGCGACGGCGCAAGAACAGCTTGTTGGCAAGACTCTTCTTCTCGAAGTGGTCTTCCAACCTTGACCATGCGTCGCATGCACCACTTGCCGACCGGACCAACGGTAGCTGGGAATCTTCCATGGCTAGACAGATCACTGCCATCGCCTTTCTTGACTTCCTCTTGTACGTCGCTTGGTCCAACTGAGTCTCGCACTGTTCCGCCTTGATCTCACCGCTGACGACCTCCCATAGGTCCCGTTCCTCCAGCACCATCTGCATCTTGAACTTCCAGGCGTGGAAGTTAGTTCCATCGAACTTGGAGATGCGGAGGGAGGAGGCGTCCATGGCAGCTAAGCTTGAATTGTTGGCGGTTTCAGAGTCTGACGAACTTGGGCTCATAACCTGATGAACTTTAGACTTCTTGGTCCGAGTGCAAAACGCAAAGTGAATATATATTTATAATAGGTACTTAGTTCGCAACTTTGAATACTACCTCTAAGCCTATTATTCGCAGTGACGTCATCCAGTGACGTCACCCACTGACGTCACCCACTGACGTCATGCAATGACGTCATCCAGTGACGTCATTTCCTGACTTCGCCCTTACTGGTACATACCGGTACCCACCGGTATAGCGAAGCTTGGTCTTCCACTTGCTTCAACACTTGACGCAGCTTGACGAGGTGTCTTCTTCACAGCCGCTGTCTTTTCAACAGGGACAAGCCAAGAGCAACATGCCGCAGAGATCGGCCAGTACCCGCACTGGGCTGGAGGACCAAGAAGAGGGCGATCTAAGTCGGTACTTCAATTCAGCCATGAAGAAGTACGAGGCGGATCAACGTACAGCTCAGCGAATGAATCGACAGCCAAACCGCTACCCAGATCGACGTACTTTGCTCCAACCTTCACACGAAAGCCTTGACATGCCGGATGTGGAGATGGAGTCGGTGGGGTCAGACATTTACCAACATATCCATGAGGCGGCGGAATACGACCCGGATGATCTATGGATGCCCGAACCACGGCGCCCTCATGTAGCCGCGACCGGTGCGACTACCGGAGGGGGAAGCATCACGCAGAGGATCAGAATCTCAGCGATTTCTGAGCTGAAAGAATTCTCAGGGAAGGATCGGGAAGAAGACAAAGCACGGACCTGGATCGGCAAAGTGAAATCAGCGTTTATCCGGGACCAAGCACCGGACGAGGAGAGATGTCTGGTCTTCGGTGATCTCATGGTGGGCCCAGCCCGCTACTGGTATCGACAGCTGAGTAGATCGACGAGATTCAATTGGAAAGAATTGATGAACAGTTTTCTTGTGGAGTATGCGGGACACGGGATGTCCGCGAGCAGGCAGTACTACCATGCAAAGAAACGATCGGAGGAAGATCCTTTACAGTACCTGTATCGGCTTAATGTGATGGGAATGCAGGCGAAGATACCGGTGATGACTGGATTGCCAGCTGCGCGCAAGGAACATGTCAATCATTTCATTGACACCTTGGACGACCCCGATCTGTCCAATCAATTGCTACTGCTGAATGTAGAAGACGCGGAGGCCATGCAAAAGACACTGCACGGATATCAACAAGGGAGATCGCGTCAAGGGAAAGTGATGATGGGATCGTCCAAATTCAGGCAGAAGGGAACTCAGGGTCCAGCGCTGTCTAAGCCTGCACGAGCGGTAAGGATGGTCCGTACCGAGGACGTCTGCAGCGAGTCAGGATCGGACACCTGCGGATCGGATTTGGAAGATCGATTGAGATCGATCCATGTGGCTGCTACTGCGGATCGCCGTTCATCCCCCAATGACGTTGCAGCAAACGCGAGATCGGTCGACCCGAACACTCGTCAAGACTATCAAGATCGCAATATGCCATTGAAGCCGTGTACTCATTGCGGATCGACCAAGCATGGAGATCTCGGTTTCTGGAAGCGGCTCACTTGCCAGAAGTGTGGGCGTAAAGGACACCCCTCTGACAATTGTTTTTTCGTGTGTCGTGCTTGCGGTGAGATGCACGACCCGGGGAAGTGTCCCATGGAGGAGTTCTACAACATGATCCGTCAGTGGTACGTCCCGAATAAGCATGCGGGGATGCTACCAGAGAAGGCCGAGAAGATGTTAAACTAGGACGCTCGCCAGGTTTGAATCTGGTACGAGCCGAGCGTTCTGGGCTCTGCATTATTGCATACGTGGAAAAAAAGAAGACAGATCGCGAGAGTAAGCAGGATATTGACGTGGAAACAAATATATCTCGTTCGAAGTTAAAACGTGTCGCTTCCGTGTCCCATCTGAAGCGGATCGATGAGTACTCACGATCTGAACCAGCTATGGAGATCGAGCTCGCTTATGGTGAATCTCGCGGATACTGGAAACATTATTCACCCGGGAAGTGGTTCAAACAAGCGAAAGCCGTTGGCAAGATCAACAACGTAAAAGCTACTCTGTTATTTGATTCTGGTGCTGAAGTGTCGATCATTGACACCACCTTTGCTCGTGAGGTCGGTTGCAATATTGACGAAAGTCAACGACAAGAATGTATCGGGATTGGAGAAACTCCGTACATGACGGTAGGACGTACCAAGATCAAGGTGACCCTCGCGGGATCGCTGGTATACTATTTCAATGTATGGGTAGGCGATCTGGCAGGGCAAGAAGCGATTCTGGGTATGGATTTTATGGTGCCTGCTGGAGTGCGGCTCGATCTAGCGGATGGCGCGCTATGTCTACCAGAAGAAATCCGCATTCATCTCGCAGGACGTCGCCCCGCGTACGGATCGAAGATACAACATATAACGGCGAAGGACCAACACGTGGTGATCCCGGTCGGAGAGTCAAGGGAAGTGAAGATCGGGATCGGAGGGGCTAAGATGAAGTTGTGGGTCGCTAGAGGACTAGATTGGGTCCCCACTGTGATCTCGGGGTGGGGTAAGACGAAATACCTGCAGATGACCAACATTGGCGACCGTGAGATCATACTGCCCACCCACACTATATTAGGCATGTGGGTCGAAGGCGATATGGTACCGCGGACCCAAGGTTTGGTGACAGTCGGGTCGGGGAAGTACAAGGAATGGCAAACTCTGGCATATGAGGCTACAACGGATCGAGTGAACGAACTCCCGAAAGAACCGATCGGACCATTGGTAGATCGTCCTACGTATGCCGCTCCCAAACGCATCTTGAAACGTCCGTCTGATGCGTTACAGAACCTGTCTCCGGCGATCTCCACGGTAACGCCGCAAGCTAACGATGACGATTCGCAAAAGGCAGATGCTGTAGTTGCGAGGGAAGTAACGGTCAGGGGAGCCGAACTATCGCGGATGGAGAACGGTCATGAGATCGGTACCCAACATGCAACGAAGGGAGACCGCGACACCGGTCAAGAAGGGCTACGTGACATATCGTCTCTGTTGAAAAGACAGCGGCTGTGAAGAAGACACCTCGTCAAGCTGCGTCAAGTGTTGAAGCAAGTGGAAGACCAAGCTTCGCTATACCGGTGGGTACCGGTATGTACCAGTAAGGGCGAAGTCAGGAAATGACGTCACTGGATGATGTCATTGCATGACGTCAGTGGGTGACGTCAGTGGGTGACGTCACTGGATGACGTCACTGCGAATAATAGGCTTAGAGGTAGTATTCAAAGTTGCGAACTAAGTACCTATTATAAATATATATTCACTTTGCGTTTTGCACTCGGACCAAGAAGTCTAAAGTTCATCAGGTTATGAGCCCAAGTTCGTCAGACTCTGAAACCGCCAACAATTCAAGCTTAGCTGCCATGGACGCCTCCTCCCTCCGCATCTCCAAGTTCGATGGAACTAACTTCCACGCCTGGAAGTTCAAGATGCAGATGGTGCTGGAGGAACGGGACCTATGGGAGGTCGTCAGCGGTGAGATCAAGGCGGAACAGTGCGAGACTCAGTTGGACCAAGCGACGTACAAGAGGAAGTCAAGAAAGGCGATGGCAGTGATCTGTCTAGCCATGGAAGATTCCCAGCTACCGTTGGTCCGGTCGGCAAGTGGTGCATGCGACGCATGGTCAAGGTTGGAAGACCACTTCGAGAAGAAGAGTCTTGCCAACAAGCTGTTCTTGCGCCGTCGCTTCTTCACGACAATGATGGAAGAAGGCGACGATGTGCTCGAACACATCAACAAGCTCAAGACGCTGGCGGAACAGCTAGAAGCGGTGGGGGCTCCAGTCTGCGAGGACGATCTGGTGATCACACTCCTCGGCAGCCTGAGTGACTCGTATCAATTCTTGATCACAGCTTTGGAGTCGCGCTCAGACACTCTTAGCTGGGAGCTCGTGACGTCTCGACTGCTTCATGAAGAAATGAAGCGGAAGGAGCAAGGAAGTAAAGGTGATGAAGCTTCGCAAGGTCAAGCGTTCATCACAAGGGACAATCAGCGCAAAGGGCGACCAGTGAAGAAGTCCTGGCCGTGCCACAATTGCGGAAAGATTGGTCACTGGATGGCGGAGTGCCCCTCGCGCATCCAAGAAAACACGGAGAGACACCGGCCACAGCGTGCTCAAGACAGCGGCGACCGCTATCGATCACAACGTGCAAACGTCGCTCAAGAAGAAGACTCGGGCGACTACCTCTTTTCGATCGGTGAAACGACATCTGCGAAATCGAGCGACATCTGGCTGGTCGACTCCGGGGCGACGCAGCACATGACGTGCTCCAAGAAGTTCATGCGGAACTACAAGGGGTTTGACGCTGTGGATGTCCATCTCGCGGATGATGGAATCGTCCAAGCAATCGGCAGTGGGGACATTGTCATGTCGATGAAGACACCCCAAGGGATGAAGAAAGGTGTGCTCACAAACGTGTGGCACATCCCAAAGTTATCCAGAAACCTGTTCTCGGTCGGCCGCTTCACCAAGGATGTCGGCCCAGTGACGTTCACGAAGGATGGGTGCTATGGAAAAGCGCGTGAAGTACCTTCAAAGCGACAATGGGGGTGAATACAAGTCCGACAAGCTGGCACGATTCTGCGCGGAACGGGGAATACAACAAAGGTTCACACCCCCATATACTCCTCAGCTAAACGGAGTAGCTGAGAGAATGAATCGCACGCTGGTCGAGTGTGCGCGTTGCATGATGGAACACGCTGGACTGGGAAAGAGCTACTGGGGTGAAGCAGTGATGACGGCGATGTTTCTTCGAAACCGCTGTCCAACACGTGCCATTCACCAAGACAAGTCTCCATATCAAGTGTGGACGATGAAGAAACCGATTCTGGCCAACCTTAAAGTGTTTGGATGCCACGCGTATGTTCAAGTGCCTCAAGACAAACGCGCGAAGTTCGACTCCAAGTCATCACTCTGTCGTTTCCTGGGATACGCCGAACACCAGAAGTCATATCGATTTGAGGAAGTGTCAACAGGAGCGATCAAGATCAGTCGCGATGCCACATTCATGGAAGACAAGTTTGATGAAGGTCCGCGCAACTACAACGATGAGTCAAGTGTCGTTGAGTTTGATGATCATGATGAGGACGAAGAAAAAGAAGAAGGTAAAACTGACGACGACATGGACTCGAGCGACGATGACAACGAAGACACCAGGTCTTCGAAGAGCAACATCAAGAGACACACGCGCACTCAATCACTTGAGAAAGCTACCGTCATTCCAAGTCCCAAGCGAAGAACATACAGAGGTCCGTCGCTTGAGCATGTGTCAGCGGCTGCAATGGATTTTGAAGCAGCCTACATCGTTGATTCAGTGGGGAAACGCCGACTACATTCAAGTCGGCGATGGAATCAAGCGACTCCGGCAAGTGGAAAGAAGCGTGTGACTCGGAGTTCGACTCGCTTCAGAGAAACGACACGTGGGAAATCGTGCCTCTTCCGAAAGGTCGCAAGGCCATCGGGTGCCGATGGGTTTTTCGTGTAAAGGAGAATCAAGATGGCGAAGTTGAACGTTTCAAGGCAAGACTTGTGGCCAAAGGATTCTCACAGAAATTCGGAGTTGACTATGAAGAAACTTTCGCACCGGTGGCCAAGTTCACATCGATTCGTGTGGTGCTCAGTATGGCGGCTAAGTACGGCCTAATGCTACATCAGATGGACGTCAAGACAGCGTTTCTTAACGGCTCCCTCAACGAAGACATCTACATGGACCAGCCGGACGGATACCTGGATGCAACACAGCCGGACTATGTGTGCAAGCTAAAGAGATCACTCTACGGCTTGAAGCAATCGCCTCGCATGTGGAACCAAACAATCGATGGGTTCATGATCAAGATGGGATTCAAGAAGTGCGAATCGGACCACTGCATCTACATCAAGCGAGACGACCAAGACATGATTCTCGTGGTACTCTACGTCGATGATCTCATCCTGGCCAGCAGCAACAACGAACTCCTCAAGTCAACCAAGATGGCGCTGAGCAAACGCTTCGAAATGACGGATCTCGGTGAGCTCGATTACTTTCTCGGCATGGAGATCAAGAACGACCGTAAGACGGGAATGGTGACTGTACAACAAACCAAGTTCCTCAAGTCCGTGTTAACCAAGTTCGGAATGGATAACAGCAAGCCAGTGAAGACGCCTCAAGATCCCGGTCTGAAGCTAACCAAGAACATGTGTGAACAAGAATGCAAGCACGAAGACACCATGTGCAACGTGCCATATCGAAGTGCTGTCGGAGGCATCATGTATCTCATGGTCGCCACACGTCCGGATCTAGCTGCTGCAGTGGGATCATTATCCCAGTTCTCGTCCGACCCATGCCCGACTCACTGGCAAGCTTTGAAGCGTGTGCTGAGATACCTGCAAGCAACGCCCAATCATGGTCTTGAGTTTACACGTGAAGAAGGAAGCCGTATCTGCGGGTACACCGACGCAGACTGGGCCGGCGACATTGAGTCAAGACGAAGTACAAGCGGCTATGTGTTCATGATGAGCGGAGGATGCATCAGCTGGAAAAGCCAGAAACAACGGACGGTCGCGCTATCTTCAACAGAAGCAGAATACATGGCGCTTTCCGAAGCAACCAAAGAAGCAGTATGGCTCAAGGTGCTTTTGGGGGAACTTGGTGAGATGACAAGCGACGAAGCGATCAAGATGTATGAAGACAACCAAGGATCAATCGCTCTCGCCAAGAACCCGGAGTTCCATAAGAGAACAAAACACATCGACATACGCTACCATTTTGTGCGTGAGAAGGTGGAATCAGGTGAAGTCGTTTTGGAGTATTGCCCGACTCAAGATATGCTGGCAGACATGATGACCAAGCCGATCGCCGCTGTACAATTTGAAAACATTCGCGATCGACTTGGGATCCAAGGTGCCGCAGCTAACGAGTCGAGAGGGAGTGTTGAAAAGACAGCGGCTGTGAAGAAGACACCTCGTCAAGCTGCGTCAAGTGTTGAAGCAAGTGGAAGACCAAGCTTCGCTATACCGGTGGGTACCGGTATGTACCAGTAAGGGCGAAGTCAGGAAATGACGTCACTGGATGACGTCATTGCATGACGTCAGTGGGTGACGTCAGTGGGTGACGTCACTGGATGACGTCACTGCGAATAATAGGCTTAGAGGTAGTATTCAAAGTTGCGAACTAAGTACCTATTATAAATATATATTCACTTTGCGTTTTGCACTCGGACCAAGAAGTCTAAAGTTCATCAGTCTCTACCGAAGGCTGAGCCGACTGACCGACTGTTGAAATTGGGCCAGCCGGAAGAGACGAAGGAGCCTAAAGAAGAAATAATGCTAAATACTGAAGACGTCGAGATTGCAGAAATACCAGTTTATCACCACGAGAGCGGAGATTTGTTTGCGGAAGATATCTAGCAGCATATGGCCGTGCTACCAGAGATGTCGGCGACTACGGAAGAAGTTACGATTGAGGACATTCAGATCGGTGATCCCGATGTGCCTCTCACCACAGATCAACAACGGCTCAGATCGCTGATCTGGAAGAGCCGTCACCTCCTCATGGGTAAAGGTAATGCTCTACCACCAGCAGCACGAGGCGCGATCTGTGATATTGATGTCGGTGGGGCAGCACCGATAGCGCAAAGAGTGCGTCCGGTCGCACCCAAATATCGGGAGTGATGAACTTTAGACTTCTTGGTCCGAGTGCAAAACGCAAAGTGAATATATATTTATAATAGGTACTTAGTTCGCAACTTTGAATACTACCTCTAAGCCTATTATTCGCAGTGACGTCATCCAGTGACGTCACCCACTGACGTCACCCACTGACGTCATCCAATGACGTCATCCAGTGACGTCATTTCCTGACTTCGCCCTTACTGGTACATACCGGTACCCACCGGTATAGCGAGGCTTGGTCTTCCACTTGCTTCAACACTTGACGCAGCTTGACGAGGTGTCTTCTTCACAGCCGCTGTCTTTTCAACACTCCCTCTCGACTCGTTAGCTGCGGCACCTTGGATCCCAAGTCGATCGCGAATGTTTTCAAATTGTACAGCGGCGATCGGCTTGGTCATCATGTCTGCCAGCATATCTTGAGTCGGGCAATACTCCAAAACGACTTCACCTGATTCCACCTTCTCACGCACAAAATGGTAGCGTATGTCGATGTGTTTTGTTCTCTTATGGAACTCTGGGTTCTTGGCGAGAGCGATTGATCCTTGGTTGTCTTCATACATCTTGATCGCTTCGTCGCTTGTCATCTCACCAAGTTCCCCCAAAAGCACTTTGAGCCATACTGCTTCTTTGGTTGCTTCGGAAAGCGCCATGTATTCTGCTTCTGTTGAAGATAGCGCGACCGTCCGTTGTTTCTGGCTTTTCCAGCTGATGCATCCTCCGCTCATCATGAACACATAGCCGCTTGTACTTCGTCTTGACTCAATGTCGCCGGCCCAGTCTGCGTCGGTGTACCCGCAGATACGGCTTCCTTCTTCACGTGTAAACTCAAGACCATGATTGGGCGTTGCTTGCAGGTATCTCAGCACACGCTTCAAAGCTTGCCAGTGAGTCGGGCATGGGTCGGACGAGAACTGGGATAATGATCCCACTGCAGCAGCTAGATCCGGACGTGTGGCGACCATGAGATACATGATGCCTCCGACAGCACTTCGATATGGCACGTTGCACATGGTGTCTTCGTGCTTGCATTCTTGTTCACACATGTTCTTGGTTAGCTTCAGGCCGGGATCTTGAGGCGTCTTCACTGGCTTGCTGTTATCCATTCCGAACTTGGTTAACACGGACTTGAGGAACTTGGTTTGTTGTACAGTCACCATTCCCGTCTTACGGTCGTTCTTGATCTCCATGCCGAGAAAGTAATCGAGCTCACCGAGATCCGTCATTTCGAAGCGTTTGCTCAGCGCCATCTTGGTTGACTTGAGGAGTTCGTTGTTGCTGCTGGCCAGGATGAGATCATCGACGTAGAGTACCACGAGAATCATGTCTTGGTCGTCTCGCTTGATGTAGATGCAGTGGTCCGATTCGCACTTCTTGAATCCCATCTTGATCATGAACCCATCGATTGTTTGGTTCCACATGCGAGGCGATTGCTTCAAGCCGTAGAGTGATCTCTTTAGCTTGCACACATAGTCCGGCTGTGTTGCATCCAGGTATCCGTCCGGCTGGTCCATGTAGATGTCTTCGTTGAGGGAGCCGTTAAGAAACGCTGTCTTGACGTCCATCTGATGTAGCATTAGGCCGTACTTAGCCGCCATACTGAGCACCACACGAATCGATGTGAACTTGGCCACCGGTGCGAAAGTTTCTTCATAGTCAACTCCGAATTTCTGTGAGAATCCTTTGGCCACAAGTCTTGCCTTGAAACGTTCAACTTCGCCATCTTGATTCTCCTTTACACGAAAAACCCATCGGCACCCGATGGCCTTGCGACCTTTCGGAAGAGGCACGATTTCCCACGTGTCGTTTCTCTGAAGCGAATCGAACTCCGAGTCACACGCTTCTTTCCACTTGCCGGAGTCGCTTGATTCCATCGCCGACTTGAATGTAGTCGGCGTTTCCCCCACTGAATCAACGATGTAGGCTGCTTCAAAATCCATTGCAGCCGCTGACACATGCTCAAGCGACGGACCTCTGTACGTTCTTCGCTTGGGACTTGGAATGACGGTAGCTTTCTCAAGTGATTGAGTGCGCGTGTGTCTCTTGATGTTGCTCTTCGAAGACCTGGTGTCTTCGTTGTCATCGTCGCTCGAATCCATGTCGTCGTCAGTTTTACCTTCTTCTTTTTCTTCGTCCTCATCATGATCATCAAACTCAACGACACTTGACTCATCGTTGTAGTTGCGCGGACCTTCATCAAACTTGTCTTCCATGAATGTGGCATCGCGACTGATCTTGATCGCTCCTGTTGACACTTCCTCAAATCGATATGACTTCTGGTGTTCGGCGTATCCCAGGAAACGACAGAGTGATGACTTGGAGTCGAACTTCGCGCGTTTGTCTTGAGGCACTTGAACATACGCGTGGCATCCAAACACTTTAAGGTTGGCCAGAATCGGTTTCTTCATCGTCCACACTTGATATGGAGACTTGTCTTGGTGAATGGCACGTGTTGGACAGCGGTTTCGAAGAAACATCGCCGTCATCACTGCTTCACCCCAGTAGCTCTTTCCCAGTCCAGCGTGTTCCATCATGCAACGCGCACACTCGACCAGCGTGCGATTCATTCTCTCAGCTACTCCGTTTAGCTGAGGAGTATATGGGGTTGTGAACCTTTGTTGTATTCCCCGTTCCGCGCAGAATCGTGCCAGCTTGTCGGACTTGTATTCACCCCCATTGTCGCTTTGAAGGTACTTCACGCGCTTTCCGGTTTGCGTTTCGGCCATCGCAGCGTATTCCATGAACTTCGCCGCAACTTCAGATTTGCTCTTGAGCAGATAGACGACACAGTATCTTGACTTGTCATCAATGAATGTCACGAAGTACCGTTTTCCACTGAAAGTTGCCATCGACATCGGTCCGCATACGTCGCTGTGAATCACTTCGAGGAGTTTGGAGGTGCGAGCTGTAGTGTTTGATTGGAAGCGCACTCGAGTCTGTTTTCCCAGAGCACAACCTTCACACACGTCCCACTTCTTCACCGAAGATATGTCGATGCCAATTCCAATGTTCTTCGTCACGATGCAATTGAGTCCATCGTGACCTATGTGGCCAAGCCGAAGGTGCCAGAGGTACGACTTGGTGCCCCCTTGACATCCCGACGACTTGGCTGCATTTGCTTGTTCCGGCGCCACTGGAGTCATTTGCAGCTTGAACAGTCCTTTACCTTCACGGGCACCAATTTTCCACTTGGTCCCTTTCGCTTCTCCATAGCACCCATCCTTCGTGAACGTCACTGGGCCGACATCCTTGGTGAAGCGGCCGACCGAGAACAGGTTTCTGGATAACTTTGGGATGTGCCACACGTTTGTGAGCACACCTTTCTTCATCCCTTGGGGTGTCTTCATCGACATGACAATGTCCCCACTGCCGATTGCTTGGACGATTCCATCATCCGCGAGATGGACATCCACAGCGTCAAACCCCTTGTAGTTCCGCATGAACTTCTTGGAGCACGTCATGTGCTGCGTCGCCCCGGAGTCGACCAGCCAGATGTCGCTCGATTTCGCAGATGTCGTTTCACCGATCGAAAAGAGGTAGTCGCCCGAGTCTTCTTCTTGAGCGACGTTTGCACGTTGTGATCGATAGCGGTCGCCGCTGTCTTGAGCACGCTGTGGCCGGTGTCTCTCCGTGTTTTCTTGGATGCGCGAGGGGCACTCCGCCATCCAGTGACCAATCTTTCCGCAATTGTGGCACGGCCAGGACTTCTTCACTGGTCGCCCTTTGCGCTGATTGTCCCTTGTGATGAACGCTTGACCTTGCGAAGCTTCATCACCTTTACTTCCTTGCTCCTTCCGCTTCATTTCTTCATGAAGCAGTCGAGACGTCACGAGCTCCCAGCTAAGAGTGTCTGAGCGCGACTCCAAAGCTGTGATCAAGAATTGATACGAGTCACTCAGGCTGCCGAGGAGTGTGATCACCAGATCGTCCTCGCAGACTGGAGCCCCCACCGCTTCTAGCTGTTCCGCCAGCGTCTTGAGCTTGTTGATGTGTTCGAGCACATCGTCGCCTTCTTCCATCATTGTCGTGAAGAAGCGACGGCGCAAGAACAGCTTGTTGGCAAGACTCTTCTTCTCGAAGTGGTCTTCCAACCTTGACCATGCGTCGCATGCACCACTTGCCGACCGGACCAACGGTAGCTGGGAATCTTCCATGGCTAGACAGATCACTGCCATCGCCTTTCTTGACTTCCTCTTGTACGTCGCTTGGTCCAACTGAGTCTCGCACTGTTCCGCCTTGATCTCACCGCTGACGACCTCCCATAGGTCCCGTTCCTCCAGCACCATCTGCATCTTGAACTTCCAGGCGTGGAAGTTAGTTCCATCGAACTTGGAGATGCGGAGGGAGGAGGCGTCCATGGCAGCTAAGCTTGAATTGTTGGCGGTTTCAGAGTCTGACGAACTTGGGCTCATAACCTGATGAACTTTAGACTTCTTGGTCCGAGTGCAAAACGCAAAGTGAATATATATTTATAATAGGTACTTAGTTCGCAACTTTGAATACTACCTCTAAGCCTATTATTCGCAGTGACGTCATCCAGTGACGTCACCCACTGACGTCACCCACTGACGTCATCCAATGACGTCATCCAGTGACGTCATTTCCTGACTTCGCCCTTACTGGTACATACCGGTACCCACCGGTATAGCGAGGCTTGGTCTTCCACTTGCTTCAACACTTGACGCAGCTTGACGAGGTGTCTTCTTCACAGCCGCTGTCTTTTCAACAGGGAGAAGCTGTCAGATCTCATCAAAGGACTATTAGCAGCCAAAATCGTTCAGCCATCCACGTCACCTTGGGCGTCTCCGATAGTGGTGATCATCAAGAAGAACGGAGTGGATATTCGCCTTTGCATTGATTATCGAAGAGTTTACCAGCTGACGCGTCTGATGGTTTATCCCATGCCGTTGATCAGCGATCTGTTGGAAGATCTGGATAAAGCTCTATGGTACTGTTCGCTAGACATGGCTAGTGGATTTTGGGTCGTCGAAATGACTGAACGAGCAAAACTGATCTCAGCGTTTGTCACACCGTTTGGCTTGTTCGAGTGGCTGCGAATGCCTTTTGGGCTTAAGAACGCGCCCCAGATCTACCAACGTCTGGTGGACAATGCGTTGTATGGATATCTCAAGATCGGCCAGAGATCAGCTTCTGATGGCCCGATTGACGTGTTCAAAGATGGAGAACCTGAGACAGATCGACGACCGTCTATACTGGGACGCCGATCTTACATTGACGATATTCTCATACCAGCCACGTCATGGGGATCTTTGTACACAAAAGTAGAACGGTTGCTGGAGGCATGTGATAAGTGGAATCTGTCTATCAGCCTCACGAAGAGTTTTTGGGGGTGCCGTAAGGTCGATTATTTGGGACATCGAGTGTCGATGGATGGTCTGGAGGCTCAGCCTAAGAACCTAGAGTCGTTGGTTAACATCCCGTTTCCTAGCACGCTACGAGCTATGCAATCCTTTCTCGGGAGCTTGAACTACTACCGTCGCTTCATTGAGGATTTCGCGGTGTATGCCGCGGTGTTGTATGAGTTAAGAGAATCGGATTTCTTCGAGATCGGCCGATCTCAGCTTGCAGCAGGAGACGAATGCTCCAACGAGGGTCGATGGACGGAAGCCAAGGTTGCTTTCACTATGCTAAAAGCTAAGATAGCTACAGCTCCTATGCTCAAGCATTTCGACCCAGATCGGTCCCCCGTAATCGTGGTCTACGCTAGCAAGTGGGCTGTCTCAGCGGCCCTGATACAGGAGTACGATGGCGTGTACCATCCGGTGACGTTTACTAGCCGCACTTTAAAGCCTAATGAGCTTAACTACGGAATGGTAGAAAAAGAAGTGCTGGCGCTACTTCGTGTGTTGGATGTATGCTATACTACGCTTGCCTCGCGGGAGATCACTGTACTGACCCGACATTCTACGTTAGCCTGGTTGATGCAGTCTCGAGGGCTCAACGGGAGATTAGGACGGTGGGCTGCTTTGTTGTCAAATTGGACTATGGAGGTGAAGAAATGTGAAAGAGGAGAGGAAGAAATCCTGGGCATGTTAGCAGCGAGTATCACTCCGAGAGGAGAGGTGGAAGAGATGCTGATTGCGATCTCCCCACGAAAAGACTGTCGACTCAAAATATCGATGCCTCCTCCAACGGTGGAAACAGATGAGGAGTTGCTGGTGGCCAGTTTCGATGGATCGGCTAGGATAAAAAAGAAAGGAGGGTCGCTCAGTGCCGTGATATGGAAGTTACCCGAATGGACGATCGTGGCGGCCGAATCGAGATATGTTCACGATCTGACTGTGAATGAAGCTGAGTATAATGGCTTGCTACTGTGCTTTGAGTTACTCGCCGATCTGGATAGGGGGCGAGTAATACTGTGTGGAGATTCCAGTCTGGTGATTCGACAGATGCGCGGTGAGATCGACTGCAAGGCACCGGGCCTTCAGCTTCTGAGACACAAAGCGTTGGAGAAGCTGCAGTCATGGCCTAGTCACGAGTTTCTGCATATGAAGCGAGAGTGGAATCAGAGCGCAGATCGACTAGCCAGCACAGCATTGCAGAGCGAAAAGGGAAGAACGGTTGTAGCTGAAGAGGATAGGCAAGATCTGATGACTCTGAACCGTCTCGACGAATTGTTGAAGCCCAAGCAAGATGGTCAGCTAGCTCGGGTAACTGCGATCGCGAGATCAGCCAGGAGGATACGTCATGAACCTGAAGTGATACAGGAGGAGATAGTACAGAGGATCAGGATAAAACGAATTGTCCAAGCTCAAGATGAAGAGCGTTGGATTGTCAATCTCAAGACATATCTAAGTGGCGATGTATCAAACTTGGATGCGGTAGAAGTGAAGACGTGCGCCAAACTGGCGCCGGATTACGAGATCGATGAGAACAATCTGCTATTTTTTTGCCCCATGGCAAAAAGAGAGTCGGAAGATCGCGATGGTTTGATGCGGTTGGTGATCCCTGAGACGTTGCAGCAGGATTTTTTGCATCACTATCACACGAGTCTGGAAGGAGGCCATCAGGGTATTGGCCGAACCTATCAGAGGATCAGATCGCGATTTCATTGGAGAGGACTGTATCGGAGCGTTCAACGATATGTGGGCGAATGTACCGACTGTGAGACCGGGAAAGGAAACCCGATGATTAATGGGAAATCCCCGGGCAATCTACACGCAACCTATCCATTCCAGATCATCGCCATGGATCATATACCGTCGTTGCCCAAGTCCATCAAGGGGAACACCGAACTGCTCATTTGGGTCGACCTTTTCTCGGGATATGTGATTGCAAAGGCTAGCTCCTCTCGGACGGCACAAACAATAGCGGAGAATTACGAAGAATGTGTGTTTCGACGCTTCGGAGCTAGCGAGGCTATCAGGCACGATCGAGAACCGGGATTTATGTCCGACTTCTTTCGAGCCTTCAGTCGGATCGTAGGACAAAAACAGCGTGCTACTATGGCTTACAGGCCACAAGCAAATGGAACAGCCGAACGAATGGTGCAAACCCTGACACATTCGCTCAAGATGTACGTGGCTGAAGTTGACCAGCGAGACTGGGATGAGTATGCTGAGCGGCTCACCTTTGCCATTAACACTGCACAAGATCGGTGTTGAAAAGACAGCGGCTGTGAAGAAGACACCTCGTCAAGCTGCGTCAAGTGTTGAAGCAAGTGGAAGACCAAGCTTCGCTATACCGGTGGGTACCGGTATGTACCAGTAAGGGCGAAGTCAGGAAATGACGTCATTGGATGACGTCAGTGGGTGACGTCACTGGATGACGTCACTGCGAATAATAGGCTTAGAGGTAGTATTCAAAGTTGCGAACTAAGTACCTATTATAAATATATATTCACTTTGCGTTTTGCACTCGGACCAAGAAGTCTAAAGTTCATCAGGTTATGAGCCCAAGTTCGTCAGACTCTGAAACCGCCAACAATTCAAGCTTAGCTGCCATGGACGCCTCCTCCCTCCGCATCTCCAAGTTCGATGGAACTAACTTCCACGCCTGGAAGTTCAAGATGCAGATGGTGCTGGAGGAACGGGACCTATGGGAGGTCGTCAGCGGTGAGATCAAGGCGGAACAGTGCGAGACTCAGTTGGACCAAGCGACGTACAAGAGGAAGTCAAGAAAGGCGATGGCAGTGATCTGTCTAGCCATGGAAGATTCCCAGCTACCGTTGGTCCGGTCGGCAAGTGGTGCATGCGACGCATGGTCAAGGTTGGAAGACCACTTCGAGAAGAAGAGTCTTGCCAACAAGCTGTTCTTGCGCCGTCGCTTCTTCACGACAATGATGGAAGAAGGCGACGATGTGCTCGAACACATCAACAAGCTCAAGACGCTGGCGGAACAGCTAGAAGCGGTGGGGGCTCCAGTCTGCGAGGACGATCTGGTGATCACACTCCTCGGCAGCCTGAGTGACTCGTATCAATTCTTGATCACAGCTTTGGAGTCGCGCTCAGACACTCTTAGCTGGGAGCTCGTGACGTCTCGACTGCTTCATGAAGAAATGAAGCGGAAGGAGCAAGGAAGTAAAGGTGATGAAGCTTCGCAAGGTCAAGCGTTCATCACAAGGGACAATCAGCGCAAAGGGCGACCAGTGAAGAAGTCCTGGCCGTGCCACAATTGCGGAAAGATTGGTCACTGGATGGCGGAGTGCCCCTCGCGCATCCAAGAAAACACGGAGAGACACCGGCCACAGCGTGCTCAAGACAGCGGCGACCGCTATCGATCACAACGTGCAAACGTCGCTCAAGAAGAAGACTCGGGCGACTACCTCTTTTCGATCGGTGAAACGACATCTGCGAAATCGAGCGACATCTGGCTGGTCGACTCCGGGGCGACGCAGCACATGACGTGCTCCAAGAAGTTCATGCGGAACTACAAGGGGTTTGACGCTGTGGATGTCCATCTCGCGGATGATGGAATCGTCCAAGCAATCGGCAGTGGGGACATTGTCATGTCGATGAAGACACCCCAAGGGATGAAGAAAGGTGTGCTCACAAACGTGTGGCACATCCCAAAGTTATCCAGAAACCTGTTCTCGGTCGGCCGCTTCACCAAGGATGTCGGCCCAGTGACGTTCACGAAGGATGGGTGCTATGGAGAAGCGAAAGGGACCAAGTGGAAAATTGGTGCCCGTGAAGGTAAAGGACTGTTCAAGCTGCAAATGACTCCAGTGGCGCCGGAACAAGCAAATGCAGCCAAGTCGTCGGGATGTCAAGGGGGCACCAAGTCGTACCTCTGGCACCTTCGGCTTGGCCACATAGGTCACGATGGACTCAATTGCATCGTGACGAAGAACATTGGAATTGGCATCGACATATCTTCGGTGAAGAAGTGGGACGTGTGTGAAGGTTGTGCTCTGGGAAAACAGACTCGAGTGCGCTTCCAATCAAACACTACAGCTCGCACCTCCAAACTCCTCGAAGTGATTCACAGCGACGTATGCGGACCGATGTCGATGGCAACTTTCAGTGGAAAACGGTACTTCGTGACATTCATTGATGACAAGTCAAGATACTGTGTCGTCTATCTGCTCAAGAGCAAATCTGAAGTTGCGGCGAAGTTCATGGAATACGCTGCGATGGCCGAAACGCAAACCGGAAAGCGCGTGAAGTACCTTCAAAGCGACAATGGGGGTGAATACAAGTCCGACAAGCTGGCACGATTCTGCGCGGAACGGGGAATACAACAAAGGTTCACACCCCCATATACTCCTCAGCTAAACGGAGTAGCTGAGAGAATGAATCGCACGCTGGTCGAGTGTGCGCGTTGCATGATGGAACACGCTGGACTGGGAAAGAGCTACTGGGGTGAAGCAGTGATGACTGCGATGTTTCTTCGAAACCGCTGTCCAACACGTGCCATTCACCAAGACAAGTCTCCATATCAAGTGTGGACGATGAAGAAACCGATTCTGGCCAACCTTAAAGTGTTTGGATGCCACGCGTATGTTCAAGTGCCTCAAGACAAACGCGCGAAGTTCGACTCCAAGTCATCACTCTGTCGTTTCCTGGGATACGCCGAACACCAGAAGTCATATCGATTTGAGGAAGTGTCAACAGGAGCGATCAAGATCAGTCGCGATGCCACATTCATGGAAGACAAGTTTGATGAAGGTCCGCGCAACTACAACGATGAGTCAAGTGTCGTTGAGTTTGATGATCATGATGAGGACGAAGAAAAAGAAGAAGGTAAAACTGACGACGACATGGACTCGAGCGACGATGACAACGAAGACACCAGGTCTTCGAAGAGCAACATCAAGAGACACACGCGCACTCAATCACTTGAGAAAGCTACCGTCGTTCCAAGTCCCAAGCGAAGAACATACAGAGGTCCGTCGCTTGAGCATGTGTCAGCGGCTGCAATGGATTTTGAAGCAGCCTACATCGTTGATTCAGTGGGGAAACGCCGACTACATTCAAGTCGGCGATGGAATCAAGCGACTCCGGCAAGTGGAAAGAAGCGTGTGACTCGGAGTTCGATTCGCTTCAGAGAAACGACACGTGGGAAATCGTGCCTCTTCCGAAAGGTCGCAAGGCCATCGGGTGCCGATGGGTTTTTCGTGTAAAGGAGAATCAAGATGGCGAAGTTGAACGTTTCAAGGCAAGACTTGTGGCCAAAGGATTCTCACAGAAATTCGGAGTTGACTATGAAGAAACTTTCGCACCGGTGGCCAAGTTCACATCGATTCGTGTGGTGCTCAGTATGGCGGCTAAGTACGGCCTGATGCTACATCAGATGGACGTCAAGACAGCGTTTCTTAACGGCTCCCTCAACGAAGACATCTACATGGACCAGCCGGACGGATACCTGGATGCAACACAGCCGGACTATGTGTGCAAGCTAAAGAGATCACTCTACGGCTTGAAGCAATCGCCTCGCATGTGGAACCAAACAATCGATGGATTCATGATCAAGATGGGATTCAAGAAGTGCGAATCGGACCACTGCATCTACATCAAGCGAGACGACCAAGACATGATTCTCGTGGTGCTCTACGTCGATGATCTCATCCTGGCCAGCAGCAACAACGAACTCCTCAAGTCAACCAAGATGGCGCTGAGCAAACGCTTCGAAATGACGGATCTCGGTGAGCTCGATTACTTTCTCGGCATGGAGATCAAGAACGACCGTAAGACGGGAATGGTGACTGTGCAACAAACCAAGTTTCTCAAGTCCGTGTTAACCAAGTTCGGAATGGATAACAGCAAGCCAGTGAAGACGCCTCAAGATCCCGGCCTGAAGCTAACCAAGAACATGTGTGAACAAGAATGCAAGCACGAAGACACCATGTGCAACGTGCCATATCGAAGTGCTGTCGGAGGCATCATGTATCTCATGGTCGCCACACGTCCGGATCTAGCTGCTGCAGTGGGATCATTATCCCAGTTCTCGTCCGACCCATGCCCGACTCACTGGCAAGCTTTGAAGCGTGTGCTGAGATACCTGCAAGCAACGCCCAATCATGGTCTTGAGTTTACACGTGAAGAAGGAAGCCGTATCTGCGGGTACACCGACGCAGACTGGGCCGGCGACATTGAGTCAAGACGAAGTACAAGCGGCTATGTGTTCATGATGAGCGGAGGATGCATCAGCTGGAAAAGCCAGAAACAACGGACGGTCGCGCTATCTTCAACAGAAGCAGAATACATGGCGCTTTCCGAAGCAACCAAAGAAGCAGTATGGCTCAAAGTGCTTTTGGGGGAACTTGGTGAGATGACAAGCGACGAAGCGATCAAGATGTATGAAGACAACCAAGGATCAATCGCTCTCGCCAAGAACCCGGAGTTCCATAAGAGAACAAAACACATCGACATACGCTACCATTTTGTGCGTGAGAAGGTGGAATCAGGTGAAGTCGTTTTGGAGTATTGCCCGACTCAAGATATGCTGGCAGACATGATGACCAAGCCGATCGCCGCTGTACAATTTGAAAACATTCGCGATCGACTTGGGATCCAAGGTGCCGCAGCTAACGAGTCGAGAGGGAGTGTTGAAAAGACAGCGGCTGTGAAGAAGACACCTCGTCAAGCTGCGTCAAGTGTTGAAGCAAGTGGAAGACCAAGCCTCGCTATACCGGTGGGTACCGGTATGTACCAGTAAGGGCGAAGTCAGGAAATGACGTCAGTGGGTGACGTCAGTGGGTGACGTCACTGGATGACGTCACTGCGAATAATAGGCTTAGAGGTAGTATTCAAAGTTGCGAACTAAGTACCTATTATAAATATATATTCACTTTGCGTTTTGCACTCGGACCAAGAAGTCTAAAGTTCATCACACATATCGAAGCTAAAAAAGGTAAAGACGTTCCCTGAACGCCCGAAGGATCAGCTTACGATAGAGGAATCAGATCGCTTGGATTTCGATGAAGCTCTGCTGCCGGAAGACAGTTGGGATGGCGATCTTGAAGAAGGGGAATACGAAGTGGAGGCAATATTGGACGTGCGATCTGGTAGAAAAACCCGTTATGGGCGAGTACACCGGCAGTTTCTGGTGAAGTGGAAGGGATATCCCGATCTAAGTTGGGTGGACGAGGCCGATCTACGTTGTGGGGCGATCTTGCAAGAGTTGAGCGGAACCGAGTGAGTCGAAACCGTTTCGACGTAATGCAGTCTCATGAAGGCAAGTCGGACGAACCTTAACAGTTCGAACAAGTATGCGGGAGGTAGCATATGCGGATGTAGGGGTTGAAAGATGTGCTAGACGGTAGCACATGCTGGTGGATGAGGTTTTTGTATGTGAGTATGGAGATAGTCAAGTGAATTACCTTCCTGAATGATGTGGAGCGATGAAGATCGAGATCGTGGAAGCTGCAAAGAATTGAAGTACCAAAAAGAAGATGATTGAATGACTTACACGATTATGAAAGACGATCGGGCTTGGATATCGACCTTGGACTAAGACGATGGAGCAGGTTTGAACTTGTCCTGCAGACGAGGGATCTGCGATCCGGGATGATCTAGATGGCGCGGAGACCCAGGCCGATCGGGGACCGCTGGGGTGTGTCCTCCGAGATCGGGCGATCCGGGCGACAGGTCGCGATCCGGAGATAGAAACATGGTGGATCCTTCTGAAGAGATCGGCGAGGTGGGTGGATGCGTCGGAGAGACCATGAGACGGACTTGAGTGCTTGGAACGAAGTTGATGAGTGACTGTACTGAGGTCGATTGCTGTACAAAAGACTTCAGTACAGGGGGCGGTTGTGGCAAAGTCACTACTCAAATTTTGTACGAGGATCGGTGGCCACATCTTTAAAGCGCCGCTTACTGGTGGAAAAGGAGGCCATGAGACTCGGCGATCCAATACGGAGGTGGAAGATGATCTTAACGGGATTGGCGAACCGATCCAACTGTCGTTAGACTAATGGGTATGGATCGACCTGGGACGGAGCGATCTGGAACGATTTACATGGAACAATCTGGGACAAGGATCTGAGACCGGGTGATGGGATATGACTCTGCGACGAAGGTGTAACTGTGGTAAAGTCACTAATCAAATGATGGGACGTGGATCGGTTTCCACCCAGTTAAGATGTCACCCACTGGCAGAAGAGGTACGCCTAGGACCAGGCGATGCAACGTGATTTGAGACGGGGCGTATAAAGGGGTGATTCCAACGGTGCGATCTGGGACGAGGGACTGGATTGAACCGAACGACCACTCTAAAGGCTGATCAAAGGAAAGGATGTGGATGTTGAAGCAGAATCATTTGAGAAAAGTACGCCTGGGACCAGGCGATGCGACGTGGTTTGAGACGGGGCATAGCAAGGGGTGATTTCCACGGTGCGATCTGGGATGAGGGACTGGATTGAACCGAACGACCACTCTGAAGGCTGATCAGAGGCAAGGATGTGGATGTTGAAGCAGAATCATTTTGATAAAGCATCGGAGTGCACACAATGAACGGAAGAACATATATGGCCGGATTGTACTGTGTCGTGTTGAAAAGACAGCGGCTGTGAAGAAGACACCTCGTCAAGCTGCGTCAAGTGTTGAAGCAAGTGGAAGACCAAGCTTCGCTATACCGGTGGGTACCGGTATGTACCAGTAAGGGCGAAGTCAGTGATGAACTTTAGACTTCTTGGTCCGAGTGCAAAACGCAAAGTGAATATATATTTATAATAGGTACTTAGTTCGCAACTTTGAATACTACCTCTAAGCCTATTATTCGCAGTGACGTCATCCAGTGACGTCACCCACTGACGTCACCCACTGACGTCATGCAATGACGTCATCCAGTGACGTCATTTCCTGACTTCGCCCTTACTGGTACATACCGGTACCCACCGGTATAGCGAAGCTTGGTCTTCCACTTGCTTCAACACTTGACGCAGCTTGACGAGGTGTCTTCTTCACAGCCGCTGTCTTTTCAACACTCCCTCTCGACTCGTTAGCTGCGGCACCTTGGATCCCAAGTCGATCGCGAATGTTTTCAAATTGTACAGCGGCGATCGGCTTGGTCATCATGTCTGCCAGCATATCTTGAGTCGGGCAATACTCCAAAACGACTTCACCTGATTCCACCTTCTCACGCACAAAATGGTAGCGTATGTCGATGTGTTTTGTTCTCTTATGGAACTCCGGGTTCTTGGCGAGAGCGATTGATCCTTGGTTGTCTTCATACATCTTGATCGCTTCGTCGCTTGTCATCTCACCAAGTTCCCCAAAAGCACTTTGAGCCATACTGCTTCTTTGGTTGCTTCGGAAAGCGCCATGTATTCTGCTTCTGTTGAAGATAGCGCGACCGTCCGTTGTTTCTGGCTTTTCCAGCTGATGCATCCTCCGCTCATCATGAACACATAGCCGCTTGTACTTCGTCTTGACTCAATGTCGCCGGCCCAGTCTGCGTCGGTGTACCCGCAGATACGGCTTCCTTCTTCACGTGTAAACTCAAGACCATGATTGGGCGTTGCTTGCAGGTATCTCAGCACACGCTTCAAAGCTTGCCAGTGAGTCGGGCATGGGTCGGACGAGAACTGGGATAATGATCCCACTGCAGCAGCTAGATCCGGACGTGTGGCGACCATGAGATACATGATGCCTCCGACAGCACTTCGATATGGCACGTTGCACATGGTGTCTTCGTGCTTGCATTCTTGTTCACACATGTTCTTGGTTAGCTTCAGGCCGGGATCTTGAGGCGTCTTCACTGGCTTGCTGTTATCCATTCCGAACTTGGTTAACACGGACTTGAGAAACTTGGTTTGTTGCACAGTCACCATTCCCGTCTTACGGTCGTTCTTGATCTCCATGCCGAGAAAGTAATCGAGCTCACCGAGATCCGTCATTTCGAAGCGTTTGCTCAGCGCCATCTTGGTCGACTTGAGGAGTTCGTTGTTGCTGCTGGCCAGGATGAGATCATCGACGTAGAGCACCACGAGAATCATGTCTTGGTCGTCTCGCTTGATGTAGATGCAGTGGTCCGATTCGCACTTCTTGAATCCCATCTTGATCATGAACCCATCGATTGTTTGGTTCCACATGCGAGGCGATTGCTTCAAGCCGTAGAGTGATCTCTTTAGCTTGCACACATAGTCCGGCTGTGTTGCATCCAGGTATCCGTCCGGCTGGTCCATGTAGATGTCTTCGTTGAGGGAGCCGTTAAGAAACGCTGTCTTGACGTCCATCTGATGTAGCATTAGGCCGTACTTAGCCGCCATACTGAGCACCACACGAATCGATGTGAACTTGGCCACCGGTGCGAAAGTTTCTTCATAGTCAACTCCGAATTTCTGTGAGAATCCTTTGGCCACAAGTCTTGCCTTGAAACGTTCAACTTCGCCATCTTGATTCTCCTTTACACGAAAAACCCATCGGCACCCGATGGCCTTGCGACCTTTCGGAAGAGGCACGATTTCCCACGTGTCGTTTCTCTGAAGCGAATCGAACTCCGAGTCACACGCTTCTTTCCACTTGCCGGAGTCGCTTGATTCCATCGCCGACTTGAATGTAGTCGGCGTTTCCCCACTGAATCAACGATGTAGGCTGCTTCAAAATCCATTGCAGCCGCTGACACATGCTCAAGCGACGGACCTCTGTATGTTCTTCGCTTGGGACTTGAATGACGGTAGCTTTCTCAAGTGATTGAGTGCGCGTGTGTCTCTTGATGTTGCTCTTCGAAGACCTGGTGTCTTCGTTGTCATCGTCGCTCGAGTCCATGTCGTCGTCAGTTTTACCTTCTTCTTTTTCTTCGTCCTCATCATGATCATCAAACTCAACGACACTTGACTCATCGTTGTAGTTGCGCGGACCTTCATCAAACTTGTCTTCCATGAATGTGGCATCGCGACTGATCTTGATCGCTCCTGTTGACACTTCCTCAAATCGATATGACTTCTGGTGTTCGGCGTATCCCAGGAAACGACAGAGTGATGACTTGGAGTCGAACTTCGCGCGTTTGTCTTGAGGCACTTGAACATACGCGTGGCATCCAAACACTTTAAGGTTGGCCAGAATCGGTTTCTTCATCGTCCACACTTGATATGGAGACTTGTCTTGGTGAATGGCACGTGTTGGACAGCGGTTTCGAAGAAACATCGCCGTCATCACTGCTTCACCCCAGTAGCTCTTTCCCAGTCCAGCGTGTTCCATCATGCAACGCGCACACTCGACCAGCGTGCGATTCATTCTCTCAGCTACTCCGTTTAGCTGAGGAGTATATGGGGGTGTGAACCTTTGTTGTATTCCCCGTTCCGCGCAGAATCGTGCCAGCTTGTCGGACTTGTATTCACCCCCATTGTCGCTTTGAAGGTACTTCACGCGCTTTCCGGTTTGCGTTTCGGCCATCGCAGCGTATTCCATGAACTTCGCCGCAACTTCAGATTTGCTCTTGAGCAGATAGACGACACAGTATCTTGACTTGTCATCAATGAATGTCACGAAGTACCGTTTTCCACTGAAAGTTGCCATCGACATCGGGCCGCATACATCGCTGTGAATCACTTCGAGGAGTTTGGAGGTGCGAGCTGTAGTGTTTGATTGGAAGCGCACTCGAGTCTGTTTTCCCAGAGCACAACCTTCACACACGTCCCACTTCTTCACCGAAGATATGTCGATGCCAATTCCAATGTTCTTCGTCACGATGCAATTGAGTCCATCGTGACCTATGTGGCCAAGCCGAAGGTGCCAGAGGTACGACTTGGTGCCCCCTTGACATCCCGACGACTTGGCTGCATTTGCTTGTTCCGGCGCCACTGGAGTCATTTGCAGCTTGAACAGTCCTTTTAACTTCACGGGCACCAATTTTCCACTTGGTCCCTTTCGCTTCTCCATAGCACCCATCCTTCGTGAACGTCACTGGGCCGACATCCTTGGTGAAGCGGCCGACCGAGAACAGGTTTCTGGATAACTTTGGGATGTGCCACACGTTTGTGAGCACACCTTTCTTCATCCCTTGGGGTGTCTTCATCGACATGACAATGTCCCCACTGCCGATTGCTTGGACGATTCCATCATCCGCGAGATGGACATCCACAGCGTCAAACCCCTTGTAGTTCCGCATGAACTTCTTGGAGCACGTCATGTGCTGCGTCGCCCCGGAGTCGACCAGCCAGATGTCGCTCGATTTCGCAGATGTCGTTTCACCGATCGAAAAGAGGTAGTCGCCCGAGTCTTCTTCTTGAGCGACGTTTGCACGTTGTGATCGATAGCGGTCGCCGCTGTCTTGAGCACGCTGTGGCCGGTGTCTCTCCGTGTTTTCTTGGATGCGCGAGGGGCACTCCGCCATCCAGTGACCAATCTTTCCGCAATTGTGGCACGGCCAGGACTTCTTCACTGGTTGCCCTTTGCGCTGATTGTCCCCTTGTGATGAACGCTTGACCTTGCGAAGCTTCATCACCTTTACTTCCTTGCTCCTTCCGCTTCATTTCTTCATGAAGCAGTCGAGACGTCACGAGCTCCCAGCTAAGAGTGTCTGAGCGCGACTCCAAAGCTGTGATCAAGAATTGATACGAGTCACTCAGGCTGCCGAGGAGTGTGATCACCAGATCGTCCTCGCAGACTGGAGCCCCCACCGCTTCTAGCTGTTCCGCCAGCGTCTTGAGCTTGTTGATGTGTTCGAGCACATCGTCGCCTTCTTCCATCATTGTCGTGAAGAAGCGACGGCGCAAGAACAGCTTGTTGGCAAGACTCTTCTTCTCGAAGTGGTCTTCCAACCTTGACCATGCGTCGCATGCACCACTTGCCGACCGGACCAACGGTAGCTGGGAATCTTCCATGGCTAGACAGATCACTGCCATCGCCTTTCTTGACTTCCTCTTGTACGTCGCTTGGTCCAACTGAGTCTCGCACTGTTCCGCCTTGATCTCACCGCTGACGACCTCCCATAGGTCCCGTTCCTCCAGCACCATCTGCATCTTGAACTTCCAGGCGTGGAAGTTAGTTCCATCGAACTTGGAGATGCGGAGGGAGGAGGCGTCCATGGCAGCTAAGCTTGGAATTGTTGGCGGTTTCAGAGTCTGACGAACTTGGGCTCATAACCTGATGAACTTTAGACTTCTTGGTCCGAGTGCAAAACGCAAAGTGAATATATATTTATAATAGGTACTTAGTTCGCAACTTTGAATACTACCTCTAAGCCTATTATTCGCAGTGACGTCATCCAGTGACGTCACCCACTGACGTCACCCACTGACGTCATGCAATGACGTCATCCAGTGACGTCATTTCCTGACTTCGCCCTTACTGGTACATACCGGTACCCACCGGTATAGCGAAGCTTGGTCTTCCACTTGCTTCAACACTTGACGCAGCTTGACGAGGTGTCTTCTTCACAGCCGCTGTCTTTTCAACAGTCAGGAAATGACGTCATTGGATGACGTCAGTGGGTGACGTCACTGGATGACGTCATTGCATGATGTCAGTGGGTGACGTCACTGGATGACGTCACTGCGAATAATAGGCTTAGAGGTAGTATTTAAAGTTGCGAACTAAGTACCTATTATAAATATATATTCACTTTGCGTTTTGCACTCGGACCAAGAAGTCTAAAGTTCATCGGGATTATGAGCCCAAGTTCGTCAGACTCTGAAACCGCCAACAATTCAAGCAGCTGCCATGGAACCGCCTCCTCCTCTCGCATCTCCAAATGAACTAACTTCCACGCCTCAGAAAGTCAGATGCGAAGATGACAACAGGCAGGGATGCCTATGGGAGGTCATCAGCTTGTCAGAAGGCGTGGCAGTGATCTGTCAGCCACGGAACCAAGACCGTATGGCGAAGGAGTCGAAGGCATGGTCAGTGAGACCATAGGCACCACGGAGCCACAGTTCTTGCGAGCTACTCACGGCACATGTTGGACCAGTCGGCATGAACACATGGTCAGGAAGTCAA